CGTTTTCTTTAATGTTACATTTTTAACTTTTGTCACACTTAAGGAAAACTTAATTGATGAGTGAAAATTACTAATATCAGCTAATAATTTTCCACTTTTCCCAAGTAATTAATTAAAAATCAACGCACTGAAATTTTTTGACTGCTTCGCTTCGCTCTCCGAGAGAGATCCCCCAAATTTGTTTAATGATTTATTTTGGCAACATTTAATTAGCAATAACTGAAATACTTTTTTGCTTTCAAATGATATGGAAAGTGCCAGGAGAAAATAAAAATAATGAAAACTAAAAACAACTTTGGGTTTTTCCCAAAATACTTTAGCATTAAATTTCTGTTGTTCTCTAATTTTGTGCTTTGTACATCAACACAGTCATCAGTCAGGAAGTTATCTTAGGGAAAGTCTTTTAGAAGTCATTTGTACTCTCTTGATGGCATCTTAAAAATTAAGTAACAAACTCTGACAACAAACATCCATCAACTTCATGTGACTTTATACAAACACGTTTGCACTTTGAAGCTTTCGAAAAGAGTGTAAAAGGGGAAAAAGTTCTCGAAAGATTGTCAAACATTTTCAACTTCTTAAAAACGCTTCTTTCGTTTAAATGAAGCGACAAGAATGTTTATCTCTTCAATGTACATGCATGCGGCAGCACATTATTATGGATGGAATGTGCATGCAACTTTCATGACAAGATCCTGGCAAAGACGAGAAAATATTTGAGAAACGAGGAATTCTTAAAAGCGAACGTTGTCGTCACATAAAGCTACATTCATTCTAAAGTTAAGCTACTCACAGCAATATAATATAAATCCTCCTTCGTCTCCGGAACATGTATAGCGCGGTTGACTAATATTTGCGCATTTCTCATGCAGCAATTTTAAAATTGCATTTTAAAGAAACATAAAAGAATCTTTTCTTCAACTGTACAATAGAAAGTTTTAACAAAAATAAAATATTGTGGAGATTCAATTATGTTTGTTCAGTTCCTTCTTACTGAAAGATACAAAGACCATAAAAGACGGGACAAGATAAGCAGCACACATATTTATGTGGTCATGCAGAAAAATTAAGGGAGAAAAATTCTGACCAGAAGCTAAATAGAAGAAGTTGAAGTCCACCAGTGGCTCCCATGTAATTAATGCCCCAGTTAAAAATCTGAATCCATTAAATGCTTTTAAATTGATTTTCTCTTCTTTTTTATTCATCCTCAATTTCTGTTTGTGATGCATTCAGTTTCAGTCGCTGAAGAGTTGTTTTTAATGTTTTCTTTCCCGTTTCCTCTCATTTTTGTTTCTGACACTAATTAAATTAAATTTTTCTTCTGGAATATTAGGAAAATAAAAAAGCGACTGCGGTTTGATGAAAAATTCACCTTCCAGTCCATTAATTTTAATATGATGGGGCGATAGTGGAAAATTATATTTTTGCAATGCAACCGCTTCGACTTTTCTTCTCACTCTCAAAGCTTCTATCAACATTTGACGCTACGTTTACAACAGCACGTAGAATATTAAAATGAACTTGCAATGTCAAGGAGCACGACAAAATGCTGTTTGTCGAGTTGATTTTTATTTGACTTTTCACTCACAGTCAGTTCATTTTTCATTTCGATTGAAAATGTTCGCCTTTTTTTCACGTAAAGTGAAACTGTCGACATGTGCAAAGCATTTTGTGGTGAAAGTTGTAGTCACGAAACAAAACTGTTCACTTATTTCCCTCCACTAAACTGATATTCATTTTAATGTTCTAACATGCAAAACCAAGCTCAAACCAACAAATAATCCCTTTCCGATTGATCTAGCTTTGATGCTTTTCAATATTTAGCAAACAAGAAGAGTACAACGAAGAAAGGTTGAGCACGAAAAGTTCTTTGATTTTATTTTTACGGTTATTACATCACTTCGTCGCATCCCTTTTTACTTCATTTCCATTTGTGAGAAGAGAAAAAATTGCTAGGCAAGAGGCAGCTTGTTAGAATGTGAAAAAACATCAAAATGGAAAGAATTTTCGCATTGTGCATTATCTAAAGGGAAAAGATTTTTATATTAACCGGCACTTTGAATGCTTTTTTACTCTAACGTACGTGATGCTTAATCAATGCAGCAAGCTTACATCAAGTTTAACGTTTATTGCTTTTAGGGGTTTCGCTTCTTCTCCTTTTTGTTATATTTTCTGTCATCAACAAGATTTAGGAAAAAAATTTACAAAGTAGACATTTATATTTACTTAGGGTTAAATAAGATTGGGGAGATAATGTAATCTTGTTGGATAATTTAATCTTAAGAAATATCTGAAGTTTGCCTTCAGGTTTTATATAGCATTTTATATATTTTGAAGCTGGTTCCATAAGCTATCATCTTATGTATGCTATTTGACATACAAAACATTGTAAGCATTTGTATGAGAAAAGAGTCAAATACACTTCATAGTAATAACAAAAAGATTCAGTGAAGAGAGAAGCAGTCTACATTACTATTCTGCCTTACAACCGAAAATCTACTTGTGTGTTTAGTCAAGTTTAAATTATAAAATATGCAAGCGGAAGTCAAAGTCGAACCATGAAAACATTTAAGATATTCCCTTGCGACAGTTTCTATAGTGAAATATTTATCTGAGATTTCACAAGTCATTGACAACGCTGAATACGAGACGATTTTTTTTATTCAAATGGGAAGAAATATCTTAGACATTTTCAGAAATCCATACTCAAGATCAAAAGTTGCAATGAACAAGGAAAACAGTTTAAGTCTGAGCTGGTTTTAGTCAATAAAGAAAAATAAATATTTTGAATATTTCAAAGCACGAAGTAGCAAAAATCTTTTTCTTATTTCTTATTCCTAAATCCTCTCCGTTTCTTCCTACGATGTTTAACACATAAATAAATCTTCAATCGATTTTTTGGCATTAACGTTTGGTAGAAAACATTTCTAGAAAGCTTTAGAACGATTTTGGTTTTAATTCATCTTATGCCGTCAAAATATAAAATCATTGAAGAAGAAAGTTTCATTTCTCTAACCATTAAGCGCTCCCCCATCACTATTTAACCCATTGAAGTTGCATTTGAAATTTTTCGCTCATAATTATTTGAAAATTGTGGCGAAGCAAAACTTTTTTCATAAATGAAAAAAAATAACAAAAATACTTTTTACGATCTGCAAATTGATTTCTATGCTGCTACGTGATGCTACTTTTGCTGATTCGAGCACAAATGTTCACACTGCTCTCAAATTGCTTGATAAATTTAAGTTCAAATGCTGGAAACGAAACTTTTTTAATTAGGGAAACACTAAAAATTATTTTCACCATCGCGAGAGTTTTCATTTTGTTATATTTTTTGTTCTCAAACTATATTCAAAGACCCTCAACTGATGCTAAGAACTTCTCAAAGACCACAAAATGTTTTTGAAAGTTTTTATTTAATTCATAGAAGGAAATGGAAATGAAAAAGGGAAAACATTCAAGCACAAGTTTTGAATGTGGTTTTCTACTATAAATATCTTAATTTATTAAACAATTTCATGATTTCAAAGTTTCTCAATCTTTCATCATTAAGCGTGCCATCTTTAAGTTTGTTACATGATAAAGTAATTTGCAGGAAAACCGCCAGTTACACAAAATACTTTCGTTCCATTAAACTTCAAATGACATTTCACCGATGAGGAAGTTTTTTAATGACAAAGTATCGGACAGAAAGGAAAACTTTTCTGCTTCATATGGCGACGAAGCATGAAAAATGAAACAGAAAATTTAATGGTGCTTTTGAGCTTAGACGAAGCATTCATAAATAAAAACTTTTGTCCTCGTCTGCCTTTTATCTTTTTTGGAATTATTTGTAAGGCCACAGAAGGCATTTGATATCTGTGATGGGTGTGGGTGGATGATATCACTCTGAGTTCGTCTCAAAATGTAAATAATCGTTATGCCCATAAAAATATTTTTCCGCTTTCATTGCGTTTTTTTTTCTTCTCACTCTCTTGGTAAGAGAAAAAGTCGAGGCTGGAACGAAGATTTCAAAATGACTCATAATTCACCCTCGCAGATCTCAGCAGAAAAGAAATGAAATATTTCTATGTAGTTTATCATTGTCCCCGCTTCACATGCTTCCACGTACTTTTAGCGTTAGTCTGCTGAATTTTGAGCTCATAATCTTCATTTTACTTCGTTAAATTTCCATAATTTTTCAATCTTATTTAGGGATAGAAAAATTAAATTCACTTTTCATTGCCATGTTTCATACCCACTAAATTTAACCTGAACCCTTTCCAATAAAAGGATAATGAAAACAGATTTTTATGACATGATCGTTTCTCAATTGGATTGGAATGTTTGTGCTTTATTTTTACGACGGCGGCTCATCCCCTGACGGGTCAAATTGATTGTTTACATCTTTATTACGCTTTTTGTAGTGAAACAAAGGATCTTATGTAGTAACAGAAGAACATTATTTCTCCCTTCAATCGCCTCGGACTACGACCCAATGTCAATGTTTAAAACGAAGACGACCGAAAATTCCATTTGAGCGTTTTTCATCCCAAAATAATATTGAATAGGAAAAAGATGAAGCGTCTTAGTCCCTTGGCTTGAAGCAATCGTTTCTTGGGCACAATCCAGTCCACAGAACAATAAACTCGGATGATAATAAATTTCCCTTTCGTTTCTTCACATTTTTCCTGCTTTTCACATAATCAGATTTTCCCATTTTTCTTCAGCTTTAACCTAATGTGTGTCGTGCAGTGTGTTTGTTACAAATGCCAAGATTATGATTTTCCTTTCTTTTCTTTTCTCTCACATACATAGACGTTGATGGATATTTTTAGAAAATGTATAAAACGAAACTTTTCTTCATATTCACGCTTCACAGCTTCAAAGCTTTTGGAGAAAATTGTGTCACTCGCTATCTTCAACTTACACAGCTCACAAATTTAATTTGATTTTATGTTATATTTCTCCTCAGATGTGTGATATTTGTCAAATACAAAATGAACCATTCACATATCACGTCAAAGGTTGATTTCAAAATCTATGACGAATGAATAGAGTCGATACATGAAGCAACTTAAATTTTTCTTTTCTTCCGTGAGAACCTTTACAATATCGAAGGAACCCCCCTGAAAATTTGATAAAGAAGAGTTTTTTATGAGATGAATATTTGACATGTTAACAAAACGAAAAGAGGAAAACTCAACTAGAAAGGTATGAAATGGAATTTTATCTGAAGATATCTTGAAAAAGAATATCCTAAAGATGTTTAACACAATGACAATACGATTTAGTAATATGAAGGTGAATTTGCAGAGTGGTCCTTTAGGGTTGTAATCAAAATGATTTCCAAATCTATGAGAATTCATGTCAAAGCTTCTCGCTGGGAAATTTTTAAAAAGATAATAAATGAGATTAAAATCTATTATTTTTGTTTAAATTTTAATCCTATTGATTTTTCAGTATAAATATTTGCTGACGACAGCTTATGTCATCGAAATAATTTTGTGAAATGCAACAAGTTTTCAACTGGTTAGTTATAAAAATAATTTCCAACGTTAAATATTGCATAATAAATTTAGGACGCTTATTGGATTCTTTACTCGGCTTACCTTCTGTGTTCGTCGACAAGCGAGCGGAAAATTTTTAAACTGTGAATTAAACACTGTGCTGGCTTGAATTTAAAGTCGCGGCTTCATAATGCATTGTTACAATGTGAAACTCCAACAGTGCATGACTGTGGAAAAAATTTTACCACTTTTTTTTCACCAGATTTTTCCCCTTTTTCGCGTCATCATCATGATCAACAATTCTTTCATGCACAAACAACATACAACGCGTTGAAACGAAGAAAATATTTTTTGTATGCCTTTGAGCTTGTGAAATGTATTCCCAACCTTTCCAAACACGAAGTCTAAGCAACAAAATCTAATTATTAATTTTTTCTATTCACTTTATTCCCTGATGAGAGGGGAAGGAAAATAAAGGAAAGCTCTATACTCAGGCGGAAATTATTCAGCACAGTTTGCAAAATTATACCAATTTCAGTCATCCCTCGAATCAACAACCCACGGGGTGAACGTTTTTAACATTTGCCACTTTAAGGTCATGAATATCAAGTTGATTTCTCTTAAAACCTAATGAACATTGAATAGAAAATTAATTTTTTTTGTTGCCTTTTTTCGCCTTCTACAATTAGCCTTAATTTTGTCGTCTAGAAAAATCGCGAGTCTTAATTAGCTCGAAAATACATTTTCTCCGGAAGACTGAGTTTCTGGAAATTCTCTTGAATAATATGATTATTTTTGACGCTGAACATCACAACAATGTTCGCATTTAAATTCCTTTTAAAAGATTTTTCGTCACCAAACTTTTCTGTTTTTGTGTGTTGCTCTGTTCACCGTTCAGCTAGAATTTTACATTCTAATTCACTATAAAGCGGAATAAAAATCATGGTAATGGACGTGACTGTGATAACATGAAATTTAAATATCATCAAAATTATCCGACAACTTTTCCACATGCTTTTCCGCTGTGATTCAAGAGAGCGACTTCATTCCTCGTCATTTACTGAAGTAATTTTTCAGTTATTGAATTTCAAAGGCATCCATTTGAATTTAATTTGCATATCATTGAATGTCATTACAGATATAACATAATAATGTAACTCTAAAGCTGGACCTTACTGGAAAGATAAATAACAATAATGTTGTGGGTGGAACGGAATTTAATCTACACAGAAATGTAAATTCTCAATACTCAAGTGACGACCACAGACAAAAATCATTAACATTTTTGAATACATCACGCACAGAATCAACCAACATTGTGGAGGGCGAAATAGTTTTTGTCATAATTTATCAACATGAAAAACATTTATGGCCTTAATGAATTGTATAGCAAGTGCAAAATGCAAAATTCAAAAATAAAATAGAATGAGATACTTTAATTACCATAAAATAATTATAATGTCATTTGTTGGAAAGTCAAAACTTTAAGACTTTTGAATGAGTAGAATAATTGCCATTCTCGACATGACAGTGTTTGAGAGAAATGAAAAACTTCCCACACTGCCATCGTTCGAAAGCTTTCGTCGAACAAGATCTCCATGGAAGGGTATCTAAAATGTGTGTAACTAAATTTAACATCTTAAACAAATATAAGTGACATTTGATGAAAATAAATGAAACTTCAACATGGGCGAAGCTTTCAAATTTTCCCCAACACCGACGACGAAATGAAGACAAGCAGAAAAACTTTTTATGGCATCTTCTGTGGTGATGTTTTTCTGCTGTTGTTGATGATGGGTCTACACCATAAAACTTCAACTTGTCATTTAATCCAATTTGTGGTTCGCCCACCATAATTATCATGCTGAAGTATGCAAATGAAAATTACTCTCGATATGACTTTCTCCTTTGGTTAGGCTTCAAGTTCTTCGTGTGGTTTTGCAGTTTTAGGATGATGGTTGCATAAAATTCTAATTTTAGGAGAACTCAAATTTTTAATGTTTATTTTGTTAAAGTAAAATGAAAACTTTTGATGTAGATGACTTGTCGTTGTCAAAATGATTTGCTTCACCAAAAGTTTAAAAGTAAAATTGAATCAAAAATGCCAAAAGGCTTTTCATATTTTTGTTTAATATTTTATTAATGGGATTATTCTCATCCCAACATTAAAATTCATAAATACCCTGATTAAATTTATGTGGAGGGATTAAGAAGTCTCGTTATTTAATTTCAACCTTTCAAAGTATTAATTTCTTTAATTAAATCTTTGATTGTTGATTCTAAATCTGAAAGTCGTTCTAATAACTCATCGATTTTTTCTTGCTTCTTCTCGTTCTCCATTTCCAACTTCATAACTTTTTCTGAAAGCATTTTGTTTTCTTCTGCCAAGTCTGTTGAGTTATCTTGTGGCGATGTATCATCAGCAGATTTTTTAACTGGCGGTTTTCTAGTTGTCATAATATCAACCATAGTATCTTCAATGGGATTCATTTCCATTATTTCTTCATTATTCTGAGATGATTCATCCTTCATTGGTTCAGTCATGGACGAATTTTCGTCTTCCAATGGAGAATTTTCATCTCTTGATTCAACAGGTTTCGCTTCGTTATTTTCCTGAGGTTCATTTGCATTTGAATTTTCTGACATATTCTGTGGAGGTTCATCAGATATTCTAGGTTGAGATTCATCAGTTTCAGGAGCTTCAGTGTTATTCTGAATGTTGTTTGGTTCATCTTCATTTTGTTGATTTTCTTCAGGATTTTCGCTTTTAGGTTCGTCAACTTCTAAATTATCGTCATTTATTGGTTTTTGGTCTTGAGGTTTATCACTTGAAGCTTTGTTGTCATGAGAATCATCTGAAAGGTCATCCACGTCGGGTGTTTCATCTTGAGGTGACTGACCTGAAGGAACATCACGTTTCAAACCGGGACTTTGAGAAGTTTCTTCCAAAGCTTTATCTTCGTTTGGGATGTCTTCTCTTTTTGGTGGTTCAAGAGGGTTTTCAGAAGATTCTTCTTCTCTTTTAACTGGAGATTCATTTACAAGTTCTTCATCTGAAGGATTTTCTTCATTTTCTGAAGGATCATCTTCTGATTTATTTTCAGGTGAATTTTTCAAATCTTCATCACTTATTGGACTGTCAGATTTATTATCCATCGGTTTGTCTTCTGATTCAGCATTATTTTCAACAGGTGAATGCTCTGTGTTTTCATCAACTGCTGCTTCAAAATTTGTTTCATCTTTACTGGGATTCCCGTCATCAATAGAATCTTCTACGTCTATAAAAAATAAAAAAAAGAACAAAATAAATTTCACACATTCCAATGAATTTTATACACTCAAAAGCAAAAACGAGAACAAAAATTAAACCAGAAATGATTCACTCATTGATGAACTAAGGTCAAATTCAAAAGCTTGCATGCTATTGTACAATTTTTCTTTGTTAGACGTGTTTACGAAAAGAAACTCTGTAGAAACAGATCTTCACACGAATAATGTAATAAACAATAAGTTCCATTGAAAGAAGCTTTTATTAATTTAGTTAACATACAATACTCCAAAGCAAATTTTTTTGTTGTTAGTGTGCAATATAAAAAGACAAAATTTTAAAGATTTAATTGCAAAAAAAAGCATGCATGATTAATTGTGGCTTAAAGAATTAAAAGGCATAAGCATACCCACCAGAAAATCTTGTTTGTACATTCGGATTTCCATAAGGTCTTCCACTTGATTGACTTTGAAATTGAAAGTTCAAAGGCGGGGGTAAATGATTAGGTCGAGATGATCCAAGTGGCTTCGGAATTGGTGGTAAAATCTCAGCATCAGGGTGCTTATTATTCGGATTTTGTAATGAACAGCCGTGAGGTCCACAATTTAAAGCAGGTGGAGGTCCAATTGGCCTTCCTGGTAATTGTGGGTGCTTGTGAGAATGATGATGGGGAGAATTTGGTGGGCATCCTTGAGGTCCGCAGTCATTTGGTTGATTTGGATTTGGTGGGCAGCCTTGAGGTCCACAATCGTTAGGTTGATTTGGATTTGGTGCACAGCCTTGAGGTCCGCAATGATTAGGTTGGTTTGGATGTGGCGCACAGCCTTGAGGTCCACAATCATTCGGTTGATTTGGTGAATCATTATTTGCCCCTGGCTGACCAGGCTTATAATTTTGAGGAGAATGATTATGATCATCTTTATTATTTTGGGGATCTTTATGTTGTGGAGGTTCTACTGGAAGTTTCAAGTTAAGAATTTGAGGTTGATTGGAGCTTTGGGGTGGTTGTTGAGGCTCATTTGGTAATTCATGAGGCTTTGGATTTGGCATATTATTTTGATCAGGATTTTGGGGCTCATAAGGTTTGATTGGAGGTGGTTGTGGTATACCAGGTTGATGTTGAGGCTCGTAAGGTTTAGATGGAGGCTGTTGTGGAATTTCATGTTGATGTTGAGGTTCATGGGCATGTGGTGGAGGAGGCTGGGAAGCATCTGGTCGATGTTGAGGTTCATGGGCATGTGGTGGAGGAGGCTGGGAGGCATCTGGTCGATGTTGAGGTTCATGAGCATGTGGTGGAGGTGGCTGTGGAGCATCTGGTCGATGTTGAGGTTCATGGGCATGTGGTGGAGGTGGTTGTGGAATGCCAGGTTGATTTTGAGGATAATGAGGATAAGGTGGAGGTGGTGGAAGATTCTGAGGTCTAGAAGGGTTTATAAATGGTGGTAATGGGATGTTTGGTTGTTGCTGGGGTCCATAAGGATTTATTAAAGATGGGTGTGGAATGCTGGGCTGTTGTTGCTGAGGTTGAAATAAATTTGGCGGACCTGAATATGGTGGACGTGGTCTAAACTGTGTTTGAGTTGAAATTTGAAATTGTGTCGCTTGACGTGGGTCAATAGGAGCTTCTGATTCTTTAGGTTCTTTGTCAGCTTTTGATTTGATTTCTTCTATTTTTTGATCATGTCTAGCAATTATATTTTTTAAATTATTTAATTCTTGTTTCAAATCGTTGATTTCCGGTGCTTGAGTGGAAGTTGTTCTTAAACTTTCAGGAATTTTTCTTGCTTTTTCACGTTTCACCATTTCAGGTGTCGGTGGACATTTTTCAAGAACCGACTTTGAAAATGATTGGAGGGCATTTGATGATTGCAAAGTTGAGTCGATACAGTCATTTCCATCGAGATTTGCATATTGAAGCTTTGGTAATGTAGCAAAAATGTCAGTTCCCATATGTTTAATTTTGTTATGTCCCAAGTTAATATATTCAATGTTTGGACAATGTTCGAACACGTTATTTTCGAGACTTTGTAGTTCATTTTCACTCATAAACAATTGTTTAAGTTTGGGAAATTGTTGCATGTCTTCACTTTGCAATTCTCTTAGTTCAGAATTTGCAACTTGCAAGCCTTCAACATTAGGGAAATATGAACTGATTCCTGAAGGTAAAAATCGACATCTTTGATCTTGTACATCTAAAGCTTTCACATCACGAATGGGTCTGTCTGGTTCTCCAATAACTGCAGTAACAGCTTCTCGTTGTCTTTGATCCATGTTACGAACTTTGCATTGAAAAACAATTCCCAGATTAATCCACTCTTCGTTCCCATATTCACACTGAATATGACATCCTTGAGAATATATTCCATCGCATAACGATAGAAAGAAAATCATGAGAAAAGCTAATCTGTGAACAGAAACGAAAGTCATGACACGATAAATTTTCGTCTTTAAATCTCGTTAGCTTACTTTTGATTTCCAACGAACATTTTTGTAAAGTTAAGAATATTTTCAAAAGACACAACTTGTCAGCTCGCGAGCTGATCATGGAATGAATGTAGCAATTCAATGAATTACTTTTCTCATTATATATTTGAACACTTTTAGTGACCTTGATTACATTTAAAAGGTTGCAGAAACCGGTTTGTGAACATCATTTCGGGGAAGTCAACAATTATTTATATTTTTTACTGAGAACGTTGGTCACAAGACGAAGAAGCTCAAAAAAGAACTCAGCATGATTGTTTTTAAGAAAATCTATGAAAAAAAAAATAAACAAGCTTGATTGAAGTTTGAATAAAAACAAAATTAAAATGAGTTGCAGATTTCATTCACGCGATAAATTTGTTTCAGAGAAATGTGATGGTTCTAGGTATGTGAGCAGAAGGTACAGAATATTTGTTTACAGGAATTATAAAGATACTCAGAAATTGATAATTTTAAGACTTATTTTAAAATCAACTTTAATTTATTCAGATTCTCTCATTTCAATCACAATATTTCTAAAAAAATAATAAGTCAGTATTTTGTTTACTTTTAGCTAAATTCAGGAATGACTTTCGGCAACAACGGTGGTCACCTCGTTGGTTTTGAAACTCACGTAAGTGTTCCAGAGAACAGCAACCACTTGAACCAACACAACCTGATAGTTTAAAGGAACAAAGTAGAAGTTTAAGAGTTGAACAGCTGGCCTGATGTAAAAAGTATAAATGAAGATTAAACCAATAATAAATGGTGAGAGAATCTCTTACCATAATTTATAATTAGCCAAAAGAATGTCCGGAAATTCTCGTTTAAGTTTCTTTGTAATGTCATTTGGATTTTGTCCTTGTAATAAACCTACTGAACCAACAAGAGCTCCAATAAATGCGGGAGCGAAGAAGAGCTGATCAACTGAACATAAATAATTATTTAATAAGTGTGAAAATTTAAAAGAAAATTTATACACAAACCTGCAACTTTTTTCAAAGTATTCGCAGTTTTGTTGGGAGATGTGAATCTACTTTGTAACACTCCATACCATTTTCTAAGACCTAATCCACCAAAAAATCCAATCAGAAGGAAGTGAGATGATCTGAAATAATTTTATAGAATAGATTTCGCCTATTGAAAATTTTTTATTACCTTTGGAAATCAAATTTTGTTTTTTTTTCAACACCAATTTGTGCAATTGCATCTCCAGTTGCCATAAGAATCGATGCCTGAACACCTTGAGCAATGTAGGGAAAGCGAGAAACGCCTTTTTTATAACTACGAAGTAGGAACGACATTGTAATTTCCTAAGCCAAAAATTCACTAAATTCGATGTTTAAAACACAATTTCAACATGAAAAATGTAAACAAATTCGTATGAAAATTCGATGAAGCGCTTCGAGGTTAAAAGTCGAAAATAAAAAATTTAGACAGATTAGAAAAAAAGATTTTGTTTTATTTTTTATTCCTTCACAAAAAAAAAATTTAAAAGATAAACGAGAACGTAAAAGCAAATATTTAATCCATACGAGTCTTAAGCTTTCGAACCGTCACCTTGTCCTTTTCAATGATGTAAACTGTTGCACCCCATCCAGAGATTGCATCACGATCAAATGCATTTAACATAGCTTGTGAGATCGTTTCGAAGAGATCATCTGGCTCTAAGTTTTCACGCCATAATGTTTCACACATGCCATAGAGCTGCTCTTCACAAGTTCCCACGACTACAAAGTCTTTCGGTTGGTTTGGACATCCAATCAAATCCATACTGCAAATGAAAGGCTTAAAATCCTTTGGATCAAGGCCAGCAATCACAGGCTCGATGAAATATGGTCCAAAACGATGCTCATATAAGAATTTTGACAACATTGAGGCATAACGTTCTGGTTGCATTGTTCTATTTTCTCTAATTTCATACAAATTTTTGCGAAATTCAAGACGTTTGAAAACAGTGAGTATATCGGTTTGCAATCCAGCTAAGCCCAAATACATATGTTTACCAACTGGGAATACTTTTTCAAAGTTTGTGGCAATTGTTTGTGCCTAAAAATTTCATCATGAATTGACAATTTAAGGAATGAAATAAAATGTTTACCTGAATGCCGAAACGATGATCAGTTGCAATTGCTACACAGTCCTTGCCCGTCATTGCAATGACACAACCGCCATTATAAGCCAAGATCGACATCCTGAATGATAGTTTAATTAACTATTTTTGATTGAAAAGAAGTTTTTAAGAGAGTTTTTGCTTTATTTATGTTCAGAAGATTTCAATGATTCGGCAAATTTACTGGATCATTTCTATGAAATTTTGCATCATTTTCGCATCTTTTATTTGAATTTAACGAACTTTAAGTATAAGAATAAAGTCAAAAAATTAAAAGTGAGCTTTCTTAAGTTTTGCTGTTTCTTCAATTAATCTTGAATGACTTGCATAAAGTTTAACATTTTTATCGACTTCAATCCAGTGTATACCAACAGCATCATCACCAGCTTCAAACTTTAATTTATTTAAGAAGTTTCCGCTTTCATCATGAAAATTCACAGCCACTGTCTCCATCCAAGCTAAAAACAATTTTTGAAAATAAATTACTTTCGCAAATATTTGTAAAGATTTACCATTGTCAGTATTGCGTGGATCATCGACATATCCTTTATAAATTTCAGAACCATTTTTAAAGAAATCATCTAAGATATGTGCATCAATATTTCCATTCAGTGTTTCTTCGATGAATTCTCGTTTGAGAGTTGTACTGACTTCTTCACCAGCATCAACCATTCCACCAGGTAACGCAATCTCTCCTGTATCACCACGTTTTATACACAAAATCATTAAAATTGGAAGCAGACTAACTGGATGCTTCACAATCTCTTGCTTTTCATTCCTTTTCCATGTTGACACAATAGGATCAGCTAAAATTTTTAAAAACAAGTAAATATAATGAATAAAAGATTGATTCTTTGCCTTACCTGCATGATTTGGACCGTAGCGTCCTAATATTCCTCTCCCACTTATTCCTGTTCTTCCAAATGGATTCACCGGCAGATTCATATCGATTTTATACTTTCCAGTGTGACTTACTCGATTTACATTTCCAATGGAATCATTGAACTTTGGCTTAAAATTAGAATCATCTATGTTTAAGTCTGCCCAAGGTTTTCCTTTGATTCCCGCTGACTCGAAGAAAAATGGATTGTAGTCTTGATAAACAACATCCCATGATACAAATTCATCAGGTACTGAATATCTCTGAATTGTATTTGCGTACATTGAATTACGACAAGTGAAGTGTTTAAATATTTTATTCATTGATTTATCGTCAAATGTTATGAAATAAAATAGTACGATTGACAGGATGAAACTGCTTTTTGTTTGATCAATATTGAAAAGCCGAAGAACGAAATTTGTAAACAAATGGAAATTTCTCTCACTTTTAGCTTTGCACCCCCCAAATTGTTTATTTTGCAAGAGAAAAATAAAATTTCATGACATTTATACTTAAAAAATGTTTGTTTGATACTTTCAAATAATTTTATTGTAAGAGTTATGAATAAGTTTAAAACGAATCTATAAAATTATCATTTTTGTGAATTCCTCCATAGAGCAGCAAAAATCTTTTTCAATCATGTAATCGTTGTCACTGTTCACTTAGCTATGCTTACATGCATCTAAACAGTCAAAAAACATCCTAAATCAAACTAATCATTCTTCCTTTTCTTCACTTTTCTCAAAATTTGCAATTAAAGCTTATCATAAGCAATAATCACTGTCAAAATTAACATCCGTGCTGCAATTTGATAGCATTGATGCACTTCTTCAATGGCGCAAGTGTGTTGTTCTTTGAAGTTATTCCAAGATTAAAAACAGATTGAAGAATCTCTGAAGCATATTCTTGTAGACATAAAACAATTTCTGTGAGATTATCGAGCACTGATGTTGTAATGTTAATGTCTCCGCTATGTAAACATTGAAGATAAGCGTTGAAGCAACTTGAATTGATGTTGTTATTGCCAGGATTTTGTCTCAACACTTTAAGAAGCAAAGAATGTGCTAAATTCCTCACATCAGACGACGAATAGAAAATCAATTCTGTCAGCTTCCCATAAATCTCTATAAGTTGTGCTTGCTTCTTGTGTGTCTGATAATCAATTTCTTGTAATGTTGATAATAGTTCATCGTGTGTCATCTTTGACATTTGACCTATTTTTGCAACAACACTTCCTTGATTATTATCGACTTTTGGTATCAATGGCGATGGAACAGAAATGCCGCCTTTTGCGGAAAAGTGAGTTGAAGACATCAAATGTTGAAGTGGAATTATATTTCGATTTCTCATGTAAAGTTCCGCAAATAAATTGTTATTTTGATTAATAAGTTGATAAGCTCCGACGTTATTCGTTGATGCATAAGTTTTAAGAAATTCCATCAAACGAAACATCAATCCATAAACATCTTTACTGTGGTTCTGTAGAAGATGAAAATAACAATTTATCGCACGATGTAATCCATTTTTATAAGCATCTTCGAATATTGTTGGACGCAGCAACTCCAAAACACCGAGAATTTGATTAAAGAATGTTATGTGATGTCCCTGACGAAGAACGTGGAAGTCCATGTGACCGCGGCCAGCAAGCAACGAGGCAATCAATGACAGTTCTCGGAGTAACAGCAATGGATGAGTTGATGCCAACTTTCTCAAAGTTAATTCAACATCTTGACTTAATGCTTGAAAATCGCGCGTGTTTGTTAAACTTGCAAGAGTCGTGATTATCGTGTGTGACAATTTATCACTCGCACAACCAGTGAAATCTGTCATTGCATCTAATTGGGCGATAGATTCTTGACTTTTCGGCTCCAAAAACAAATGCGGAATGTTCATATACAATCTTTGCATGAATTTATCCTTAACACGTTTCTCTAAAATTGAATCTTCAATCTTCAGTTTGATCATCTTCAAGCTGAGTTCTTTAACGTCGACACAATTCAACAGCAACGTTACTCGATCATTCATTTTCGATCCACCAGTCACAATCAACATTTCTTCCTCACGTAAAATGTAATCAATAAATGCTTTCACTTTATCATCATCAAGCGTCAAAACATATTCGATTTGTTCATGTTTTGGCACAGTTTTGTCTCGACCTTGCCATAATTTCGGACTTCGAATGATTGCATCAACAAAGTCCAAAACTGATGATGGATCGTAAATTCCTGAATTTCTTTGATTAAGAAGTTTTTCTAATGCCATCGCAATTGTTGACCAATTTGCTTGATGGATCAATAATGATAAGAAGTATGGACGATAAATTTGAATATTCTTTCCAAACAAAAGCGACAATTGAACGTCTTGGTTCGTTCTTATCAATTCACTGTCAAATTGAACCAACCAGTCGATGAGAATTCCACGTTTATTAACATTCAATTTATCATTTTCTTCTTTAAGCATCACTGACATACAATCAATTAAAGCTGCCAACTTACTCTGCTTTAAGTTTTTAATGTTAAGATTTTGATGTGCAAAGCTTTCAATATCGAATGGATGAGTTGAATGAATTAACTGATTAAGAATGTGATGAATATTTCTTCCAGATTCGCTGATTTTCATTCCAACAATTGATGATGAATCAGACGCTGGTTTCGTTTCTTTTAAAACATCACCAAGTAATGAACTGACACGATAATTACTCGAAAATTTTCCACTTCGATAACTTGTGCTTGGTTTCGATTTCACTTTTGACACGTCAAACTTTTCAAGAATCTCAACTTTTCTAACAACTTTCGATTCTCGTGGTTCCATTTCCTCGTCAACATTATCAATCGATTTCAAATGTTTCATTGCAATGTGACCATGAGTAGCTCCACGGAGTTGCTGAATCTCAATGAATTGAGTCAGATAAGCTCGATTCATGATAGCTTCATTGATACGATCGGGATCTTGAACGACAGCAGCGTCAAGCAAAGCTAATAATTTATCCATCGAATTTTTTGGTGTTCCAAAGCTTTGAATAAACAAAATTAATTGTTCCGGCAGTAAGTCTTGAAGTGCAACATCAACCATTCGATCGATGGAACTTCTGATCATTTTAAGTTTCAACCAATCAGGAAGAATTTGAACTTTCTCATCAGTGTCAACACTGAATGCTTGTGGATGGCTTGGACTGTCAGCTGGAAAAAAGTAATCCAAAAGTTCCATCGCTCCATTTAAATCTTTTGATTCGCTTAGTAAAATGACGAGAGCATGAATGAAGTTCAAATGCATGTGACATTGCGTGCCATCAGCAAAATGAACAACTAACAGTTCAGGATATTCAGGAAGCGTTATTTCCGAGTTATTTTCCTTCATTTTAATGATGAAATTATTGAACATGATGAAGAGATAGTTGAGAGTTTTATATTTCTCTTGATACTTTGGATCGTCAACATTCTTCGGTAAGATTGATGCAAACACGCAACTTCGTTCAACAATCAACAACGACCAACATGCGACATGATCCAACATTTCTGTCACTGGATCATTCGTTGTATTTGTTGCAATAAATTGAATGTAAATCATGATCAAGTCAGGAGAGTTTTCAACTTGACAAGCTGTCCTTAATTGTGCTATAATTCGATCACAAATAAAGGGAAATGATGGAATCATCGGCAAATATTTTAAAAGCCAATCTGACTCCGCATCTGCTTCAACATCATCAACAATCATTTCCTTTGACTCATCACTTTCCATGCTTTTTAATAAAAGTTTAAAAGCTTGAATCGCTGATAGTCGTCCGTATCTTGATGTCGATGAAAGTCTTCTTAGGAAATATTCAAGAACTTCGTAAGATGTTTGGAAATCATTGTCGTCGTTGCTTTGAAGCATTTTCTGAAGAAATGTAATCAACTCAATGTCACGAGTGTTCTCTGATGAAATGCTGTTGGAATTTGACAACAAAAACTCGCACAAACATTGAACTGGGAGGTGATTGAAGTCGCCATCACTGCTTTGCACTAAATCACTCAGCCATGGCATTGACTGCGAAGTTCCTTGACGTTGAATGATATCCAAAAGTAAATCAGGTTTGCGACTACGACACAACAAATGTCCTAATCGATGTGAACCGTTTAATGAATGAAGTTGTTCAAGGACAGTTTTTGGTGGTCTTCTTGGCGTTCCCATTGGATTCATCAACATCACCTGGGAACGAATTTAAACAAAAATTAGAAAATAAAATAATTAAATTAAAAATTCAAACTCACTTGAGAGATCAACAAAGAATTTTGCTCATTAATGACAACTTTTGATGTTGCTGCTGCCAAATATCCTTCAAATTGAATAATTTGAGTCTTTTCAATGACTGATAATTGAAGTTCATCTTCCGGTGGTTTCGTCATTGTAAATTGATTTGTGATGCACATTTCCATCAACATCTTCAACATTGGATAATTAGCCCAACAGAAAGCTCCGATCGTACCTGTGTTGTGTGCTGATAAAATGAGAAGGATAATCCAAACTTTCCAATAGATTAATGAGATGGCAAGCTTCGGTGGTTCGTATCCACTAGGCAATTGAATATTCTCTGGATGATGATATTCAGCCATTGAGAATAGAAAGTCGATGATGTCAAGTTTTGTTATTTCCAGAGGTGGATAATCTGTGTACTTCAACAAGCACGCACGTCGTACCATTTGATCGATGATCTCAACAGTGTCATGAATTGAGAAGCTGATGTCCTTATTAACTCCAATGAAGATAATTGTTAAGATGGAATCTTGTAGAAGTGGAACTTCTGAGATGAGATTCATCAAAAGCATCCTTTCAGGTTCCGGTGGCCATTGATCGCCTTTCGTGTAGCTTTCTGGTGGATCAAGAATTAAAATTTTATTCACTGTTGCTGAATAATCAGTTGAGTTCAACTTATAAGTTCTTGGAACTTCTTCCAACATCCAATTTAATGATTCGTATTGAATTTGTGACATTTGATTGTAAAAGTTATAAACAAGGGAACTTTTCTGATCGTGACTTGTCTTTGTGATTGCATTGTGAGCATCGCGAATTTGAGGCGAAACTGATAAGAAGCGACAAAGGCAAACTAAATCAGCAATCGCAAAGCAACAACGTTCACGAAATTCACTGGCTTCAACTTGTTGAATGAACTCGGGACGATTACTCATGAGAGCTTTGCAAAACACAATCAAATTGATGTCAAATCGAAGTGTTTTCACCAATTCACGAAGAAAAACTCGCAACGTCTTTAAGCAATCATCACGAAGTAAAAGAAATTCTTGATAAATTTCTGCAAGATTTGTTGCTGCTGCTTCTGGTTTAGCTTGAAAAATTGTTGCGAGAATTCCCATGTTATTTGGATTGCGAGCGTTGTAAAGAATTAACAGCTCTTGTTGCACGACTGATTTCATCATTAGATGAAGAATTTTTGGCTGTAAGTTTATGAGATCTTTTAAGCAGTTCATGTAGATGTTGATGAGCGGTTTAGTCTTCAATCTCATCTTTAAAAGTTGAGATAAAACTTCATGATCTTTTGTTTGAAGTGCGCTGATGTTGTAACAAAGATACTCGAGAAGTTCTTGTGCTGGTTTCACAAGCTTCGCATTATGAATCCATAGTTCCAATCTAGTTACTGCCAAAGAACGAACTTCTGGAATCCCACAAGCAGTTGATGTAAATTTTAGAAGATTTTTTGTGAGAAAGTCCGACGATTGTCTTCTGTTGAATTGATCTTTGATAGTGTCAGAAACAATTTTCTCAACAGTCTCTTGAATATGATAGAAACGTGAATTTAATTGAAGTTCTTCTGTGTTTCGTGATGACTCCGAAATGAAACTGTCTGATGATTCATCTTCAACACCAACCAATTCTTTCTGTTGAGCGTCTGGCTTTTGAGGTGGAATTTTTGTACCAAAAGCAGCAACTAATGAAAATAATTGTAAGTTAATAAAAAAAATTCAATTAGCTAAGTCAATAAACTTACCAATATTGTCGACAAAAAATAAACATTCCTCTGAATCTACCCACAGTCTCTCATTAATTGCATCGTCGATATAAACTTTAATAAAACTTTCAGGCCATTTTTTCTTATCAAAATGACCACGAGCCAGGAGATTTGCAGCCATTACAAAAATTGTCGAATTATTTTTCATGGTGTGTCGAACTGAATGTTGTCCGTCAGTTTTCAGGATTGACAATAAAGCAGCAGTGATGAGTTCATTCCCAAATATATGAGGACGGATTTTTCCAAGGTACAACAACGACATGACCAGAATCGGATCATTTTTCGCTTTTGATGACGATAAACTTTTGATAGCACTGCAAACCAAAGACACAATCTTATCACTGTCTTGTTGTTCTGTCGCTTGAAGGACATCTTTTATCAGATCCACGCTGTTTTCACACTCAGTGTTAATGGCCTCTTCCCATTGTGAACTTTCACTAGGACTGCTTGTTGATGGTCCAGCACCAAATGTACTTGGCGCTATTCTCGTCTTTTTTGCACCCTGAGGCATTTGAGCAGATGAAGAAGATGACGTCGCATCACGTTTTCTGTCATTTTTCCCAAGTGCAAAGAAATCATTTGAATGTTGAAGTTTTGTTTTTTTACCCCTATCCATATCTCTGCGAACAAATTAATAATATAGAAAGTTAGCTTATGACGTTATAAGAAGAATAAAAGTAATTAAACCTTTTAATTTATCGAAAAAGCTAGGTAATTTTAATTTATATTTCACTAAATTTGTTTGTTTACGTTCAACGAAATCCTTCGAACTACCGCAGACTATCTTCGAAGATTTGTTCGAAATATGCCGGTTTTCGAATCAGCTGATCTCGAATACAATATTTAACCGACTTTTGAAATTCAAATTCATATTCGTATTCTAGTACGGCATAAAGTCATCTAGTATACATAAATCTTTGATTTTTTTGATTCCCTTCTCACCGCAATTTTTATTTATTAATAATTCCAAAAGTGTACAAATCCTTGTAATGTCTAAAGTTCCCAACGTACAAACTTATAAGTTAGTGGTTGTCGGTAGTGGAGGTGTCGGAAAATCCTCAGTTACAATACAATTTATTCAGGTGATTAAAATCAAAGCCAAGGAACACCTTATGTTCAAGTTTTACTAAATTAATTGCCAAAACATAAGTTGACGCCCAATTAACATAGTCAAATATGATGGAATATTTACGAATGTCATTGAAATGATCTTAGAAAAGTCAAATGACTCATTAAGAGCGCGTTTATTGTCGACCAAATAATTTTCATATCGTTTTCAAGCAAACAAAATAGTTCAAGTTTAAAAGAAAAGAAAATTATTAAATCATCCGATGAATTTTATTTCAATGAATATCTACATCGTCTGTCTATTCATTCAGTCTAAAATTATACGAAAAAAATATCTTCTAATTTTAGAGCTACTTCTGCAGCGATTATGATCCCACAATCGAGGATTCGTACACAAAGGTCTGTTTTGTTTATATTGAATTTCGTAGTAAATGTTGTAATGCAAATGATGCACGCATATAAATAACTGTTTTATTTACTTTGTATATGACTGATTACACTAGCAAGTGGTAATTGACGACATACCAGCTAAACTCGATATCTTGGGTAATTGAAAATATGTTAATTTTATGTACCTTGAGATTAAATATTAATTTGTTTGTAGACACGGCTGGTCAAGAAGAATTCTCTGCTATGAGAGAGCAATACATGAGATCTGGAGAAGGTGAGATTTTATTAAATAAATTATAATAGAAGGACAATGACATCCAAATGCTTTCGATCAGGATTTTTACTTGTGTTTAGTGTCACCGATTATGCCAGCTTTGAAGAAATCTTCAAATTCCACCGACAAATCCTTCGTGTGAAAGATCGAGATGAGTTTCCAATGCTTATGGTTGGAAATAAATCTGACCTTGAAGCACAACGTGTGGTAAGTTTTCAGCTTTATCACACGAGTTTTTAATTGTTTGATTTTTCATTCAGATATCAATTGAGAAAGCACAAGAACTAAGTCGTCAATTGAAAATTCCCTATCTTGAATGCAGTGCAAAAGGTAAGCATAACTAATTGGATAATTTTGTTACGAATAATAATTTTTTTTTGTTTCTCGACATTAGTCAGGATAAACGTTGATCAAGCTTTTTACGAGCTCGTTAAGATCGTGAGAAAATTCCAACTCTCAGAACGACCACTTGACTTCAAAGACGACAGCAAAAGGAAGAACAAGAAAAGATGTTGCGTCTTATAATTTCATTAACCAAACACTTGGTTTCTCTGCCGACAAACACAACAAAATGAAGAAAAATAAGCATTTAACCTTTATCAAAATATCCTTTCAATTAGACCAACGAACGAACGTTTTCATATCTCATTGGAATGTGCCTAACTTAATGAAAACAAAAAAAATAATTGACAATTTATTATCAAAACTAATTTTTGGCTTCCATTTCAAAGTGTTCTAAAGATAATTTATCTTTTATATCAATTTTATTCTACTCAATTGGCTTCCATTTTAATTCGTTTTTTTACTTAAATTCATTTAAATTGTTTGAGAAGAAACAAAATTCTGATTGACAAACATAAATTTTCATTAAGGCATAAAGATTGGTGCTTTATATAAAGGAAAACATGAAGAAATTGTGTCATTAAATATTTGATGTTAATAACAAAAGAAAAATTAATTACTTAAGGCAACGAAACGTTGAAATGTGTCAATACATATATTTTTTGACCAGACGATGTATGTACTCATAGATTTAACAAATCGTACTAAAACAGCATATTAATTACACCATTGTTGTTGTCACAATAGATTTTGTCTTATTGCACATTATAAATGTGCCTGCAACAACAATAATTACAAGAAATTGGAAAATCACTAATTTTGATAAGAGAAAATATTTGATAAGTGTTAAGTCTTATGGAGAATAATCTGTCAATGTTACACAAGAAAGAAATATGTTCAATGTATCATAAATAATTCTACAATAATGATTTTAATCAATGGAAAATAAAAATGAAAGAGAAATATATTCTTAAGAAAATGAATTTCAATTTTATTGAATTGTTATTGATCAAATTTCAGATGTTTAACTTGGTAAGTAGCCAAAGATGAAAATTGAAGTGAAAGTAAATATTTAATTTCAATAAAAACCAATTTATAATGAAAATTAAATTTAAATGGATATCCAAATAAGTCTGCGTGCATTTTTTCACATTTCTATGAGATGATTCAATAGCAAAAAATACTTTTACTTTCTAATCTAAACATATAAAAAACTGATGACAAAAGCTCATTTATTTAAATCAACGTACCTCAGCTTAAATTACTTTTAATGAAATAAATTATGAAATGTGCAATTCTGGCGGACAGTTTTATCTTTTATTCCGGTAAATTTCACTTTCACTCTCTAATAAACTGCCAGTTGATTACAATCTGTTCTGATAGCAAGTTATACTTTATTCCTTAAATATATTTATGAATCAGTGTGATTGATTGTAAAAATATTTGAATATTCCACAATCACGTATACATTTATCAAAACGATAAGACGTTAATTAAATACTTAATAAATAATCGATTATGAAGTTATTGGAATTTTGTTTTCACCTTTCAACATTTCCTTGGCTGGCTAAAATAGCTGATTGGAAGCTTCATTGTTCGCAATTTGTTAAAGTAGAATTTTAAAAGATTATTCAAGATTTTGCTTTATTAATTTGTGTTTCCTTTTACAAGGCAACGACACCTTTTCCTTACATAACTTTAGTTGGAGGGACTTTCGCATCATCAGCTCCACCTCATGTCATAACAAAACCAACGAAACGCTGTTGTCAAACGACGAGTAAATTTTCTATCTTCATACTTATTCACCTATCAAACCCCCTCAATTTTATTATTATTATTTTTTAGCTCCTTCGGATACAACAAGACCACCAAAAGAATGCTGCAATTCAAGTAATATTTGATAACATTTTATATTAAAAGCTTTCGTTAATCAAAATTATTTCATTCAACGTTAGCATCAACCACGTCTTCAGGAAATTGTTGCACAACTAGTGAGTATAATTCAATGTTTAATAAACATAAAATATAAAAGTTTTCTCATTATCAGGAACGACAACGACTGAAGGTAGAAATGTTTAATTTATTAAAATAAACTGAGTTAAATTTATATTTTTATAACAAGAACCGGAAACAACGAGACCATCGAAGGATTGTTGCACTAATTTAGGTAAAATTGTCAAAATTAAAACTTGAAGTTTATCTTATGAATTCTTGAATAATTTCAGGAAGAACAACAACACGAAGACATCATCGAAGTAATTTAGTTAAATTATATTTAAAACACATTCGACATATAATCAGTTAATTTTATATTTTAAGCTTCTACAACAACTGAAGGTAAGGAAAATAATTTTGAATTTGTTATAAATTGTTTAAAAATGTCAAATAGCGTCAGAGTCTAGTGAAATTGATGTAACAAGACCACCGAAGAATTGTTGCAGGACGTCAAGTGAGTCAGTTCAATTCATACTTATTGTAAATAGTTGAGAAAGTTTCGATATTTCAGGAAGGACAACATCGTCAAGGGCAGGATACAAAGATTGTTGCACCACAGGTAAATTAATAAATTTAATTATTAAAAAGTTTATAACTAAAATTTATTTTTCAGCAACTTCCACAACTCGAGAAGGTGAAAATTAAATTTTTCTTTTCAATCATTTTGAAATGACTTCAAATTTATGTTAATTGTTAGTAGCTGCAACAAAACCATCAAGAGATTGCTGTCATCCATCTAGTAGATAATTAATAAATTGATCAATAATTTCTTTTATTTAATTAAAATATTTTAGGAAAAACTACAACACGTAGGAATTGCTGCAATTCAGGTAATTATGACATATTTTCCATTAAACTTATTTTCTTAATGCAACTCCGTGTTATTTCAGTGACTTCAACAACAACAGAAGGTAAATTAAATTAAATCGAAATATTCTCTTGTTTTCAATTCATTTTGATCAGCACCAGAATCAAGTGAAGAAGAAGTTACGAGACCACCGATTAACTGCTGTTTAGGTAGCTTTAATTAATAAAATTAAAATTGGTTATAAATTTTGATTAATCATTATTAGGAAAATCAAAAGCCGCCAGAAAATGTTGCAGTTTAAGTAATTGAAACAGATTTTATTTAGGAATGACAACTAACATTAACTTTTGATTTGTTTCTAGGAACAAGCACAACAACAGAAGGTGTTCGGCTTTATATGAAATTCACTCCATTTATTAATTAACGAATTAAATTTCAGAGCCTTATGAAAGCGAAGAAGAAACAATAAAACCTTCAAAAACTTGCTGCACAAATTCAAGTAAGTTTGGAATCCAAAATATTGCAGTAATTTTTAACACCACAATGAAGTTTTTTCTCATTAATTTTGATACGGTCTCCTTTGGTCGCATAATTGTACTCCAAATTAGAAAGAACGTCTTCTAGAGATTGCTGCACTTTAAGTAGATTAATTATTTACAAATTTTCTTACATGTCAAATAAATTTGGAATGTTTCAGAAACAACAACAATCGCACCAGGTAGGAAAAACAATTTCAAATTTACATGAAAACTAAATAAAAGTTTAAGTCTTTTTGATACTGCACCAGGATCATCAGAAGAAAGTGGTAACAACTTTTGAAAATTATTGATTAAATATCAAATAAATAATATTAATCCATTCAAGGTTCATCAACAAAAACAACCAAATGTCCTAGACGTCCTATTATATGTCCATCCAAACGAACCAGAAGTCATCCGTGGCTAGCAACTTCATCTGAAAATGGTTCTGATGAAGTTGATCCTCGTACATACACTGACAGGAAAAAGCATAAAAATAAGCAAAACAATCCGTTTGATCATTGTCCATGTGTTGATTTTCGAGTTGCATTAGCACAAGTCATGCATTGATTAATCATCAAATATTAATTAATTAAAGAAAAAAGATTAGTTGGAAATTTCTCATTTAGAATATTTGCACTTGGAATTTTTTTAAAAAAAGTTTTTTACGATTTATATTTTTTATCGATTCGTAACTCATTTTAAAAACTTAACTTTAATTTGCTTTTATAACAATTTTGTTTCATTCTCAAAATTTCGTGAGCATAAAAAATTTTATCAATAAACATTAATTGAAAAAAAATGCTGACAGTTATGTTCCTTATTTAAATAACAATGACAGACTCACTTTTACATTTGAATGTTTCTGTTCTTGAACAGGAAGCAAATATTAAATGAAGAAAGCAGAAAAAAACAAACGAGAAGTTTTTATTGCAATTACATTTTTTATGGCAATGTCAGAACATTTAGAATGTTCGATAAAATTGTAATGTGTACTGGAAATTGATTTTTTTGAACATCGCTTTGAATTTCCTTAACAGGCTTATCTAATAGTCTATTAGAAAAAAGAATTTAACTTAAAAAAAAGTGATGAAAAACTGTCAAACAGTTCAGTTCATGTAATTTTTTTATCAGTCGCGACGAAAAATTTTGCAATATTTGGATATGTAGACGATCGTCGTTCAGTTCAATTTTACAGTTCCTAAATTAAACATTGACTGCTGGAACTTTCTTCAATTAGTTTGGGATTTAATTTGAATGATTGTTTGCATACAACCAATTTCTATCATGAAAATTGTTTTAATAGTTTTATTAATTCACGTTAAAGTTATTTTGAGTAAGTTAAATGCAATTAAATAATGTAATGATTGTGATCATTGCAACTTATCTGTAATTTTTGGTATATTGACCCGTGAATTAAATGTTTGTTAGCCTACATAGTCACGCTATAATTTTCTATAAAAGCTTTCCGTATCGCTGGTAATCATTTATTATTTTTTTATGTCTGGTGTTAATGTTGTGTTTACCCTATTGCACTTCTAATTTACAATGATTTGCTTAGGTCGACTGATTGCTTTTTTTATTTTTGTTGAACATAAGTTTCGAATAAAACGAGCTGAAAACAGAAGTCAAACGACAACATCAGTTTTAAACTTCTAACTGGTGACAACGTGTTAAAAAATTATGTTCACGCTCTGGTGGATTATCACGAGTAATCAATTCGAAAAGAAACAAAAACTAAGATTTTTAAGGTCACAATAATTATCTGCATGTTATCTGCGTGCATTTAATGCGAATAAATGTGATATTTGAACTCAGTGCATCAAATTAAGTGAAATAATGAAGTTGGAAGAATTTTGCTTGCAAATTTTGTCTTTTCCTTTATTGGCAAAGCTTGTCGATTGGAGATTCAATTGTTCACAATTTATAAGAGTGAGATTTAAAAACTATTGTTGTGAAAGTGTAAGTGAAACTAAAAGTTTAAATTTTAGCGAACGACACCGTTTCCAATGATGATGGATGTAACTTTTGTAACGACAGATTCTACAAAAAAAATCATGTCAACGTTTACAAAAGAGTTAGAAACAACGACACGTAATATTTACTTTAAAAACATTTGCAAAGTTTTCCTTTTTATTAATTATTTCTATTTTAGCTTCATCATTAACGACACTTCCAGGTGAACTAAAAAAACTTCGTTTCAATATTCTCCACACCGTTAATTTTTAACTTTATGTGAATTTATTTCAAAATGAAAATCTTTCAGTGATTTCATCGTCATTGACACCATCAACAGAAAATGTGATTGAAACCACGCTTTCAGTTTCTGACATTTCTCCAGCTTCCGAAGTTCTTTCAAATAGCACTGAAAATAATCAAACGAGTTTAAATTCCGAATCTTCAACTTTAACTGAATTTCAATCTTCCTCAGATTCCCTCACAGATTCCCCAAATACTGAAGAAAGTTCAAGTTCCAATCCTATAATTATCCAATCCACTTCCAATTCTGATTCTGATCCTCCGACAACTCAACAGTCACCTGACACATCCCTAACAGAATCCACTGAATATCCTGAAAGTTCCATTTAAATGATTTTCCATTAATAATTCAATTTCCCAATTATCATTGACCCAATGACAATTTCGTATTCCATTTCAGTTACAGCATGTCCCGAAATTCCAACATTTTGTCCACCACCCGTTCCATTCTCCACACCGTCAACATACAACGATGACAATGCTTACGATCCCAGATCCTTTTCCCTCAATCAATGTCCATGTGTCGATGTAAGACTGCCTATCGTTCATCAGCTATCACAAGGAATACGCCAACAAAATATTGTGCAAAATAGATTAGACAAATTTAGATAACATTTCAATAATGTCAAAGTTTTATGTTATGAAATTGTGTACAATTTTTTAATAAAATAATTCCAGACATTCATTTTATTTCTAATTCTTTTAATAAAATTGAAAGGTTTCCTCATTAAAGATCATAAAAAAATATTTTTTATATTAGATTTCAATATTTTCTGTGCAAACAATGGTGATGAAGTTTCTAATGAATCAACGGCATTAAAACCCCAGCGACGCTTTTTTATGTTCTCGTCTGATCTAAATGATCTTGATTCAAAACCAAATGAAAAACCACCAAAGAAACCACGAAATCATGACAGACACATTTTCCAAAAATTGAATTCGAAGAAAAAGTCAAAAAATCGTAAACCATCAAGAAGACCGCCAAGAAGATTCAATAAAAATGAAAATCGAGATAAATCCACTTCCACTTTACGTTCGGTGAACCTTCCAATTGATTCAGGACCAATCATCAATCGATTACCAACTATAACTGAAGATAAATGTGGAATTAGTGACAGCATTAGATCTCGAATTGTTGGGTGAATATTTTTAACTAAATTTTAAGAATTTTATTTACTTTTAATTTTAGTGGTTCTGACGCTCCACGTGGAGCTTATCCATGGCTTGCTGCACTTGGTTATAAAACACCAACACTCCGTTTCCTTTGTGGTGGATCTTTAATCACACAAAAGCATGTTTTATCGGCAGCTCATTGCATACTTGACAATTTAATTAAAGTTAGACTTGGAGCGCATGATATCAATTCAACTACTGAAGGTTCCATTGATGTTGGAATTGAGAAAACATTTGTTCATAAAGATTACGATTCAAAATTCATCATGAATGATATCAGCATGTTGAGACTCGATCGGATCATTAAAATCACAAACTCAATCAAACCAATTTGCATACCGTTAACCGATTCGCTCATTACAAGAAACTACACGGGATCTCGTGCGTGGGTGGTAAAAATTCAATTTTAATATTTCGTAAAATGCATTAAAGAACTAAGAAATATTTTCCCACCGAAGGCTGGTTGGGGTTCGACGAGTTTTCGTGGTCCTGGTTCACGTATTCTTCAAGTGAGATTATCCTTAAATGTTATGCACTCGTGAGTCTTGTAATTTGAATAATTTTGCAGGAAGTTCAATTGCCTGTCATTGCAAAATCAACATGTGAATTCAATTATCGACTTTACTTTCCTAATCAAGTGTTCAATAATAAGATTTTATGTGCGGGATATCCTGGAGGGGGTAAAGATAGTTGTCAGGTAACTAACAGATTTCTTTTGTTATTGAGTCATAAACATTTGCAGCATGACAAAGGCTTTTATTTTCATTCTTTATTCTTTATTAGGGTGATTCAGGAGGAGGGTTGGTTTTACCTTTGACGACACCAGATGGAACAGAAACTTATTACATTTTAATCGGCGTTGTATCTTTTGGTAGGAAAACATGAATTTCTTAAGAATGAAAAAAGTTCTGACAATTTATTTGAAAAGGTTTTGAATGTGCTCGACCAAATTTTCCCGGGATTTATACGAAAGTTCCAGCTTACCTTGATTGGATTCAAGAGAAAGTAAATGATTCTTAATCAAACAAAAACAATTTTTTTTCTTTGTCTCTTAAAAAATTTTATTCGAAACAAGATTTTGGTTGGAATTTTGAAGTCGATAAATTTATTTTAATAAATGAAGAATGAATTAGAAAATTGTAAATGAATTAAAATTTAATCTTAAAAGTCTTATCATCAAAAGTTACAATTTTAAAAAAGTTAAATAATCACAGTATTTACAATTTTATTGATCGTTAAAGTTAAATGGAAAAGTTATTTAAAATCTTTAACATTAACAACATTGCTTTGAACAGACTTTAAAAGTTTCAGTTTCAATCTTATGTTTGTTTTTTTTTATAAAAAGGGACTAGGGATACAAAATTTTGGATTTCCTCAAATTTGTCATTAAGATCATTAGACTAGACGAATGAATTTTGAATATTTTAAGTTTAAAATTGCCAAAAGTTTGAGATTGAGACCAGAAGTTTGTGATGAATTATTCAACAACTTTAGAAATTGGTTTAAATTTTAAATTTCTTATTCATAATGTGAATCGAAAAAACTTAAAAAATTAATTTTAAATATCGGGAGAAACAACTTCTCGTTTAATATTGGAAATTGTTTCAGAAAATGTCGGACTCAAAGCTAATGCCGGATTTGCGACTGCAATGATGTGACCACCTGATGATGAAATCACTTGAACGCCCAAAGGACTCGTTTCCAGAGATTTCTGGTTGTCATCATTACCTTTGTCAAAATATTCTGATGTTGTGTCGATTGAATCGCGATCATTGTTACCGTTCTTTAAATTATATTAAATTATTTAAATTTAATTCTTCAAAACATATTTTAACTCCAACTTACATGAACTGGCGACGAACTGGAACTGAAGGAGAATCTTGAATCAGTGTCTTCAAAATCTGACGTCGAATAACGACTGAAGTTCTTCATGAACGAATCTTTCAACTGCTGCTGATTGATATGTTGCGATGCACTCAACACCAGCGACAATTTCGTTGCTTCAGACAGATCAAAAGGCTTCACAGTTGAGAACATGCACGATTTCTCACGAGAGTCATCAAGAGAATCCTTGAGGGAAAATTGAAATTGTTTCAGTTATTGAAAGTTTAAAAAATTGAAGAATTCGAGAAAGTTTGGTGGCAAAATTAAAGCAAAAATAATAAATAAATTCATAATAAAAAGCAAAAGCGAATATTTGTGGAAGAATCTACATCATCGGCTCATAAAACTAGCCTCAGAACAAAAAAGGAATTCGCTAAAAAAGCATAGCGGGAAAAGGAAGAAAAGCAGGAAAGCGTGAAGCAGAAAAGCGTTTAAGCACCTGAAAGCAAGAAATGTTGTTAAGCGATCAATAAGCATTTTTACAAAATTATTCTAAATATCTACAAAGCATAAGCGAAAGCTCTTAAGCATAATTCGAGTTAGTAACAAATCACCGAAGGCATATAAAAGCAATTTACATAAATAATTATAATAAAATTGCACAAATGAGCACAAACTAAGCTGTAAGCGATCTAAGGTAAAAGCATGTTAGTTAAAATTTATACTTAAATTGTTTTGCCAATTCTAAAACAGTAAGCAAAAGAAAAGCTGTGCGTAGATTAAAAGCGTAGGTGGAAAGCCAATAAAAGCATTAAAGGCAAAAATAACTTGGTGATGAAAGCTGAAAGCATATAAAGTTAAGCAAATTATAAAAAAGCTTGAAAATTAGTAAGAAAAGCAAAAGCATTGGAAAAGAAAGTTTTTAATGTCGACTCACTTTTCCCATTTCCGACCCCGAACCGCTACTAGCCAAACGCGATCTTTTACTTTGCTGTTCCAATTCTTCATTTCGATTTGATTGTCCTTGACTCATTAAACGAATGGTGGCTGAATGACCAAAGCCTGAATCTCTAACAACACGACGAGCTAAAGGGAAAAGTTCATCACGACGCGTTAGCAATGCTGGAATAAATTTACAAATTTGAGCTGCCGCTTCATTCACACACACTTCATGCAATGTTAGTGGCTTTTCTGGTTTTCTTTTGCAATCAAATCGACCATAAATTGCTGAATATTTTCTTATCTCATCCATTCTTCGAGGATCTGATTCATTCATCGCAATCACTTGCTCGAGTTCACGTGCTGATCTCTTTTTGATATTTTGAGTTCTTGGCTCATATTGGGGAAGAGTTCGAGCTAAACGTTCAGCGGATGTTACAATTCTTCCAATTTGAGAATCAGTTAATGTTGGATTAAGTGAAGCAACATTGGAAGAAGTCGAGGATGATGACGAAATTGTTGGTGGAGTTCCAAAAGTCGACGAAGTTAAACTACAAAAACCATGTGAAGAAGCTGCATGCGATGAACCTGCATGTGGACTTGAGAAGCTTGGATTAATTCCACTATAAGAAGCACCAATTGATCTCTGTTGCTGTAATTGTTGTGAAATGCTTCCTGGTTCGGGATTGAAATGAATTGGAGGCGGAATTTCACTACTTGTTGGCATGGGAGATTGAAAAAGTGATGGATTTGTCATCCATTCGTGAAGCGCTTTTTGCAATCTTCGAACATGTAAAGGCTTTGATGCCATTCCTACTAAAGCCATAATTTCGAGAAATTCTTCTTCTCCTGCATCACAAAGTTGTTGCACATCATCACCACCTGAAATGAATGAAGATTTTGGATCATGAAGTGACTCTTGATGATGACTTTGTTCGACTTACCCATTTCCAAGAGAGTGTCATAATATGCAAGCAAACTAGCACGCTGAAGAACTCTGTACAATTGAAGTTCAGCTTCATTCGATGGATTTGATGTGTTCACCACTGAAAGAAAAGAAAATTTTATAAGAAGTTTTTTAAATGTTTTTTCGAACGGTTCATTTCAAACCACACCTTTCGCTTTTGTCTGAACTTTTACCCTAAGGCAATTGAAGAAATAAAGAACAAAAAATCTATTGGTGAAAAAACTCGTTCATGCAGCATAATGTTTAATGATTCATTGTGCGAAGTTCTCACTGAACAAGAAGAAGATAAATGGGGATGAAATGTCTTAAATTTAATGATCGAAAGACGCAACTTAAAGATGCAAATTTGTTGGAACGAAGAAAGGGTTGCGATGCTATTACGTGCGTTGCATAAATTGATGTCGTATCGATGCTTAATGCGCTTTCAAGATGAGATTACGAATGTTTGAAAACTTAATTAAATGAATTTGCATAAATCTTTGTGCAAAAATGCAAATTTATGTTGAATTTCATGGGTGAAAAAATCTTTGAGGTACTTCAAGAGGTTGTTGATTTATTATGTTTATCTAATTGATCTTCAAATCATCACGCAATATTTGTTTAAGGTTTTAAGAGAATATTTAGATATTTATAAATGATATCAAGTTATGAAAGTGAAGGTTTTGGGGTTGTTGCAGAATTGCTAGAAATGGCGATTATGTTTGTATGAAATTCACTTGAAGTGACTTTGAAGGATCTCGAAATAATCACAGAATTGAATCTTTAGACTTTATAAAATATTTAACTTAACAACAAACAAACAAAAAAGAATATCCACAAAAAATCCTTTTCCTTTAATAATTTCTTGTAATTTTCTCACGTCTCTAACTATCGTGATTGTTTCCCACAAAATGCAAGCAACAATAGACAAGGCTAGAGAACAAAAGTTCTCTACTGATATAAAAACTCATCTTATTTGCATAAACTCATAAGAGACAAAAAAGCAGTCAGTGTAGACAAAAAAAAATAATTAATCGACCCGCCGAGAGAGAATCACACGTTCTTGAAGGAAGATTATTCAAATTTCTTTCTTTCCTTCCTTCAAGGCGCTTCGCTTCGTTCACGCATAAAAAACCCACATAAAGTCTGTGCATAAAAAACGCACGAGATGATTGCTCTCCCTTAAAACTCGTTTGTTACCTGGTTGCTGAGTCTCATCATTTCACTCTCAACGCGGACCCGGGTCAAAAAAACGAAGACGACGAACAATGGAAATATGCAAATAAAGGCTGATGATGGAAAAAAATGAAAGGGTTCTGAATGGATCTTTTTTTTTGTTTTGTGGACGGTTTTTTATCTTTAATGATTGTTTTTCATACTGATCTGCATAAGTAATAAGATGACGCTGGTAGTGAAGACGAATTTCAGATTTTTTTCTGATGTTTTAAGAATTTTTTTATTTGATGGAAAGGAGTTGCGTGAGAACATTTTTGTTTTGTTCTTGCACTTATTTAGTTACAATTGGACATAAAAAATCGTGTTCGTAATGGAATGATGATTTGTTGGGAAATATTCCTTTAAAACAATTTAATAATTTTTCCATTTATCGATTTCTTAAAAAAATATTAAATCATCGTGAGTTTAGTTGTGGAATGTTTTATAAAAAAATATTTGCAATTTGTTTTCTGGAGAAAAATGACAAAGCGAATAATTTTCTTTTGATATTAATTTTTATCAAGGAAATTTAGGAAAATTTAGAAAATTTTAAGATTTTAATAATTTTTCCCATTAAACAAGTTTCCAGAATTTTTTTTTGTAGTCAACTTTTAAAGATGCTGAGTTAAGTTTAAGATCAGTTTCATCGTTGAAATTTTCTAGGAATATTCATAATCCTAACCCTTCTAAAAACGTAGGAAATTCTTCTTTTTAAGAAATAGAAAAAGAAATTAACAGCAATCTTCTTGATGCAATGTTAAAGTAGGGTCGCTAGGAAGGGAACAGCCTATTCAGAATTCGATATGGATTTTTTCTGCAACTTTTATCCAATCACATCACTCAGAAAAAATGTATGATTTAATACCGACATCTCACAGGCATTGCTGATTCGACTGTGAACGAAACTTGGAATAAGAAAACGAAATGTAACAAAAGAAATAAATAAAAAACGAGAGAAGGGAATGAAGGAGAAAAAAATATTTCACAAAACCTTAAATCGCAAAAATGACATGAAGAAGAATTTCAAAACGCATAAACTTTTGTTGTTGACTTTTTTTCCTCTCATTGCTTGCAAGCGTCTGTTAATTTTTTTTTTCATTCTTCCAGCATCGCAAGAAATCAAGATTTCAGTTTCGAATCTTACAATCTCGGAAAAATATAAAATTTATGGATGCCTGAAATTTTTCCTCGAATCTAATACTTGGAACAATAAAATTGTACAAAAACGTTAAGAAGAAGATTCAATTATGATTGTGGGGTGAGTTAACGCTTTTCTTCGAGACAGAATCCTGTAACCGTCCTTGGGAAGAAAAACGGTTTAGGCCATATGTTAACCCGTTTTTTTGATTCTTCTTTCATTTCTTTCATTCTAATTATTCTTGCCCTATTTGATGCTCTGGTTTCTAGAAAGACTCTTGCATATGTCCGGTTATTCTGTTTTTTATGAACAATTTTTTTTGTAATGAACAAAAAATATTCAATTGTTTGGATTATTGTGAATAGAACATCATCAGACAGACGGTACAAATGAAGTTGATTATTTTCTGTTCTTTTTTTCTACTTGAATACATATCAAGATGTTAATAAGAAGCAATGAGTTGAGTATCCAACAAGGAGTTGTTAATAGAATTGTTAGATTATAATCTACATGAATGATCAACTTCTGTATGATTACAGGCGACAATGAAGAATAAAAAGTCGCAAGTATCATTCTAATGACAAAAAATTGAGCAAAAAATGATCAAACTGATTTCTTGTCTCACTGAACTTTGTTATAAAAATTCTTAATTCTGTCATCAAAGATAAGTTGAAGATTTAAGAAAAAAAATTAATTCGAGCACAAATTTTCTTTCACGATTCTTCACATCCTATTTTATTTGTTTCAACTCTCACGTTTGTGTGTGGCAAGAAATGTTCAACTTTTTGTGACTGTTCAGACCATAAGGAGCCACACGAAATGTGAAGTTTTTCTGTCTTAAAGTCGGTGTCTTTCATCGTCTTCGTCTAGTTTTTTTTCATAAATTCCATTTATTCTTTTTTTTAATCTTTTATCGCCCAGACGTGGACAGAACATAAAAACTTCTCAAAGACTTTTTTTTTGGTTTGATTCTCTAATTGAGAAGAAATTTTATTTTTTACTTACTTGTACCATTGCAGTTTCGACTAAGAATTTTTCCTGTTGGTGGAGTCAACACGGGACTCGAAAGTGTTGAAGATGAAACTCTTTTTGGAGTATGTTGTGGATCACTTGACACTGTTGGAATTGAACTAAATAAAACAGAAGTGCTTGCACCAGGCTTCTCATCAGACGATGATGGATCAACAATTACTGAATGACTAGACGCTGGTGTGCTTGTAATGATCGTTGACGTAGTTGAAATGTTTGACGATGTAACTGAAAATGGTGTCGATTGATCCATTTACATAAGAATCCGAACACGATAATTTTAATCAAACGAATATAGAGAAAAGAAAATTTTCCGAATTAATGTTGAGATCATAGTCAGTAATAAATATGGAAAACAACGCTGGAAAAACTACTACGGATTTTTTTTGTGTGGAAATGAAAAGCCAAAGAAAGGAAAATAATTTTTCAGATTCTTGAATCACGTGCTTGGATTTTTTATTTTTTCCTAACTAATTTCGAGCGGGAAATTTATTTGCCAAAATTACTCTAAGAAGCGGAAAATCTAATTTAAATTTAGAAAATGAAAGAAAAAATGTTCCGATTCCGTTAATTTTCGATTCAATTTGGTCACGTCTGGTGTTGTGCACTCTCGATTAATTGTTTGGTTAAAGTCTCTTCATTAATCCTTTAATTGCACTCTTTAAGAATTTTTCTTAATAATTTTTATTATATTTTGCTAGCTTATTTAACACAACTTTTCAGCTTGATATTAAAAATATTTCTGACCAAGAAACTCTTCTTTGGACGCGATTGTGAATCTAAAAATTCGTTTATGTTATGATCTTGAATTTTTTCCCTTATGTTGTTTTAATTCTGTTTTATTCACCTTTACTCCGCCTTAAAGCTCGCATTTGAAGATTTTATTTTATAGCAAGTTAAATGTTTGTGCTTTTACTCTCACATGAGAGAGAAATTAATGTTGCACAACATAAAAGTTTTCTCTCAAACTATTGAAATGACTACGAGTGAAAACATTTAAGAAACATTTGTTTAGAGTTGAGGATCTGAAAAAAACAATTTGCGCCTCTCTTTTATAGCATTGATTCGTTTAAAGGTAAAGAAAAAGATCTGAGGCAGTTTTTGTTAAAAATATTTATCGTTCAATTCTCGTTGTTAATCATTCGTGAGTCCAAAAGGGGAAAAAACATTATCGGCTGTTTGAAAGTTTTTTTCCTCCTTCAACATGAAGATAATTTATTGAATTTTAATAGTTTTTGCTTATTGATTGCGGGATTGTTTTTGTTTAGATACTGCAAGCCTCTTGCAAACATAAAAACACGTAAACGTCTTCAATATTTATAAGTCGTTTGATATTTTTTTAATGAGTAGCGAATTGATGAAAATTCAAGAAGCGTCGAATAATGCCACAATTGGAGTTGCCTTTGCTTTGAATTTAATTAAATTTCTTAGGAATTGTAGAAGTTTATCGAGTTGTGAAAACTTCTTCATAGATCAAAAGTGTTCTAAACTTCATGAAAGAACATTTTACATTCAAACAACATCAAAACTTACTTCAGTTAAGCAGAAAAACATTGCAAGAAAAACTTTTTTGTCGTTTCTCTTCTTCAACTCTCCGCTAACGAAAAATCTCATAAAGTAAAGCGAGTAAATATTGGAATTGAATTTTAAGATCGTTTCGATTGCAAAAAAGAGTCTGTCGCAACATTTCATAGAAAAAGATTTTTTTCCCATCTCGCACTGCGATCATACATAAATTAACTTTTTTTTGTCACATTTGATGATAAACACAACTCTGATTGAATTTTTTAAAAACATTTTTCATTTCTTTTATTTCTTCATTTTCAACAGCAGATAATGTTTTGTTTGATTTGTTTCGTTTCTCACGATTGTTCTTCTCTCGTCTTCACGGAAAAAAGATCGCCGATTTGTTAATGTTTTATAACTTATCTTACAAACTAGGAATTTTCTCTTTTCAATCGATTGGGAATTGTTTGTGAATCATATCACAAATTTCTTTTTGCTTAAATATGTTAATGATCATAAATTATTGTCAAAATAAAAGTGAAACTTGATGAATTGACGCTTCACAAATCTGTGACACAATCTACAAACTTTCCTCGAAACAAATAAATTAAATTAGATATTTATAAAGCTAACGACATTAAAATCATGAATTATTCACACTGATAATTTGATTAATCCATCCAATAAACGATGACACCTAAACAATATAATATTTCAATTATCAAAGACTTCATAAATAAATCAAATAAAATTTCTCACCTTAACGTAGACTCCTGGAACATCTTCTCGACCACATCTGTTGAAACAATGAACATTTTTTTATCAAAATGACTTTCTAAATTGCTGTTCGTTTGACTCACCCGAATCCCCAACTTACTAGACCCGCAAGTTCAAAGAATCCATCATCTTGACAAACAAGCGGACCGCCACCGTCACCCTAAGAATTAATAATTTTTATCATAATTTTTCTTTCAAATATCTTTATGGAAACTCACCTGACACGCATCATTTCCTGATATTCCACCAGCACAAAAACTTGACGCTGGCAAAATGAAAATCTTCTCAGTCACTGCATTAATTTTACGAATGCATTCAGTGTCACTGACGATTGGAATTTCAGCCTCACGAACTCTCAGTGGAATTGGACCAGACTCTCCCATGTACCCATAACCAGTGACTGTACATCTTTTACCAGCTGCATGACTCACGCCACGTGCTGGCAAACAAACCAGACAAACACCTTCTTTCAAGTCAGCTTGACCTAATAGCTTCAACAATGCAATGTCATTATCAAGTGTTTGACTGTTGTGATTGTGATGAATATAAGTTGTAGCAACTTTGAGAGTTTGTGCACCTGGACTGCCATACTTTCGTGTCAAGTCATAGTCGCCTACTCTGACGTATATCGCGTCACCAGATCGAACAATATTCGTCACGCAATGTGCTGCTGTTAACACCCATTGAGTTCCTATGAAATAAATTCAAGAATGAAGTTAAAAGTAAATGAAATTGATGTTAATTTAACTCACCAATCAAAGCACCACCACATAAATATTGATTTTGAGAATTAATTAATGCAACTTGCCAACACCATTCGCCATTGTCACCATCTTCACCTCCAACAACTCTCGCTTGTCGATGACTTAAATTCAAATTTCTTCTTTGATGATGATGATGATTTGCCATATTGAACGAGAATGTTGAATTATCTTCATAAATTATCGGAATGGGCACCAAACTACTGCCAAGAACAAGTCGTTCAGTGTTTTTGTTTTTATAAACATTTGCAACTTCTCTTTCAAATTCTTTATTTCGTTTCGATCTTGTTGTGGAATTTCCTTGCAAAACTAAATATTCTTTACCAGTTCGAATTGTTCCTTTAACACCGCAAACATATTTCGAGTATGGTGGAGGTCTTGGTGACGTTGTTGGTTCAACAATCTCATAAGTAATCGTCGATGGTTGTGAGATTGTTGGCTCGTAAATGTGGGCAGATGGTGGTGGATAATTATTGACAGCTTGTTGTTGGTAATTAATTGCAGGTGGCGGAGGGGGTGGCGGATAATTTGAAGGTGGATAATTGTTATTATAATATTGTTGTGGGTGTGGATAATTTGGATTAACTGGACCAAGGTTTGGATTGTATGGATATGTGTAGTTTCTGTTATGTTTGTCAAGTTGTTCTTGGATCTTTGTTTTTGGTGCACAGCATTGTGTTCCAGATTTCTTACACTTAAATAATTCAGTCATTTCAGCATTTCTGAAGCATGTGAAGCTCAACAAGCTAACAATACATGAACCAGGACATTCTTCTCTAGGATCGGGAGGTAATGTTGTTGTTGGAGCATGTGTAGTTGTGGGTGGAGGTCTTCTTGTTGTTGGCGGTGGTCTTCGAGTTACTGGCACTCTGGTATTGTCACAACAAATTGATCCACTGCTGCAGCTTGATGTACGTTGAATGACAACTTAAATTACGGCATTAAAAAAGATATTTTTGTGATCAATGTTTTTAAATCTTTACCTGCAGGTTTTTCACAAAATGCTGCCATAATGTTGAGTAAACAGAATCCGGGACATCTTGGAAGTGGTGGCTACAAATCATTCAATTAATTATCGGTTCAAGAAACATTGAAAGTGTTTATTACCCTTGTAGTTATACGTTGTGTAGTTGAAACAACTTCTTTGTCATTTGCACCTCCAGCAGGCGTGCAACAACTTCCTTCATTAGGACAATAAGCATTTGTATCGATGTCATCACAGAAAAGTGCAAATAATCCACTGACACATTCACCCTCGCATTCATTGAATACTTGGCCTTGACCGCTTGGCTTTTGTGACTGTTGGAAGGGTTTTTTTGTTGGTTGTGGCTTTGAATACTTCTGAGGCGGATTTGTTTTTGACTTCGGAGGTTCACTGTGGACCTAAACAGAGTTCAAATATAAATATTTAACTTCAATTATCACTTTCAAAGAAATCACTCACTTTCTCTGAAGTTTTCTGAGGTTTCATGGGAGCTTTACTCGAATTGTGAGATCCAATCAACACCCGTAAATCGGGGTTGTCCATATATGAGTCTTTAGCGACACAACATTTTGTTCCAACTTTACATAAATTTGGCGTTTTCAAATAAGCTTCACAATAATCAGCAATTCGATCAGCTACACAAACGCCGGGACATTCGTTGTCTTTCTTCTCACTGTATTTACTGCTTGTGGAATGTTTGACATGTTCTGTTGTTGTTCGTTCTGTCGTTGTTGTCACAGGTCGATGTGTTGATGTTGAAAGATTTGTAGCTGTTGACAGAAAAGATTTGTCAACATGTTTATGATGTTATTATGATTGTCTCACCTGCTGAACTACTTTCCACACAACATTTCATGCTTGGTGTCGGACATTTAATATCTTCAAGGACTTCATAACAAATCAAAGTGGCGAGTGCATGCACGCAAACGCCCGGACAATCTTTCGAATTCTCTGTCGATGTGATTGTGTCAAGGAGGCCTAAATGATGAGTAACACAATTTTTATGTTTGTTAAATCGGAAAAGAAAGTGAAATGATCAACTCATCACTTCATCTGAATAATTTTATTAGTCATGCTCGAGTTTTAATCTTTTGCGTTTTACATTTTTTATTGCCAAGCTTTATGCATGAGATGAAGTGAGGAGAAAAAAATGTTAAATGACGAAGAATGTAATTAACTGTTGACATATAAATTGATTGGCTTGTAATTGACAGTATTGAGCTGCTGTTGAATTATTCTTGAAATTTAATTTGCTGAAATTCGTCAGTTCGAAATATTTCACAAATTTTGACATAAATATTTCTATTTCTATTCAAATTTGTCTTCTACTTGTCAGTATCTATTTAAAAGAAATTTCACACCATAAGCAGTCAGTTGAAAACTGAGTCATTGTGTCAAAAAGCGATGAAAGGTGCGCATTTATTATAAATCATTTTGTTCTCTTGCTTGTTCTCGTTTGTAAAGTTTTTTTTTTCGCATGAATGCAAAAGAAAGTTAAATATGTAAAATATGGATTCCGATTAGAATGTAACGAGATGATTCTTGTTAAGAATTGAGAGAAAGAGAAGAAACCAGTGTGGGGACGGTTAGCATATTTATATCAAGTTCCGAAATATTCCGTTACGTAGACACACATAGTAGCACAAGCACACACTCGGCCTGATAAATATATTCAATAACAGTAAATAGGGCTCATGACGATTATTTTCTTATTGGATTCTCTTTTTTTGTTTCTTATTCTACCTGAAAGGAAACTCCCTGCTAAAGATTCATCCTGTCCGTATGTGTAAGGCACCGTCGATGTGAGAAGAATAATTGTTAATCCTAAAGTTATCTTCATCTTTCCACAATTCTTTTTTCTATTTTTCTACTTTTTTTATTGAGTAAATATTTGCAAAACTTTTTTTTTCTTCCTTTCAAGTCACTTTTTAAATTCGTCAAATCTTTGAAATTTTTATTTTCTTCACTTTTATTTCTTTAAATGTTTTTTTCTTTTTACATTTTAACTCTTCGTTGCCGATCCAACAATTTACGCACCAAATCGAAGACTGAAGTCGAAGACTAAAAATATTCAGCGTATGGAGAAATGGAAAAGAAAAATTCTCTTCAATAATATTATTATTATTAATTTCTTTATATTCTTCTTCTACGTTCGAAAGAAACCGTTAGCAAGTTGATTCTCGTATGTATTTGACTCTCTATACATTTGTTTAACTCGTTGTTGCAAACACAATATAACTTATAATGCCACTCGATCATATGAAGTAATATCTGCTTCAACTTCGAAATAAAAAACGAAGAACCAAACCAAGAAAAGAAAGGCAATTTGTTAAGTGATCTTCACTGTTTCGCGGTCAATCTTCAACTAACTGACAATCTCTTGAGAAATATTTCTTTCTTTTACCTTCCTGGAGAAATGACCTTGGATTCATTTCAAACTACAAACATCATTTGCCGAAAAAAAAAAATTTAAAAGAAACGAAAGAAAGAAGAATTTTTCTTCATTTAAAATTTCACTTGTAACACATTCCATGCTTTTGTGTGATTAATAAAGAAAGGAAAAAAGATTCTTCCAGAGACCTCACACCCAAAACATTATCGATAGTTGATGTCGTTGTCGATCATTGGTTTTCATTCAAGAAAAACGAGAAATTGCATCCTCATGTGATGAGATAATAACTGCATTGTAACTGTAAGGAAAGTAGGTGAGACAGCAATGAAACGAGAATTGAAGCCTATGATCGAAGATCATGACAAAGACATTGGCTTTTTGAAAACACTACAAATAAAACTTTCATATTTATTCTCAACGTTAACATCGTTACATCATGTTTCAATAAAATGAATAATATTCAATTAAAACATTAAAAAAAATTATCAACAGGTGAGTGAATTATTGTGAGGGAATGAAATTAAGAAAACAGAGTTGATTGCTTCGCGATTACACACAGCACACTTTTGAAGTGATGATGTAGACAAGGAAACTCTTCCATTGCTACCACACTGGTTTTGTATTAGAATTTGCTAGAAAGAAAAAGAATGAAAAATATTATTCAAGAAACGAATGAATTATTTATTTTCGAGTAGAATAAATGTAATTGAAATAGGTCATGGGCTGTTAAAAAAGGGGGAAAAGGTATTTGCCGTCAATCGTTCCATTATAATTATACATACGACCTTGATTAAACACGAAATGAAAAACAAACAAAATGTCTAATTGAATGAAAATGATTGGGATTGCTTTGTGTTGCATGACACATCTTTCTTTATGTCAGTCTTGAACAATAATAATGATAATCAAGTCATGAAATATTAATATTTGCTTCGTTCCTTTCCCAAATTTAATTACTTTGTCTAACGAAATTCTTTTATTTACCATTCAAAGCGATGTTCCAAGGGCTTTGTGCCTTCTTCATGAAATTTCCCCCAGCAAACCATGTCTTGTTCATTATGCATCCGTCGTCGTAAGGGTTCTGGTTCTTACGAAAATTCAAAGTTGTTTGCGACAAATCCTTACAACTACGAATTTGATGCATTAATTTTTCGCTTCGTTTGGGACGAAAGTAGGTCAAAGCCGAATCGATGTCCTTTTGTTTTTCGTTGTTGTTATTATCGTCGGTTCCTGTTAATGAGTCGCTTAGGCATTCCAATCGTGGCGGGGCGGTTAATGACGTGTTGCTGTCTCGACTTTTGATGCTTTCATTACTGCTTGGGGTACGTGTAGAGTTTGATGTTGCTGGTGGTAGTTTCACATGCATAATTAAACTGTCAGGAATTTTCCACTTCTTCAAATCATCAACCCATGTCGATTCAGACTTAATGTAATCAATGTTCCATACACGACCATCGCGCTTCAACACTGGACTTATTTTCTCAAAGAATTGTTCATAAAATTTGTTTCGTTTTTCAAGGCGTCGGATTGTCTCGAGATAGTCGGCACGATCAAGTTGAAATTCGCCCTGAATATCGACAATTTCACGTTCGAGGATTCGAATTTTTTGTCTTTGTTGCTTCAAAATTTCTGTCTTAGCGACAATCTCTTGATGAATGTCAGTGTAATGTGCTTGAAGTAAGTCACGATCTTCCGTTTGTTCAATGCGATTCAAAACATTACTTAAAGCACTGTCGAAAGGAAACATTTTCATTAATCAAAACTTGTGAAAGATTTTTAACTTACTTATTTTTCTTTTGAGCTGCGAGTTTCTTCTTAAATCTTTTCTCCTTCAATTGTGTGTCGTTTGCTCTCTCACCACCAATCAAAATATCTTTGATCGATTGTATCCGATCTGTTATCTTCGTTTCATCGTTTGAATCATCAGAAGGCTTGGCATTCATTTCGGACACTTTGACACTTTCAGCAACTTCAAGAAGTTTCTCTTCGTATTCTTTTTTCAGTTCGTTCATGCCTGAATTGGTGAGAGAAAAAAGTTTCATCACATTAAAAGTCAATTTCAATCTCCGCTAATCTCACTTTGAATTAATTCTTCCTTTTCCCTTTTTTGTTTCTCGTGATCCATTCGTAACATTTGCGCTTTTTCTTCGAATTCCTTTTCAATCTTCAACTTTTCTTGTTGAAGTTGTTCTTGAATGTCGATGTTGTTGTCAACGATATTGTCGTCAATATTTCCACCACTTTTCTCAAGCATCTTTCGAAGCATCGAAATTTCATTTTGATATTCACGAAGCATCGCATCTTTGGGGTCTTCATTGATTTTCGGTTTATTTGCGATGTTTTTAGCTCGTGAAGCATAACGTAAAGTTGATAAAGTTTCCTCATAGTTGTAGTCGGCAGGTGAAATGCAAGCAACCATCTGTGAAAATTAATAAAAATTGACGGAAAGAAAAAAACTTTTAAGAGTTTAAAAATCTTACCAAAGTTTTTGTGTTTCCACCTAAAGAATCTTGAAGAAGTCTTGTAAGTTTTGAGTCACGATAAGGTACATGTTTGGTCTTTCCATCAACTAAAGCTGAGATGACATTTCCAAGTGCTGACAACGACAAATTAATTTTTGTCGCTTCTTTCATTCTTTCACCACACGCGCCAGTTTTATTTGCACGTTCCGATCCCGCCAGATCAACAAGATTCAGTTTTCCCTTTCGAATCATGCAACTTTCTTCTTCTCCATGTTCATTTTGTTCCTTCGAAATTTGCTCGACGTTGATGATAAATATTGAGTGTGATCGAGAACTTCCAGCTAAATGAAAAGTGAAAAATCGATTTTTAAGTCACGACATTCACAATTTATTTGCATGATTTTACCGTTCATCAATGTGGCACCGGTTTTTCGATTTTTCGCTCCAAACAGTAAAAGCTGTTCACACTCACTGACATTGTGCACCGGATGTCGACTCAATGACTCAACGATGACACCTTCCGTAGGATTTTCTTTCAATTTGAGGTTGTTTTGTGTATCATTATTCAATAAATCGCGAATGTTTTCATTGTAAATCTCCAGATAACTGCAAACAACGAGATATCGCACATCATGTGCAACGCTTATTGCTTCAAAAAGATGATCAAAAGCATTCGAGATAATTCCATTATTCTTGGACGACTTTAAGCTTGTTGGATCAACAGAATTTCCTTCAACAAGCTTTGATAATGTTGGTCCCTGCATTGTATGACTTTTGCCACATCCAGTTTGGCCATAAGCAAATATCGTGCTGTTGTAACCTTCCAGAACACTCTCGACGAGTGAATAGCAAATGTCACCGTAAATTATGTCATTTGATGATGTTCCATCATAAGCACTGTCAAAAACAAATTGCTTTTCTGGTGCTTTCTTATCTGAAGGATTTTCGAGGTAAACTTTGCACCCTTCATCGATTCGAACGATGCCCTGAAGAGTTTCAAAGTTTTATTTTGTAAATAATTAAACATTAAAACTTTCCATAGACATTTTCAGTCATTTACCTGGCATTTCATTTTTTCTTCCTTCTCATTTTTCGGTCTACACCGGACAATGACTTTAACGAGTTCTGACATTGTCGTTTGTCTAATGAATTCTCAATTGACCTCCGAAAATCGAAAAAAAAAATGTTGGCTGATTAAAAAATCATTGAAATCGGAACTTCTCGTATGGAATGCACGTGAGTGAACCTGAGAAAGGATTAAACGGAATGAAACCTTTATAAATTATATATTAATTTAATGTCGATGTTATGATTCATAGAATATATTCTAATGAACGCTTTTTCCTTTTTTCGGTAATCAAAAGTTATCGGAACAAGGTTCATGAATTAATAAGTAGCCCAAGTTCGTATATTGTCCAACGACGACAAATATGTCGATATCGGCATTGAATTCATGTCGTTTATTTCAATGTAGATGATGATTAAAACTTCTTTTAATATTTAACCCTTTTTCCACCCACATCAAAATTTCTTTTAGGTATTAAATTATTAAATTTTAAACACGCGTGGGGTGAATTAAAGTTTATTCAATAGCGTCATAAGGTAATCAAGTTCATTTGTAAATAGATTCATAATCTTTATCAATTACTCATTCCTTCATATGGATTAATATTTGTAGATATCCATATCCATTAAATCGACTAATTCACCCCCTGCCAAGCTAATTAATATAAAATTTACATGTCTGTTTGTTAATGCTTTTCAAGGACATTTAAAGTTTGAACTTCAAAGTTGACATTTTTCTTACTTTTTTCTTTTTAAAGAAAAACAATTTTCACTTATGACAATTTTAAACTTAAGAACTTTCAAGAAATATTCCAAGATTTTTCTTGATCTCACTTTTAAATTTTTGTTTTTATTAACTGCGTTTAGATATAAAAAAATTCTTTCACTGCGTTTGATTTATTCAGGTAAACCAAGTGATAGCTAACATCACACTGAGAACTTTTCGAATTCTTCTATCGTGGCATTAAATGACGATGTTTATAGAGTGAAATAGAAAATTCTTTCAGTTTTACTAAACATGTTTGTAACGTACATTCAGTTGATGATATCCAAGTTGACGTGATCTTGAAAATGTTCCGAACTCCTGATACAAATGTTGTGGCAGAAAGTGTAGCCGTTAACAACCCACAGAGGGTTTTCATTTCATTATTAATTCAAGCTTTTGGACTTGAAAAGTTTGACAAAATTGTTAGTAAAGTGATGGTGTTATTCTTATATGTATTTAGATAATTGTTGCCTTGTTAAAATTTCCTAAATTTAAGAAAATAAAAATTTTCTTCCAAATTTATTTCTTTCTTGCAAATTTGGTCATCAGAATTTCCACATATCAACAAATAAATTTGATGTTTTGAATTAAATGAAACTAATTCGAAATGCTTACTAGGAATTTCCCATGAAAACTGTTCTGGTGACCAAATGAGTATCAATGTGGACATTCCGTGCTTATCAGCATATTCAATCAAATAATTACTCAAAAGCGAAAGCATGGGGAACGACATGCGATTTATTATGCTTAATTTTCCAAAGGAATAAAAAGTTATTCGATGATGCAATATTGATAACAAAGACAAATAATTCGAATCACATTGAAATGTGATTTCATGTTCTGGAAATTTCCAAACTTTTCATGTGATAAATTTTTTTATGATTTATTCAGAAATTTCATTTCATAAGTCAAGTTCACCAAATGTTTTCATGTTGTTTTATTGAATCTTACGACAAGCGGACATTGACTTATAAATTTCTTGGGTTAAGCGAGTTCAGAACAAAGAAATTTTCTACTTTTCCCTACATAAGTTTTAATCTTTTACCTAGTAACATAAATGAAAAATCAAGATGACATTTTCCTGTTGTCTTTCCATAATAATCATCTTCTCTCTAATTGATTGTCATACAAGTTATAAATAATTCATTAGATGTTCATCATAATTAAACAAATCTGTCTGTCTAATTATTATTAACACATTTATTTTCTCTCAATCATTAATGCAAGTCAATTATGGAAATAAGTTGATCATCCTTGACACAAATTTGTAGTAACTAAGAAGCTTTAATTAAATCTTTTTTTTATTTCCTTTCATGGAGAAGTAGAAATCATATCGTTAACAAATTTCTGTGCAATCATAGCAATTACACCATGAGGGTTAGCACTGGGCGATTGTGGAATGATCGAACCATCAACAACAAATAAATTTTCAATATTTTTCACTTGAAAGTTTTTCAAAACAACTGTCGATGTGTCTTCGTAGTTTCCAGCTTTGCATGTGCCAACAGGGTGAAACATCGTCATCGTCATGTGACGAATGTAACATTCCCAATAGTCATTAGAATCGAGGAAAAAGTTTTCACAGCCGGGGAAATGCTTTGGATTGATTTCAGCTCCGAATTTCTTCATTGATGGCGTCTCAATTAATTTCTCAATAATTCTTATTCCACTTATTAACTTCCTAATATCATCTTTATTATCTAAGTAGTTAGGATTGATCACTGGTGAATCGAGAAAGTTTTTACTCTTCAGTCTTAAAGTTCCTTTACTTTTGGGATGAAGTAAAACTGGCAGAATTGAGATCGTTGTTTGTCCAATTAAAGGTTTAAAATACTTTTCCCAAACCTCATCTCGAATATTTGTGATTTTTCTTAAATGAAGTCCATAATCAGCGATTAATCCAACTGGAAGTAACATAAAGCTCAAATCGGGAACTTCATTTGAGCGATTAAGTTTGACAAATCCCATAGCATCGCAGCCAGCAAGTGCCAATGGACTTCCATCGCCATTAAACCAGAAAAAGTCAGCAACTTTAAAAGGATTCACAATATCATTGATAGAAAGTCCAAGAGTTTGATTTAAGATGATTAAATCCAATCCAGTTGTTACATGATCTTGAAGATTTTCACCAACTGGAAGATTCTCTCGACATTTAATGCGAACTTCTGTCAAATGCTCTTCAGGTCCAATCCCAGAATGTAAAAGAATTTTTGGCGATCCAACGGTTCCAGCTGATAAAATTATTTTCCTTCCATACACATTATGAAGCTTTCCTTTCTTTAAAAATTCAACTCCAATTGCTTTCTTTGGATTCTTTTCATCGAACAAAACTCTAGAAACGATTGCATTTAGACAAGTTTCAGGGGAGTTTTCCAATTTGTTCCAGTTGTTTATCTGTGTAAATCGACCACCATTCAAATGAGTTAAATTGGTGTAAGAAAAGTCTTCAAATCCCATTTCCTTTCCACCTTCTACGAAAGCTGTTGAAATGATTGAAACGAACTTTCCTTGATCAATTGGAATATTTTCTTCATAATCCTTATAAACTTTTTCCGCTTTTTTCTTGTCAATAAGCCATTTATAATCATCATAATGTCCACGATGATAAATCATATTGTTTAATTGATGAGTTCCACCAAAGATTTTCCCAATTGGCCATGAATTTTGATTTTCCTGTAAGGCTAGACACGAATTTTCTTGTGACGACGTTTTAAAGTTCCAATCGAATGGTGATCCCTGTAAAAGTGGCTGAAGTATTGGAATATTAAGTAGAAAATTGTCTCCATTGCTACCAGCTTCTAACAAGAGCACTTTTCCTTTCAAACCTGATGCAATTGTCGAACCAGCTGATCCAGAACCAACTTTGTGAAATAAAAAGTTTAAATGAACGAATTCAATAGTTTAATTTTTTTCTTACCAATTATGTAATCATAAATATCATATTTGGGAAGAGATTGATCGAAAAACTTTTGACAATTAAATAATATTAAAGTATAAAAACTAAAAGTAAAAATGCCGATGAAATAAACAACAAAATTTGTAAACATTTTGAAAACTATACAATTCCTATTTTGAAACATTTGAATGGTTCTAAGAAGAGTTTGCATCTTTTTTGCTTCTTAATCGATTTGTTCTTCCTCAGAAAAATATTTTTCATCAAACATTTGTTTCGGGAATAAAAAATTTCAAAAATAAGTTTATATACTGCTTCTGACGACATAAAAGTTTCTCAAGATGGGAGGTGGGACACCAACAAAAGTAGTCCAAATCACCAATATTGCACCTCAGGCAACAAAAGATCAAATGCAGGCGCTTTTCGGATTATTAGGAAAAATTGATGAACTTCGATTATGTGAGTTTAAAATTTCAATAATAACAAAATTCCTATCACATTTGTAATCATTATCTGCAAGGAAATGAGTTAAATTATTACGATTTTTATCATTTAAGATTTTAAAATGTAAATTTTCGTTCTTTCAGATCCTTGCATACGCGATGTCTCAGTTCCTGTGATTTCTCGTATTTGCTACGTGCGTTTTGCAGAGAGCAGTTCTGTAGCCATCGCACAGCATATGACAAATACTGTTTTCATCGACCGAGCACTTATCTGCATCCCTGTATCATCGTGAGTATTTATTAAATTATTTAAAGTTTGACAAGCTTAAATAAATTTTTCTTTCTTCAGTGGTTTGATTCCGGAAGAGTATCGAGCCCTCGAAATGTCTGCTAATGGTACACTTGTACCAGGATTTGGAACAAACGCACCTGAATCTAAACTTCCGCCAGAAGTTGTCACAAAGGTTGTAGGAAAGATTCCAAATCAAATTATTCGCAGCTTCCACCCAAAGCTCGATGATGAGAAGCTTCCGGAGTATCCCGATCTTCCAGTACACTTTGATGAGCGTAAAGTTGAGGAAACTCGACGAACAATTCTTGTCCTCAATCACGATCTTAAAGTAAAAATGATTGACCTCATGGAACATTTCAAACAAGCAGGTGAAGTGAAATACGCTCGAACAGCTGTTCATGATTATGGTCGACGTATCTACATGATTGAATTTGCTGAGCAAGCAAGCGTCATTACTGCTTTAGAGAAACTTCATGGAACATACTATAAAGGTGTTTACCTCAATCTTCATCACTCAACTCAACCAATAGAGAAACCTGAAGCAAAGAGCAATGAAGCAGCTCAAAAAGAAATCGAAGAAGCTATGTCAATTGTAAAGGAGTGTCACAATCAAATCTCAGCTGTTATTGATCCAGCATTTAGTGTGCTCTCAAAAGATAAATCTTCTTCGAACCGACGTCGTTCACGTTCTCGAAGTCGATCTCGAAAACATCGTTCAAGAAGCGTTGAAAGTCGCTCACGTTCGAAGAGATCGAGAAGTCGAAAGAGGTGAGGATTAGTGAATGATAATCATGGAATTTTCTTTTCTAAATTAAATTCAACTTACAGATCAGCAACACCAAGAGAAAGTCGATCACGACGAACACGTAAACGCTCAAAAAGTCATCGCTTATCGAGATCACCTTCACGGAAAAAGCGAAGTAAACGATCAACAAGTCGTCGTCCTGAGTAAGTTTAAAATTCATTTTTAAAGTAAATTTAAATTAAAAAAATATTTTCAGATCCCGCAGTCGAAGCAAGGATAGACGACATCGTCGGCGCGATCGCGATCGCTCACGTGGACATCACAAACGATCCAGCCGTAATCACTCCAGATCAAGGTAAAAGATTTCTGAAGATTTAAAGTGTAAGAATAATTAAGTTTTACTATATCACTGCCAGAAGCCGAGATCGTCGTTCAAAATCACGCGATCGTCGCACAAAATCACGAGACCGTTCACGATCACGCCATCGAAGTGAAAGAAAAAAGAAATCTCATCGTAGTGAGAAGAAAGATGAAAGAAAATATTCGCATTCTCGTTCACGTTCAAGGACATCAACAAAAAAATCACCTTCTGTTGAGAAAGCATCGTCGAGATCATCAAAGCGACGTTCAGCTGATCGGAAAGCAAAGAAAGTCCCTGAAGAACGTTCGAGAGAATATGAACCGGTCAGAGATTATGACGCTGAAGAGAAGATTGGATTAGACGACGGTAATGGATGTGAAAAGTCAAGCTCGAAATCAGATAACATGGACATTTCACCATAAATCGATTGACTTTTCTTTTAACATTTAACTGATAGGGTTAGTTCCCCAATTATGAATTAAAATTTTCAACCCTAACTTTTCTTTTTTCCCGGATTTTCCCCTTTGTTTGTTTTAAAACATTATTTTTCAATTGAATAAAAATGAAAATAAAATTGAAAGATTTCATTTCTGAATAGATTTCATCGGCTTTTTATTGAAAGGTTGAAATCGATTTTTGATGAGATTTTGTTGCGATATATCAGCGCGCTTTTTTGCGTTGTTACTTTGAAATCGACTTTCAAATCGATATTGTTGTTATTGTTATTTGTAGTGGGTGGTGGTGAAGAGGTGGTTGTTGTTGTTATTGATGTTGAGGAGGAATAAATGCGAGATGGGAGACTATTACGACGAGATGTTTTACGATAATTGTTGGCTTTTGTAGGTTTTTGTGTGACTTTGATCTGATATTGATGAGGATAAGGAATAAACGGGCAAATTCCTTTCCATTTAGCGAGCTTAGCCAGAAGTGGGTAGTAAACGAGTTTACGACATATCTCCTCAAGCTTCGTGGGCTGATGATAAAGAACCGGTTTATAAGTAACTTTTGTTGTTGCTTTAATTAAAGAAAATTACAAAACGCAATTAATTTAAAGTTCACATTAATCTTCATTAAATTTTAATTACTCGTTGGTGTTGTTGTAGTGGTCGTTGTGGTGGTTGTAGCTTGTTTAAAAAATACATAAAATTATATTTCAGATGGTTGCAACTGATATAAAAAAGTATTATTAACTTTAAAAAAAATGCGAAATAATAAAATAGAAACTAAAAAAGAAATTCCATTGTTGAAGTTTACCAAAAAACTTGAATAAAATAAAAAGTTTAACCTACTTGTGGGTGTTGTTGAAGCTTTTAAGATGGAAAAAGTTTAATTCATATCTTAATTTTCTGAATACTTCCGAGAATTTGTTCGGAAGTTATAAATTTGTTGTACTTACTACTGATGGTCGTTCTAAATGTTCCGCCTTCTAATGTAATTATTGGGAATGGGGTTGTTGGCTCTTCACATTTCCATTTCCATTTATCGTGAGAAAAAAACCAAGGAAGAAGAAAAAATTTCAAGCAGAGCTTTTGCCACTTCATTTGTCGGCTTTTTCAAATCAACTGAGAATCGTTCTGATGTTGAATCATGAATCGAAAAGCTTTCAAGCGTTAACATTCAAACTTTCTCTCGTTCTCTTCATTGTTGAAATTAAAAAAAAAAGAAGAAGTTTTATGTGAAAATCGAGATGAAATGTTCGTGATGCACAGAGTTGCTACAACATAAATAATTTAAATAAAATTAAAGAAAAATGAATAAAGTTTCAATTAAAGCTTTTAAATTTTTATTTTCTTTTTGTTCCTTTTTCATTTTCTTCTTCTTTTCCTTTGTGTCTACGTCTCGTCCACCATGAATATCAATTAGGTTTGTTCATTTCTTTTCTGCTTCGTGTGAAACATTCATGAGAAAAATAAAACAGTTCAGGCAAGGCAAGATATCTTCTCTGTTCTTTTAATTAGTAGAAAAATCTTTAGCTTTCATTCCATTTTTTTAATATTTTCTTTTTTAATTTTATCATGCATTTCGGCGAAAGAATTTGCTTTTATGTTATGTCAAATATTTTTGTTTTCATAATTTCTACGAATGAAGAAGCTCCAACTGGAATGCTTGAAGAGAAAAAAACTGTTCATCATTTTTACATTTTATCCTATCTAAATGTCGTCAATTTTTCACATTTTTTTAATAATTTTTTCATCTTTGTTTCATCTAACATGCCTAAAAAACTTTATCAATTGTTTTGAGCTTTTGTGAACAGAACTTTTTTTAAACATATTTTCTTCGTAACTTTCCTTTCTAGACGAAGATTCTCTCTGCGGTAATCGATAATAGATAAGTATGAGTGAATTTATCTTTTTTTTCTTTTCAATATCAAGAACTATACACAAATGACGTCTCTTATCATCTCTTGGTCATTTATGAGACACTTTCACATTCTTTCTAAAGATATTCAATAGACTTTCACAAAACTGAAACATTTTAAAATCTCTCTGTCATAAATACATAACACTTTACATGGATTGACGTCATAAGTGTACATCTCCATGAGAAAAATAATTGTCTTTAAAGTTTTCTTCTTTTGTAAGATAATTAACTTTTATTTAAGTGTCCAATAAATATTGCGTAGTTCTTTTAATGAATAACAACAGGGAGAGAGAAAGATTAGCAACTATGTTTCTTTTTTTCATTTTTTGTTTGCTGAAGTGTTTATGTGGGTGTGTGTTTGTGTTTGTTACTAGGTAGTTACTGTGAGATCCATAGAAAGCTAGAAAGCTCTATGATGATTTATTTATGCTATTAACGGATAATATTTTCATAAAAACTCTCCTCTCCCCTTTAAAGAAAGCTTCTCATCACACTACAAATATCGGTTTTCTTTAAACTTCTCAATAATTGCATTCTCGTTTAAGCCAAATTTTTTTTCCTTGTCGAGAGGAAAATTTTCTATTATTGCAATTTTCAATGTGCGCTCTTTTTTATGTTTTTCTTTTGTCATTATGTTATGAAGGAGCTAAGATTTTTTTTGTTTCCTTCTTTTTATCCCACCAAAACTTTGACATTGCCTTAAATAAATATTTGAATGGATTATTCATATTCGCCCCCTCTCCATGGGGACGTTGAAAATGACTTTTAATAGCTCTTCATCGATTTTTTTTGAGGTTCACAGTTTTTCTGCTTTGTTTTTTTTGTGAATTCTTCTTTTCTTATTTTCTTTGTTAAAGAATGAAGAATAAAAATAAATTGAAAATAAATCAGATAATTTGGTTGCGAGAGAAAATTTCTGATTGCAAAACTTGTTGCATTTTTTTTTTCCTTTTTCAACATTCCACATTTAAGAGCTTTATATTTAATTAAAGCATTGCATTTTCAATCACCGCAAAAGTCTTTTTTTAACTTACTTATCATACCATCAAGGTTTTAGCAAAAACTTTGTATCTATTTATTCTCTTAAAAAATTTGTCAACATTATGTTGCAGCATATTTTAAAATTTTTATTCCATTTGTCTTTGGCGTAATTGCGAAGTTAAAGCAACAATCATTTCTTCCTTTCACTTTATATTTTTCCATTTAAAAATCAATGTTGATGTGAGATCAAGATGAAGTAATAACTTGAAATGTTATGTCTATGAAGCTATGACATTTTCTTATGTGTGATATCGAGCATTGATCTTTTAATAAACGTTATAGATTGCGCGGATAAAAAGTCATCTCATGACGCATTGAAACGAGCAAATTCTTACATACACTCCCTGATAAATAATCCCCTTCCTAGATCTTCATTCAACTATAAATCTAACAAAATAACAACAGAAATAAATTTGTGCATCTTTACTTTGAAATAAAATCACATAAATTATTGTTAGAACATGAAAATTGTGAAAATATTTATCTAAATAGACAGCAGATAAGAAATAATTTTCCCATTGTGAATTATCTTTCAGGAAGTATCCGCAAACAACTCCTTTAAAATTACAAGTGACGTTGAATCATCACTTCATTTACTCATAAATGAGCTAAGAATTACTTAAACTTCTACGCAGTTTTTGTCATCTTTTCATTATCATTTTAATACTTAAACTCTAATGTACAATATCTTAAAACTTTGAAATTATGAAAATGGCATCAAAGCTTTGATCACGTCTCAGCTGAGTTACGCTTAGATCATTTAAAGTGAACTTTTTTGTTTTTGTTTTTTTTATTTATGTTTTCTAATAAAGAATTCTTTAGCACTTAACATTAATACACGTTTTACGCCGATTTCACCAGTCCATCAATTGTTGCCAAGAAAGCGCGCGCGGGAGGGCAGGAGAGCGACAAAGCAAATTTTAATTATTTATACCGCAGCAATTGAGCTGTGTGGTGGCGTTGTGATACTAGTCATCATCGTTTTAGCCATATTGCTGCAAATAAAAGAGAGAAGAAGGAGAAAATATTTAATAATTTTCACAAGACGAATTTTTCTTCCGTTCAGTTTTATGTCATGTTTCAATATCGGAATGTCGAAATGTTTTTCTTGTCATAAATGTGTCGTACAATATTGTTGGCTTAACTCTAATGGAATTGCATTAAATTATATTGTACCATGATGGAAGCGGAAAAGATGAGTCGAATTCTTATTCCGCTCTGTGTGAATTGTAGCTTTTCTTTTACCCCAACAGAATTTTCTTTCGTCTTTCCCAAAAAACTAAAGCGAGAAGCTAAGTTTTTATTTTCTTATCGTCGACTTTATTCCACCAGTGCTTATCGATTTTAGTCTTTTTTTTTTGGGTGAATTATTGAAGAGAGAAAAGAATTTTCATTTTTAGTTATCGACATTTTTTTGTTGATGACGTGAAGAGTGAAAGCTTTGTGAGTTATGCATGACAAGGGCTTTTTATCCGCGCACCAAATTGGAAACAATCTTTTATTCATTTAGATATGTATTTAAGAATGAAAAGAAGGAAAGGAAAGTAAATTTACCCTTGAGTGGACTCTGAGTTGGATATGAGGCCGCCTTCAAGACTCTCGCGTGACATTTCATCAGCCATCTGAACTTTAAGTTGATGACCGAATGAATTAGCTTCGGCTGATGGTGAGAGGGAATTTCCATTGGGCACTTGGCCATTCTCATTACTGTCTTTGTTTATGCTTCTCTCCGTTCCATCTTCATTGAGCTCTATCGCCGGATTTCCGTCCTCAATTGCGTCATCATCTGCAATCTCTTCAGCATTCTTATCGAGTGGCTCATTCTCTTCATCTTCATTATAAATTTTAAAGTACGCAAATGTTAAATAAATCACCGAAATGATGAATGATGGAATTGGAATAGCCATGGCAAGAATCAAATGAAGAGAATTCTTCCACATGTCAAGATGTGTCACAACAAGACGTGGATCGACAGTTGAATAATAACACGAGAAATTTGCTCCTTCTTGTTGATAAAATTTATTCCAAATTGTGCAATTGAGAAATGGCGGATATCTAACGACAAAGTTAAAACATTAATTATTTCAAATTCAATAACATTTCAATTTTAATTAAAAAAATTTCCAGACTTTTCTTTTTAAGTTGAAACAAAAGAAATTTGTAAACTTTCTTTGGCAGATTGTTATAAAAGTTTTTCCTTTAACACTTTTTTCTCCGCCCTTTTTCTTCTCATCTTTGACCACTTACAGTGATTGAAATTCAATTTTTTTTATGTAATTAAAAAGTTGAACTCACCCACACCCTTTAACGTTCGGAAAGAGACGAGCACGTCGATAAAAGAATTCTGATGAGTTCGGCATGAGACCTTCGGTTGGCTCATTGGGGTAATCATCTACACCATCTTCATCAATTGACTCTCCCATATCGAGTGTATTGTCGTTGGAATCAACATAATCATATTCAGCAATGGATCGTCGTCGTCTACGATGTTCTCGTAACTTTGGGTCAGGTGGCGTTGATGGATCCATAACCGTCTCATCATTTGGATTTGTTCCATTTGAGAATATTTTGTAGTTTACGTAAATTTGTGTGCACGTGTAAATATCTCTCGTACAACCTTCACGACATGACGTCCACGTGCAATTCTTTGTTCCCGCTTTCGAGATTGTTTCGTCAGTGAAACATTGCGCTCGATTCTCATCAAACTTCATGAAGATTGTTTGAAAGGCTGGCTCGATGACGAATGGAACCAGAAATAAAAATGAGAAGAGACTAAATGTGCCAAGCAGTACGAAGAAGGCGGTTGTGTAGAAGATAATTTTCTGTTTTAATGTTCGTTCGTCGTCACTCATTGCGCGCGAATGACGTTAACAAAGGCGAAACTTTGACTTCAATTTCGAGATCTTCTCTCGTGCTTTCAGGAAAATCTTTGTAATGTGAAGATGTAATGGAAAGGGACGATTGCTTTAAAACTGTTAACCTCCGTTGCTACAACATTCTTCCTTCCTTCCTTTCTTTTTAATAAGTATAAAGTCAAGTAAAGCACACAGAAAAGAAAAATAAAAACAAATTTTCTCGTGATTGTCACCTTTTCCTTTTGACTTTATTTAGTCAAACTATTAATTATGGCGCATAAAAGAATGTGAATTAAAGCCGAAAAAAAACCTTTCGACGCTAGTAATTTAATTAACAATCTCGTAAATAACGCACTGTGTCGCTTTGAAGAAACAAACTTCCGTGCACGGCTCTATTGTTTCATGACCAGCATTGGCAACTGCCTTCTTTCAATTTACATAACATGAATGGCCCTTTAAAGTTTAATATTTAATGATTTTATGTGAATGCGCGGGTGTATGCATGGAATTCTTTTGGTGCTTATTCCATAAGATTTCAAAGTGTATAAAGGAAACCAATGTACACAAAAGTCTTTGTATGTTTGTGCTCGAGACTCGCAGCAGTTCCACTTTCAATTTAAAGCATTTTTCATGTAACTTTTTTTTATCGATTGCCAGTCGCTTTTTCCTTTTCTTTTTTTATTTTTGGTTTTTATAAAGAGACTATGATAATGCTTCGTTTCGCTTCTTCTTTTCTAATGAGTTATGATTTAACAACTGCCAACATTTAGTTGAAAGCACTTCAATGATTTTTCACTTTTTTTTCTTTCTTTTTCTTTTTTTTTTGTGATTATCATCCGACGTTTGTCTCTCTTTATTGACTAACGTTACGAGGGTTTTATATGTTTATGTTTCGAATCCAAAACTTGACACATAACAATTCACGAATCGAATTTTTTTTGCTGCTTTTCCACTTTGATTTTGTGAACTTTTTTTCATTCGTTTATGAATTTTTTTTTTATTTTATGATTTATGCCGCAAATGATGGCATATCAAGTCACAAAAGTGACAAGTTGAATGGTTAAGGTTTCAATGTCAAATGGAACGAACACTCAAGTTACATGAACCGAAATATTTGATTCACTTCTTCCACAAAGCATCTTTTCAGGGCTCTTGGGTCCACTTTAAAACTCATATTTGCTTGAAATTACCATTTTCATTTCAAGCTTTTCTCTTCTAATTTAATATAAAATTTTCACAAGTTTTTCACTCGAACATTTTCTTTATGGATGGAACAGAATGATTTTTTTATTTTTTTCTCTTTGCTTTCTTTTCGACAAGCCACAACAGCTTCACACGAATTTCATTTTGTTTCTGGTGGGGTTCATGTTTGTCTACGATTATTTTTACTTTTTATCCCAGAAAATTAAGCTTTTTCTTCCCGACAGACATTCAAACTCCACTTTTTTCCTAACAATGAAATTTTGTTCCATATTCGCTTGGGGAAAAGTGAGAAATGATAGCTTTTATTACACATGCGCCTTTCACAATTTCTTCTCACGAAATTAACTTTTGGAGAGGTTTTTCTGCTTACGTTTTCATGTGCAGCATGGCAATTTTCCCATGCATGTTTTCATCTTAAAAGCATTTCTAAAATCCTAATTATGCTTAATTATGTATTGTGAAAATTGAAAGAGTTTTAAATTTAATTTTCTGTTTTTCATTATTTTTCCATATTTAGGAAGATTAGATTAAATACTTATGTGCATCGTATTAGAGTTAGATTGGTTTCAGAGACTATGATGAGATTAGATTAGTAAATTAAAACCAGAGTTAGATTTGTTTCTCTCTCTCCTCAAGAGATTTTTATTTATTTTAATTTTATGATTCAGTAGAATTATAACTGAATGAATTAAAGATAATCACAGAAAAGAAGAATGTTAATTGAACTTATGATAAACAGATAATTCAGGATATTTTCCCAAAAGTCTCTACAGATATTGTGAGATAAATTTCTTTGTTAATAATTTTTATAAATTTGGTTAAGTAAAGTGAAATCAGTAAGATTTCTCTTAAGAAAAAAAGGTTGAATTTTAAAAAAGCGACTTAGATAAACATGAAAAATGATGAGGAATTTTTCCTCTCGAGTTTTGTTAATGGAAATATTATTTAAATTGTTTAAACTCTGACTTCTTTTGTTGTCTTTTTGGTGGTCTATGTGATGAACCTTTCTTCTTCTTTTTCTTTTCATTTTTCTTGAAAGATGCTTTATCAATATTATTTATATTTCTAGGACAATAAGCCATGGTATGTGCTTGTAATGATTAGTAAGAATTAGATTATTAAATTAGTTAATCGAATCTTCTTACCATTATCACCATCAATACCACATATTGGACATTTATAAAGACGTAATTTTGGACATAAAGTTCTTCCTTTAAAATCCTTTAATGTGTGGCTCATGTAAACCTTTTCGTCTTCTTCATTATTCTTACAGAAGATGCAAAACTTTTTTTTTGATAAGAAATATGTTATAACAAAATAATTGAATTTTAGATAAAATTCAAACTCACATCACTTGATCTACGAGAAGCTCGCTTACTCAGAGATCCTTGTATACTCGAAGTTTCATTTGTATTTGAAAGTTGACTTGAAATCTCATCAAGCTTCCACAAATCTGTCAATTGCTGTTCAGTTACAAATGGTGAGAAATTATCCGAATCATCATTAGAGAAAAATTGAATATTATCAAATTTCTTTTGCAGTTCAGTGACATCTCTTCCATTAGCGTCAAAGTCAGCTCGAATATCTTTGTATTCATTTTCAGTGAGTATCTTGAAGTTATTGAAGTTGTAGTAAGCGATTGGATTGATTTTAGGTGTTGCAAATGTAAAGTTTTTGAAGATTTTATATTCAGGGAAGCTTGAACCATAAGGAACGTTGAAGTCTTCCGAAAGATTATAAAAAGGTAGAGCACAAATATCATTCTGACACTTAACATGAGCTTTCACATGCAGCAAGTATTCGTTGTAGTTACTGAATGTACGATCCTTGTATATCCACATCTTTGTTTCCTTTTTATATAATGTTAGTCGATGCTTCGGCTCTGCCGGAGGAACTTCATTCTGAATTTTATCTGCATAGCACTGATTGGCAATGAACTGTGCAGTGATTTGTGCGATTTGTTGATCAGTAAAGCCCAATTGTTTAAAATAGTTCACATTCAAGCTTGTTGCTGTGGCGAGGAGATTATGATTGATAGCAGTCAACAAATTTTTATTTTCACTTGTCCAGTTTGAGTGCATTTCTGAAGTTTTCACCAAACTTCGTCCCTGAGGAGTCTCAAATTTTAAGGAGTTACTGTTCATAACAGTATTTCTCTGGTTATTCATCATTAGTTGTTGATAATTCTGCAGTTTTTCGTTAATATTTACGTCATTTTGAGTGAATGGAAACATTTTGAATGCTCTGGAAGTAAACGAATTTTTTTTATAAAAATTAATCTTCAGTATGCTTCATTTCATTTACTTTTGCACTTTTTTCCAAGATTGCTTTGATTTCTGAATAAAAATATCTTTCAATAAAGTTTCACTAGTCTTTTCTTTCCTTTTTTAATAATAATCACAGTACATTTTGTTTTATCAATTTGTTTTTAAATTCAGTCTTGTTGCAGCGGGTTCCTTCAATGATGTCCTCAAGAGGAATATTTAGAAAGTTTTGCCTCCCGAAAAATTTAGAACTGGGGTGTACAAGTTTGGTTTTTAGTACCATTTTTAGAACATACTTGATCAGTTACAATCAGTCAAACAATTTAAACGTTTAAGTCAGAACGCAATTGTTAGTTTTATACAAGGTTTTATGTTTATTTAGTTGATTAAGTAAAGTTGGAGTACAGTTTTTATGTATTGTTTATCTTTCAAAAGGAATTTCAGGAAATTTGGACGAATTTTGAGGTAAGATGAAGTAGGGAATGAGAAATTTTTACTGACATCGTGCTTCCTATTGTTCTCCGAATTCTTATCTAGAAAAATGTTTCCACCATTCAAAGCATCCAATGACTTTCAGACAATGCATTCAAGTGATATTAAAAATAGTTCACTTGACCCCACAGCTTCATCATATTTTCCTACTGCAAAACCAATTTCTTCAACCGAAACGTCTGAAAGTTTTGCAGAATTTTTAAGCCCCAAACCTTCAAACAATCCATTTGAGAAAAATTATTTTTATGAAAATCCTTGGAAGAGTCTTTGCAATGAAGATGAAAATGCATCTCTTTATTCGAGTGGCTATGGAAGCGAAGATCGTTCAGTTCAACATTCGCCATATGAACGCCTAACTGACGAGTTTTGTTCTTCATTTTCAAGTTTAATTAAGCCATTACTTAGCTACACTACTCAGGAAGATTCTTATTCACCATTAACGAGCTTTCGATTTGCTCAAAAGAGTTTTGCATGGGAATGTGATTCAAATGGTAAATCACATTTCGTTTTGTAATTGAAAAATGCATTAAATTAAGTTTTTTTTCTTAGAATATTCAAATTCAACACAAATTGAATCAGGCAAGAAATTCTATGATGAAATACGTCAAGATTTCGATTCCAATGGAACTACAACCGATTTAGATTCAGTTTTCATGCCATCATTAAGTTCTACGCCATTGATAACTCGTCGATCGACATTCCCAATATTGAAAGCTGAACAATGGCAAACATTTTCATCTTCAGAGCCTATCAAGGAATCTAAAAGTCAAGGATCTAGTCGTATTAACACTAAACGATCAAAGCCTAATAAGAAATCATTGGAAAATGTAAATTGAATTCATTTTAACATCATTAACTTCTTTTGACCGTTCTTTCATTTTTTTAACAGCATTGTGTGTTTTGCAAGAACAATGGAGCGTCAGAAAATATTTATCGTTCACACACAGTGAAAGACACAAAAGGACGAGTTTTATGTCCAATATTGAGACAATACAAATGTCCAATTTGTGGGGTTGATGGCGATTATTCGCATACAGTTAAATACTGTCCTGAAAAGCCTATCATCACACTTGAAGATATCCAACAGCCTAATTACAAGATTTTGTAATTTCTCATCATCATTTTTTATTAACTTTTGTTTCAGGATCTTCTGTGAAGTTTTCTTTTTTTTCTAAATCTTTAAACATAATCCTTAAAATATTAATTATTTAGGGTTTGAAGTGACATCAAACATTTAAAAACTTAGCGCCCTAAACAACATTTTAAGAAAGACATCAGCTAAAAAAAGAAAAATCTTGTGCTTGTCGCATAATTTAATTAAAAAGTGCAACTTTTGCGTGCATTGACCCGATAAAGAAATCGTGTACATTGCAAAGTTGCTTTGTTTTGAAAAAAGAATCACGAGTCATACAATGTCTCGTGATTATTTTAATAATTACATCATTCAGTTTCCTCGATGAAACTTTAATGAATGTGACTTTTAAAATTAGTTTTGTTTATTTTATGTTTTTCATTTGATTAATAATTTCCATCATTCGTTAACATATTTTGACAAGAATTCCCTTTGTAAATAATTTTCATAATATAGTATCAAATACCAGATTTAAAAATCATTTGTGATCTCAGAAGTTTTCCTTAATTAACGACTTAAAATATAATAAAATATTTTTCGATGGAGATATATGACGAAATTTAAGTCTTTTTTTCTTTAAATAAATCTTATCATAATTAAAAATATTTTGAGAAATTTAGTTTTATTCCAGAAAGTTGCTATAAAAATAAACTTAAGAAAAAATCGTTAATTTCAAAATTATGATGCGAACATTCTTCGTCTTTGCATCTAATGATTCGAAAAAAAATTTAACGGTAGAAAAGAAACAAAACATTATAAATATTTTTAAAAACAGTAGTTTAAGGCCATAAAAATGTTAAACAGATCGTTCTCAGAGTGGCCCGTTCCTGAAATAAGTGAAAAAAGCCTGAACCACTCGTTTAAAGTGAGTTTTATTAATGTTTGCATTGTTTGTTTTTATTTTGGTTACTTGCGTTTCTTAATATTTTAGTTCAACTCCAGAGATGAATCGCATCGTCGAATTAAAAAGCCACCAAAGTTATATCCAAAAGAACTTAGTTTTAGTCGAGCCCATCATCATGAAGTGCATGCTATATCATTTAAGGATCAAATAGATATTTCGCCGGTAACATCAACACCAAGAACGCGAAACTCTTCCACAAATTCTTTATCTCAATCATTAACAAGCAGTTTTTATGATAGAACCAAGAATGATTCTTATTTTGAACAATGTTTTGAATCTCTTCATAAACTTGGTGAAGGAAGTTTTGGTGAAGTGTTTAAAGTCCGGTCAAGAGATGATGGAAAACTTTACGCGATTAAGAAAACAAAGCACATTTATCGAAGTGAGAATCATCGTCGTGAAAGACTCGAAGAAGTGAAACGTTGTGAGCAATTTTCAAGCAATGAAAATTGTGTGAAATTTTACAATGCTTGGGAACAGGATGATCTACTTTATATGCAAATTGAGCTGTGTCGAGGAAGTGTTGAGGATTATGTGGAGGAGATAAAGAACATTCCAGAATCATTTGTTTGGTCATTTCTCCTTGATATGCTTCTGGTAACTATTTCATATAATTTTTTTTATTATTCTTACAAATAAAATTATTTTGAACATCTTTTAGGCATTGAAAAGTCTTCACGATAAAAATTTGATACATTTAGACATCAAATTAGACAACATTCTAATAACTGATGAGAATAGATGTAAACTAGCAGACTTTGGACTTGTTTTTGATCTTAAGAACTCTCCTAGAAGTCGAGCAATTGAAGGTGATTCGCGTTATCTCGCACCAGAACTTCTCCAAGGAAATTATTGTCTCGCAAATGATGTGTTCAGTCTCGGAATCACTTTATTGGAGTTGTCATGTAATCTTGAACTTCCAGCTAATGGAAAATTGTGGCAGGAATTGCGAATTGGAGTTCTCCCAGATGAAGCATTCAGTCGCTTATCAAAGGAACTTCAGACAATCATTCGGTCAATGATGGAACCAAACCCAATGAAGCGACCAAAAGTTGACGAAATATTGAAACATTCCAAGTTGAGACGTCTCGCATATCAACGAAAAGTTGAAAGATTCTCACACAAGTGTGTGGAATCGACGAGTCGTTGTTTCAACAGCATGATCGCTAAACTTCTTCTTCTCCTTTTCACAATCATTGAATTCTTTAAATTAAAGGAAAGTTCACATAAACTGTTGACAACACCAAGTACAAAGTTTAGCAGAAAAACGAACGTCAAAATCTTTATAAATCATGACGATGAAGATAGCGACGATGGCGAGATAAGCTTTAGAACTTCTTTGGAGACAAGTCGCTTGAGTAAAATTTCTCAAACTGACGACGATAATAACAATGAGAGTAATGTGACGCCAACTTTGAATAATTCTGTTCCGCGTGTTACGCCAGAAATTAAAATTGTTAATTCAACGCCTTTGAATCATTACAATCATCAAGATGGATTATCAAGCAGAAAAGCGCGAAGAGATTTGACAAAGTTGAGGTAAGTCAATTAAATTGATGTTTTAATAAATAAATTAAACTTGAATTTTTTACAGTTTCGATCTGACATCGCCAGACACACGAGAAAAATCGAAAGATCGCGATTCCATGATATGCAAGAAACTTTGCTTTTATGATGATGAACTGAGCGACTTTTAATCATAATTCATGACAGGATACATGAAAATTTATTTTGTGATAAGATTTAGTCACCTTCCGTTGAATCGAATTTCATTAAATTTCTTCTCTCCTTAATTTGCCTTTCATTTGCTGCCTTACAAAAAAAGTTTTCTTTTATTTCTTTTTCCTCGAATTAAATATTTATAATGTACGTCTTAAGTTCTAAAAGAAAATAAAATAAAAAGTCAAAACTTATGAATACCGTTAATAAGGAAAACATTAATTTTTATGTTGCATGTGACTTTTATTTGATTTCTCTTAAAATTATTACAGAAATTATTTAACAAGGAACTTAAACTGTTGTCATAGTTGAACAATATTTAATTAATTTCATTCACTGGCTCTGATTATAATCTTATATGAATTGAACAATTCTTACAAATTTCCAACTCTTCTTTTTATTCAACATTGCAAAGCATAAATCACCATAAATCATAAATCATCGTTCACATGTCGTCACCATAATGTGCATAATTGAATGATTTGCGATTGTAAATCATCAAACGTTTAAAATTTTGTTACGATGATAGAGTCAAGAGGGAAAGAAAAGGAATAAAAAAATTTAATGAAAGAAAGAAAGATCTGATGAAATGATGAAAGAAAAATAGATCAAGCAATCAACATCAAACATGTAAATCTTTCGGTTATTCCTCTTTGATTGTTTTTACTTTTATTTTATGTTGCTCCCTTTTGTGAGATGCGTGAGAAAATTCTTGTTTAATGTTTTTTTTAAAGGAATTCATCTTCGTATGTGAGTTGAATGTTTGGTTGGATTGATTGCTTTAAGCATATACTCTTCGTAAAGCTTTTGGGCGATATATAAATGTGAACTGAAGGATAATTGAAGGTTCGTTCAATACTTGATACAGAAATAAGAAATCATAACATGAGATGGAATGTTGTAAGCCGTTGTTGTGGATAAAAAAATTGACTTTTCCTGGTATCGATCGCATGGTTGTTATTTAAGTATTATTGGCAACTGGAATTTAATTTCCATTCTTTCTTTAAATCTTCAAGGGATTTTCTGTTCTGATTTTCAAGCAGTTAAAAGCAATTTCATGAAATTTTAGGATTTCTTGGACTTAGTAAATAATTCTTAAGTAGAAAACAATATTGAAGAAAGCCGCTTTTCATAAGATGAGATTAATGTAAGTGAAAGCAATAATCTCCACACACAAAAAAGATCATAAAAGACTTAATTAAATCGCTCGAAACTTTTTTGTCTGTCTTAAATGTCACATTTTGTTAAGCACACACGTTTACGAGCATGTGAAACATTTAACACCGTTTAAAATGCTCCCGAATGAAGAGGTCATCGAGGTTAACCGTTCATAGAATGAGAAAAGAACTCTCACGATCGAGAACATGTTGCAATAAAGAATATGAGAAAATATCTTGCAGCGATGCATTTAAAAAAATTGTCCAATGAAAAATTAAAGTTCAATTTTCAAAGTACGTAGATAACAACTTGTTAGAACAAAAGTAAAGTTTTTTCAAATTGAAAGTTAGGAAAATGAAATTAGTAACTAACCATGCAAATTTGTAAAGCTATCAAGACACTTAGGAATGATTTTTATAGTCGATTATTTATTATTTTGTAAAAATGATTGCAATCATGATCGTGTAATGGGTTAATGGGCTTTTTATAAATGAAATGAAACATTCAGAATGAATTTCTATGGAAAAATGCTTCCACTGTGGATCGAATGTTCAAAGTCAGAACTTTCAAAAGAACTCGTCACAATTTATGATCATCTTCAATTGATTTTCATGTGAGATGAACGAACATTCCGACGGTAAAATGTGCAATTTCTATAACAAGAAAAAAACGATGAAAATAAAAAACAATTTCCGGTAATCACAATTTTCAAATGCATTTGAGATTGAATAAAGTTAGTGGAAATGAGGAAAGCTTTAGAGATGATCGTTGCAATTTATAGACCAATTTCAATTTGAGATATATGAAAGTTTCTTGATTAACTTTCTCGAAGTCATTTCAATGGAGAAAAATTTCAAATTTTAAAATAAATTCTTCACTCTCGATGCAAGTGCTAGAAGAACGACGACAATAACATTTAACAAAACAAACAGAAAAGAATTTCTTTTTGATGACTTGTTAACACTCAGCACTCTTCGCTTTTATATTTTTTCCTTAATTTTGCGATGAACTTTCATGTTTCGCGCGCAACATTATTCTCATTATCATACTGTCGTTCTTATTGCGACTTGATAGCCTGCCATGCATGCCATCGCGAAGCATCTCATCATGTTAAAGTTGAAAACATCTCTCAACATCTCTCAAAGCCATGACAAACATTTCGCCACATGAAAGTCATTCAAAAGCACGAAGACATAAAAAATAAATGAAAACACTTACTACTGCTACTCGCACATAACTCTGTCAGTTGTTATAAGTATGACAGCATTCGTTGAGCTCGAATTATGCAAATGAAGGCAAGAACATCATAAATCTCAAACGACGGCAAGAATTACGTTCTCATTTACAACTTTACGAGTGCAATTTGCAATGATTTTATGAATTGATAGTGACGCATTATAATTGAGATTCCCGCACGTCCCCCTCACTCCGCCTTGTTGACCACATATATGTACATAAATATCTTCAATAATTGATGCATTCTTAAATTTGTGTCTACAAAAATGACTTAAAAATGCAATTTTCGCACGTGAGCGTTCTTTACTCGTTTCCCTCTTTCGTAACAGCAAACAGCAAAGAATTAAATAAAAAGCAAAGTACAAAGCGAATGATAGATATCGCGTAAAAGAAAAAAGAGAACAAGGAAAGTTTCGTTGTTGTTATTCATCTTTGGTCTTTCGTTTTGTGTGTCAGTAAATTTAAAGAATTTTTTTTATAAGCGCGTACTTATTTGTGTTATCTGATCTGTTTTCTTAAACTTTGTGCCTTCATTTCCTATACAGATCGATGAAGGGAGGAGAGTTTAGTTGGTGAAGAATTCTTTCTTATTACGTTGGCTTATTTAATTGTCAAATTCTTTAATTCTTTAAAAAAATTGAAACTTCTTAACTTCCATCCCTTTGTAATTCTTTTAAGAAAAATTATATAACTTCAAAACTGATCGGTGGGTCTTACAAGACAACAACAACAGCGAAAGAAAAGTAAAAACGGTTTCGTTGTCTTCTCATATTCGCCATCCTTGCGCTGGTTTCATTTTGGCTGATAATTAATGATTCTCATATCTAATTAAACGTATCAACTTAACAAGTGCAACTTATGCCACATAAAAAAAGCGAATCCAACAGAAAGTTAAAGACTTTAAGGGCTGAATAAAAAGATTTAATGTTATGGTATTCTCCGCATTGTATCTGCTCTTCTCCCGTCTTCCTTCGCTTTTCGCTTTAAAACATTAACCAATATATCTCGGATGCGATATAAACAAATAAGCGAAAAATAAAAAAAAGAAAGAAAAAGTATGAGAAACGAATAAATAAAAGATGTAAAAAAAGTTCTTTACCTTCGTCTTTTCTTTTATTTTTTTCCCATATCATCGTTTCGACTTCTTTTCCTTCATTCTCAACTAAACTAAACTCTTTGGACTGACTCATATTGCAGATTTGGTACAATATTGTGGATGGTTATTTGTACACTGCGCTCTGCGGCTCCACATTTTGCTTCCATTCCTGAAGACGATTCGATTCGTACGGATTTCTTCTCGTTCGCTAATTAATGGTTACAGGAACCTAATTAGTGGAATAAAAATGTGGTTTAAAGTATAATCTCTTGCCCTGTGCGGCTGTTCTCAGTATATTTTCCAGGAATTTTAATGTTTATTATAGCGCGCACAATTTTTTTTATTTCGTTTTTGGAAATGTGAGAAATACTGCAAAACAATTGCATCGCCATGAATGACGTAATGAAATGAACATGCTTGAAGCTTTTATTGTTGGATTGCATGCTAGCTGTTAATGATGTCAATTACTTAGCAGAATAATCGTTGATAGTCGAGGATAAATGGCGGAACTTTTTTTTTAAATATTATTTTACTATTCAATTCATCTCTGAATTGTGAACATTGTGAGGCTGAAAATGTGGGTCAAAGTTTCACAGTTCATCTTAATATGGTTACTGTCATCATTTAAATAAGATAAAGTATCAATGCATTATACCAACAACATATACATAAGTAGCAACATAAGTGAAGCTCATAAAGCATTGCGAAAATAACAAAAGTTATGTCAGTTCGAAGACATTAAATTCATATTGAAAGCGAGTTTCTATTAAAATGCAATTGGTGAATAGAATAAAGCAGAGAAACAAAGAATAAATAAGTAAGCGGATCTATTATAATGTTTATTTATGTTAAAGTCATAGTAGATTCGAAAATGCTTAATAAATTAACAAAAAGTGTTCAATCGATGCTTGTTGACTGCCGTTGCTTAGTCATTGAGATGATGATCAAAACGTTGTGATAAGAAGCTTTACCGAGAAGTTTATTTTTTCTTTATCGAGGTCATGGTTGAAGGGCTTAACATTCAAATCCATCCAAGTAAAATTGATTGAAATTATTGAGCGAGAAGGTGAGGCTAGCATGTGACGTAAACTGTTTATGATTCCTTGCTATTGGATTTGAATTGTACACAACTATCGACCGTATTCGGAGTCGTCCAACAACAAATAAAGCACAATAAATATGCAATCGTTGGAATTTTATTAGCAAAACTGCAATCTCTTTTATGTTTTCATTCAATAGTTTAATGGATTGCTTGTGCTTCAACAACATCTTTCAAATGATTTAAATCCCTATCCGAAAATGATCTCGAGAATTAGAATTTTATTTGACTTAATGAAGAAATAAATCACTTCTGGTCGGGAGTTGATAAAGATGCCATTAAAATATTAACGATTGTTGGTCCACAAAAAGACTTAAGCTCACAATAAAGCACACATCATTAAAACACGTCGTAAAAGTTGAAGCAAGTTGAAGGAAAAAAAAAAACATGAATAAAGAAGAGTCGCTCGTTTTGTCTGAAGTTGTAACAAGAGATAAGTGAATCTGTTTCGATTCTTTTTACTTCTTTTCTCCTTTTTCTTTTTTGTGTTGAAATCTTCTTATTCTGAATCTAATTTGAAGCATAATAAATGATGATAATTTCTTAATACTCTGCGGTAGACGATTTAACTGATTATAAATGTTTGTTTGTTTACTTATTGATTCGCTGGTCGAAATTCCGATTCGATAAAGTTTCATTGGCCGATATTTTTATTCAAAATTGGAAATTAGATCGAAATATTTTCATGAACTGAGAAATGATTTTATTCCAATCATCATTGTGAAGAAAGAAGAGATGACGATTGAAACATTTTACAGTCAATTATGAGTCTCCTCGAATAAAATTGACTTCCAATCGCGACAACGAGTAAAGTCATTTTTCATATTTCATTTTCCCTTCTTCAAGCAGCGCGAGACTTGAAATTATTTTTATTCAGATTGTGGGAAAATGTGTTATTGACTCGTTACATCGACATCGAGACTTACAATGCTTTATCCGTTTGTCGTTTGTACTTTTTTTTCATTTCATTTCATTTTTGGAGACAATGGAAATCGATTAGCATGTTTGGGTGCTTTCTATTGTGTTGAGACGCGGACTGCTTGCTGTTTCTTAGATAAAACAATGATCATGTTTAAACAGAAAGAAATCTTGAAAGATTTCAGAATTATTATCAAGAAGATTTGCTTTTGTGGTCCAAAACATGCTGAAAATTTTCCATTTCAGCCAACTGCGACGAACAGCAAGAAGATTGTTTCTGATTTCGACAATGAAACAAGCATTCCAATATTGTTTACCAAAGTGTATCAAGTCGATGAACTTTTCTCATTGATATATTTAAATGCTTTACATTTAAGCCTCTAAACAACTGAACAAATGTTTAATTTATACCTCGAAAGAATTCTAAATAAACTAAAGATAGAAATTAGAGTAAATCTCGTCTGCTGCGGGTGTCGGTCGACTGTGATTAACTATTTACTTAACTCATTACCAAAAGCATTTCTTTCATTTGGTCAGGCTTTACTATTCACAGGGGACTTTACGGTGATTTTCACGCGCGCGCTCGAATAAGATTTATTATGTTGAAGTCATAATTGTAATTGGTAAAAGAGAGTTTTTCAATCTTCGATGATTTCAATGTTTGAAGATTTCTTCAATTCTTCTTACGTTCTCTAACCAAGCAACATTAACATCAATAAATGTTCGAATCTTGTAAGAATTGAAGTCTAAGTGCGTTCATGCTCGACTGGAAACTTCATTAGACAATGTATGAATGATATATTGACGTCTAATAGTAGAAAATATATCATTCACATGTTTGCTGCACTACAATTTGTAAAATCCATTAAATTTCTTCTTAACTCTTTCCATCTTTCCACATAAATTCGTCAATTAGACTCTTTTGTGTTAATTTGAATGATCAACAATAAGTCACCAGCACGTGTTTGAGATTCTATGAAATGTTCTACTTCTTACCTTTTTTTACTGACATTAACTTTGCGGGAGTTCAACAAAAACCATAAATTTAAGCAGAAAAAGAATTCTGCGCTTCTTTCGAGCGCCACTTGATTCAATTTCTGTGATAGCACTTCGAACACATCTGATAGCAGTTTTTGAGAAACAAAAGGCATATATACGCAGGGAACAATTAAAAGAGACCAACGGAGACATATCGAAACGAGAAGAAGGCAGAATAAGTACAAGAGAATAACATCATCGAGAGATTGATAAAAGTAAGTTGGAATCTGGGTTGACGGTATGGTACAAGTTGAAAAATTCATCGAAAATTATGTACATTCGAGCTCGAAACCTTTCATTCTCTCTCCATTGACCACATTACTTTGCCAATCGTTAAATTGAGAAATATCTACTGGCAGAGAATTCAATTTAAACATTTTGTTAGGTTTTATATTATTTTTACCTTCATTCCCTTTCTTACCCTAACCGGGGACTGAAAGGAAGCTTCAACAGAAAATGTAAGAAAAATAATTGGCATCATCGATGTAACATGAGAGATACCGTCAAAAAAAAAAACAGCAACAACGACGAAATGTGCTTGGTGATTTCGCTGTTATTTCGTTCAATTCTTGTGCCATCAAGCGACGGCAGGGCCGAGGGTGTCACACACAAGAAGAATTGATGGTGACTTTTAATAAGGATGTCAAAGCAGCGCAATCTTCATTCTGACAGATTTTGCTGAGTGAAACTTTTTTTTTGTTTTGTTTCTTTATTGTTTCATTGACTTCTTTTGTTGTCAGTTTCGGGATGATCTGCTTCACTTTATTTCGTTGAAGTGACGATAATTGAGAAGTTTGATTGATGTGTGAATTTTATGTGGCGCCAACGAGTGTGAGTTTAAAAACATTTCTAAAGACTCTTTACTGGATAAGGAATTGTTCTTTCTAACTCTCACACAGCGAGGTCAAAAGATCGGTGAAAACTCTACCGTCTTTAATAATAATGATGAAAGCGATACTACTTGAGGTTTTTTTTAATATTTAAAAATCAGTAAAGAGAGAATGCGAAAGGAGATTGGAGCATGACATGGGAGGTAAAGTAAGCGGTCAGAAGAATCAATTAAGAAACCTTCCGCGATATTTCTTCAATTAAAGTATTAAATTATAATAACATCAAACGATGATGATGAAAAAAAAAAACAGGAGAAAGATGAAAACAAAATCGATGACGACTCGAGCGCTCAATTTAAATTCCCCCACAATCAATAATTTCTTTTAATGAAAATCCCAAACAGTCAAAAATCAATCAATTCCAGCTTCGATTCGATGATCTTTTCTTTCTCTCTCATTCGTTGGCAAAATGATGAAATCGATTTTTACTTAAATATTTGAATAATCAAAGATATTCTCATCGATGCTTGCCCATTATCTGTAGAGCCCGAAAGCATTTATTCGTTTGGTGATTATTGCATTCGAAGGGATTTTTATTTTTATGAGAAGTAACTTTTATATTTCAACTGGTGATGATTGGACGAAAGCTAGCAGCAGCAATTGTGGGAAGACTTTTAATCTTCCAAATTGGATTAACGAATGAAATAAAGAAAAATAAAAAAGCTACTTGGACACAATGAATAATGACAAAATAGTGATTTTTCTCGTTCGATTTCTGTCAAGATTTCTGGCGGTCCGATCATTTTGATTTTTGATTTACTTCAAATGAAAAATAAAAGTTTTTCGCCGAAATACTTTTGTGAGTCTAATAATCGTTTATTGTATCTCTCTCACCTGAGTATCAGACGCCGTGGGATTTCATCAGACAGCAAAGCGACGGCATTTTTTTTAATGTTTGTTTAAGAAATGAACAAAGCGGATGATGATGGTATGTTCTTGTGAATTGATAGCTCTTGATTAATGTAGATCTGAGCTTAGATTGAAGATTCACGATGCGAAATGTGTTGAAAGCAATTTTCCATAAGTCAACGACTTCATCAACACATGACATGAGCCATCAAAGTATTTTCTATAAGAAGCAATCTTTTCAAAAAACTTCAATTAATAACTTAATTAAACGTTACCGAATTCTTTTGATTGAAATTGAAACATCAAGAAAGCTGTAACGGGTCATGCTTTTGCAATGCTTTTAATCAATTGAAGGGGACCCATACCTGCTTACATTCATTTCAAGAGGTGTTAGGGAAGACACACAACTTTAATGACTAATACATCTTGAGGTTTCAATATTCTCAAAGAAAACAATACTTAGATAAAGTTAAATCCCACCTACGGAGAATGTATCAACAAGTTCCTTAATTGATGACAGCGCACCAAGCGGTGAGATTCTTTTTCAAAAGTAAGCTTTTCAACGAAAGACTTCAATGAGTGGATAGAAAAGGATTCCGTTTCTTTTAGATTCGTAATATTTGCAGTTTTCCAATACAAACACACATCATGACTTCAACTAAATTTTTCTCAATCTTTTGAAACATTAAAATTTAATCACATCTCCTAAGATTTTAGTCTCTCCATCTTCCGTCAAGATTTTACGGAAATATTTTTTGTTACTGTCGTTCTCTGAATATTTTGTCTTAGTATTTTCTAGTTAAAGTAACTTTAACTCATTAAACTGGATAATAAATAAAAACTGGAAGTTTCAATGAAGAAGGAAAGTTGCAAGTCGAAATTGGAACGAACATTGAACAAAAAAAATTCATGAAATTTTAACGTATTTTGTGAATTTGAAATGAACTGAAACAAAACGAACAAATATTTTATGAACACTCAAATACATAGATTCAAGTGAACTTTTATCAACAAAGTGAATATTTTATTTGTGAACAAAAAACTTGACTTATCGGGGAAATTAAACTGTTTAGAACAATTCAATATAATCATAACTAGTTTGTAGATTGTATAAATATGGAACATATTAAGATACCAAAGGTAAAATCACTTAAAACGAAAGTTGAAAGTAAAAGCTTCAAAAATATTTTTTTATCATTGAAAGTCGTGTTTATTTACAATACACTCTCGTTTCAATTTGAATGACACATATTAGCTTTCAAAACATAGAATTATAATAACGAGTTTATGGAACTTAAGCTTATGTGTCTAGTTAATTTGTTTAATTTATGTAAAATGTTGAAAGAAGTCATGTGGAGGTAATTGAAATAATCATCTGGTTGAAATTGTGCAGAGATTTTTCTGTGTAAGGATTTTCCTTCCAATGCTTTTCCAGTCTTCCAGTATTGGGATTCCCTCTACGTAGGGATTGAATGGAAAGGAAAGAAAATTTCAATGAAAAGTCATAAAAGAAAAACTTATTACAACAGTCGAGTATTTCACATCGAACTGAAAGAAAGAAAATGAATTAAAGTAAACCTTGAACAAAATAAACAGAAATTTTAAGTTCATAGTGAAAAATGTTGAAGTAAAACATAAAAATTTCGTTCAAGTTGAATGATAAATAAATTATAATAATGAGTCAGATATCGGATTATTCCGATGATTCAATTGTCCAACCAAGTGATTTTAAACAAGATTTCGATCTTGTATCGCCTGAAGAAATTAAATATTTCAACGAAACATTGGTCAATGATTACGAAGAACTTAACAGGTCGCCCTTAATATTCGGTCTTCCGATTCCCCAAAAAGTTGCTGACTTACGAAATTGGATGGAGGAAAACTTACATCCTCAACTTCGAATAGATCACGAGCCAATTTTCTTCCACGATATATTAGTGATAAGAAAGGTGATGAATATTTAATACCAAAGAATATGAATTTGTAAGAAAAAACATTCTGTCTGCTTAATTTAAGCAGAATCGATATTGACGACCTTGTTGTCCTTCTCAATATCTTCATCGTTATTCTAAAAATGTCCCGCTTCACATACATTAGTCGATATTAAATGTCACGCTTCAATGTTTCTTTCATCAACCTTATTCTTCTTCTTCTTTTATAAAAAAAGGAAGAGAAAAAAGGAAATCAAATTTCTCATTCCATTATCTTCTTAAATTTAGGTGGAAAATGTACGAATGATAGATCGGTACAATAACAAAAATTCGATTGTTGGAACGCTTTATTTGACAGCAACACATCTCATATTTGTTGATCCTGAAGCTAATGCCGAGACATGGGTAAAATAAATTCTACGTGATTGCTTCGAAATCAAATTGAATTGTCCAAAATTCATCTTCCTCTCAAATTCAATTTATTGACAGATTCTCCACATGCACATCGCCAGTGTTGAGAAGCTTCCGCTAAGCACAACTGGAAGTCCTTTGTTGATACGTTGCAAAACATTCCTCTCCGTCACGTTTGTTATAGCGAAAGAACGAGACAGTCACGATGTTTATTCGACATTGATTAAGCTGTGTCAGCCAGGTATGAAGTTAATTAACTTTTAATTTTAATTAATTAAAAAGAAAACTTTGACATTAATTAAAGAGTTTTGTATAAATTACTTTTTCCTTCTTTTCAGTTAATATTCAAAACCTTTACTGCTTCCAATACACGTCGAGCAGCGAGGAATTAGTAAAATCAGCGGGATGGGATTTCTTCAAGTTAGAAAACGAGTTTCGTCGAATGAAAGTGCCAAATGACGAATGGCAATTGACAACGATGAACAAGGATTATGCTTTGTGTGACACCTATCCAAGTCAGTTAATTGTGCCTAGAGCAGCTGACAAATCAATTTTACTCGGATCTTCACAGTTCCGATCCAAAGGACGTCTACCAGCTCTCACTTATCTACATTCAAATAAAGCTTCGATCTCTCGTTGTTCACAACCTTTAAGTGGCTTTAGTGCTCGTTGCATGGAAGATGAACAAATGCTTCAGGAAATTAAAAAGACAAATCCACACTCAAAAGTTCTTTACGTTGTTGACACAAGGCCGAGGGTAAGTCATTGACGGCTTGGTTTCTTGAACCCTTAAAGGATTCTTAAAAGCAGAATTTTTCCCCAGATCAATGCAATGGCAAACCGGGCTGCTGGCAAAGGCTACGAAAATGAACTTTTTTATGAAAACACAAAGTTTCATTTTTTGGGAATTGAAAATATTCACACAATGCGCGCAAGTCTGGTAAAGTTGATTGAAACTTGTGAGCAAAAGTCAATGAATGGATTTCTTAGCTCATTGGAGTCATCAGGATGGTTGAAACACATTCGGTATGAAATTCTTTCATTCATTTATGAAATTTCTTTCTTATCAAATATTTTTTTGAAGTTCAATGTTGGACACGTCAAGTTTCATTGCGAATGCTATCAGCAAAGGAATCTCAGTGATGGTTCATTGCTCTGATGGCTGGGACCGAACGTCACAAGTCTGTTCACTTGCAGCTTTAATGCTTGATCCTTTCTATCGAACAATCAAAGGATTTCAAACATTAATCGAGAAGGATTGGTTGGCATTTGGACACAAGTTTAATGATCGTTGTGGTCATTTACAGACTGATCCGAAAGAAGTTTGTTGCTGTTGATTTTATTTTCTTTCAACTTAATTTTAATGACAATTTCCAACTCTCTTAGATATCACCAGTTTTCACACAATTTCTCGACAGCACATGGCAATTAATGCTGCAACGACCAAATGCATTTGAGTTTAATGAAAGATTTCTGTTAATTCTTCATGATCATGTGATGAGTTGTCAATTTGGAACGTTTATTGGAAATTGCGAAAAAGATCGAATTGACTTGAAAGTTTCGGAGAAAACTTTTTCACTTTGGGGCTACATGGCGAATCATATGAATGAATACATCAATCCTTTGTATTGTCCTGGTGAAGTTGAAGATATCAAACCAAATTTAAGTCCACAACTTATCAGATTTTGGCGTGGAATGTACGCTCGTTTTGAGAGTGGCGTTCATCCAAGAGAAAATATTGGCGACACTTTATTAGAAAGCAGAGAACATTGTGCGTCACTTGAAGATCATGTGCAACATTTGACGAAGGTTTGACAATTTTAAATTCATTTCTTTAACTAAATCATTAAAATAATTTCTTTTTGAACAGCGTATCGGGAGCATTAAGAATCTTATATCAAAATCAGCAAAGAAACTTCAAACAAACAGCGCAAATTTATTACAAACGGCAACCGGCAGAAGTATCAACGACAATAAATTCAACTACGACAACAAAAAACTCAGCGAACTTCAATCAGCTGATCACGATCATCCATTAAAATCTGATGATGTGCTATCGATATCCGATTGTAATAACGAAGTCAATCAAATAACAAATGAAATAAATTCAGTGGCACTCGATTGGAAAAGTTTACGAAGTGCTTCAGTGTGTGCATGTTCGACGCCTTTTTCTCAGGAAATGAAGAAAACGCATTGTTGGAGATGTGGAGAAATATTTTGTACACGTTGTATTGACAAGACGTTTCCTTTGCCAGGACATAACAGCGGAAAACCAGTTCCAGTATGTCGCGCATGTTTGAAAATTGTTTCACAAGTCAGTCCTTGAACGATTTTTCATTGTCTACTAAAAGTTGAAGCTTTTAAATGAGTTGCTTGCGAAGCTATTTCTTGTTTTGGAATTTAAATAAATATTCGAATAAATAATTAAAGAATTAAAGTTATTAAAAAGTTCCATGTTGCTTTAAAAAGAGAAGAAAGAATGTTGCAGACTTGGAATTGACTGTTTTGGATTGTGATAATCAAACAAGTAAAAATCTATGAAGAAAATATTATAAAAGATTATCGATAAAAGGAAAATAAATATAAATATTCTCTCTTACTTGTAATTGCTTTTATTGTTATTCAAATTTCATATTTTCAGATATAGTTTTGCGATAAATTTCAACCAAAAGTATCTTTGATTGGTGAATTTACTGAGAAATGAAGTACGATAGTGGCAGCCCATTTTCCTTTCATAAATTCGTAGGAAAAGTCCAATCTGTAGTCACCGGTTGGAAATATTGACATCATAGAACCTGATTTGACGTAGGCGTTTGTTATGTTGACAGACTGAAAAGATTTTGTTTAACCATTTATAATTCTAAATTTTTAATCAATGCTACTGTGTAAGGACACTTGTGAAGATAACCAGGTGAACTATCGTCAAGAACTGAAAATAATTGAATTAAGATTTTGTTTTTTGTCCCTTCTTCCATTAATTCACAGAGTTCAACACTGGGAAAATGCATAACTTCTCGATAAATGACTCCGTACTTAAAGTAAAGCTGAGAGTTGAACTGAAGAATTAATTTTTTTTTATTAGATATTCTGAATTTCTTGAAAAATTAAGGCTTACTTACATATATTTTATTAATTGGTTCTTTCATCGTTCCTCGTACGTTGACAGATGAAAAAGAACGATTGAATGATTTGGCATAACAAGTAAAGTTTGGGAACATAAATTCGTTTGACACATTGCAACGAACAGATCGAATATAAAACTTTTGAATTTCTTCCTCGAATAATAAAGATTCGAAAAAAAATATGAAAATGAAGACAAATAAATGAAATTTCAACATCGCTGTTCTGACCGCAAACAGATTTTAACATCCGAAACAATTTTTAATTTATTTCTACCTAGAAATAGTTCAATTGCATTAATTTTTTTAATATGAAACTTGTCAATTTTCAAAGATAAATCAAATAATTTCATATTTTTAAACTGTTATGAATTAAAATAATCATAAAATAGTCATAAAAGTGTACAATGTTAAATAATTAACAAATAATTTCATGCCATTTCCTCCGAGGAAGTAAAAAACATATTTAAAGTTCATTCCTTTGAGTCAAGTCGAGTTGAGTAATTTGCATGTCAAGTCAAGTCATACATACGAGTCAAGTCTTGAGTCAAGCATTTAAGTCACTCTTGATTCAACATGCAATCATAAAGAAACACCTGGAAGAACACAAATGAAAAACCTAATTATTATGTAAATGTTTTACAAATATTTTATTTGATCAAAGTTTTTCACAATTTTTATAAAAAGTTACTGATTTATTTATTTTTTTAATTATTTTTCCTTCCATTATTGACAACTTTGCTTTATTTGTTTTAATTATTTATTCAATATTTCTTGTTCGCATTCTTCATTTATTATAAAATAAATATTTACATTAACTTAAGATTTTCGTTCGAAAGAAAGGAAAGATTTAAAAAGTGTTACAATTTGATATAAAAATCCCTGGAGAGATAAAAAATTGTAAATAAATCAATCTGTGAAGTTCAAAGACAAAGAATTTGATGTTTAAATTGTTTCCATTATCAGATTGATAGATTTAATTTTTTTTACTCGTACAATTAAATAATTTCGACATCCTAAAAGCATTCACGATCTTAAATATCATTTTAATTAATCACGAATGACATGAAAAATCGTTTTCGTTCATCGACGTCTTATCTTTAACGTTCACTCAAATCGAAGCTCAAAAGTTTTCTTTAAGTAATTAAAGTTGTTAGTAAGTAGTAAATCTCCAAAAATTTCTTTTATTTAATTTATAAAATTTACTGTTATTCGATATGAATTCTCGCTCTTTCTCGCTTTTATTTTTCACATAATAAATTAATCGGAAGATGTTCACACATATCTAATGTTTAGTAAGAGAATAAATAAGAAAGAAAAAAAATTAAAATAGTCCGTTCGTTTATCGTGTTGAGATTCATGATGATTATTTATGTTGCTATGGATGTTTCGAGCTTAATTGATTTTCTTTAACCATTGTGAATGAAATAAATAATAATAAATAAAAGGGCGCGCGGAACTGAATGAATATGGTGCTTAAGATAAGAGGTATGAGAGGGAAAGTTCACAAGTTTAATTATCCCTCAATTCAATAATTTTTTTTCTCTTTTTCACAAAGAAAGAAAACCTCGAAGAAAGTTTACATGAAAAAGTTTAATAAAATTCGTTTTGGTTTTCGACTTGATTCTTTGATCACTCACTCTCTCGATGATCTCTTAATTAACTTTCATGAATTCTGAGACATAAGCAGCAGCGCCTTTGCGATCGAAATGTCTGACTCTTACGAACAAGAAAGCTGCTACTAGTGAAGCAACTGCTAAAACTAAGAGTAACATGACTAATCCACCAACAAAGCTCGGCACGGACATGCAAATAGTTTCTGGATCTACGGTGCGTGCTGATTGAATCACAACTGTTTCATTGTTGGCGGCATTATTAAGTGCAAAGTTGACATCGCCTGGTGCAACAACTTGAATTGTTCTACTCGTGTTGACGTCTGTCATCTCTTGAGCATCACGCTTGTAAATGCGAGGCTTCACAACAAATGTCATCGTTTCAGTTTCTCGTCGTCGACGAACACCACGAAGATCATCCAAACCTTCCACAGATCGTGGACGTCCACCAAGTGTCATTAAGTTTCCGCTGTTATCAAAAGTATCTTTTCTCTTAACTGTGCTGTAACCAGATTGACCAGGAGGTGGTGGTGGGGGTAAGTGAACTTCATTCTGTTGTGGATTCGGTTTCTGCTGTTGTTGCTGCTGTTGTTTCTGTTGTGCCGCTGTTGGTTTTTGTTCATCGCCTTGATTTTCAGCAGAGTTTGCATTTGGCCCAGTTTGAGCTTGTGGTGGTGGAACAACTGTTTCTTGATTCTCTGAATAAGCACCAGTAGCATCTGCTGGATGTCTAGGGTCAACATAAGAAGCTGGAGGAACACCGTAATCTGGAAGGTGTGGTGCACCGTAATCGCCTGATGGCCCTGGTAATCCATATTCTCCTGAAATTGCTGAATGTCCACCATGACCGCATTTTGGTTCCGGACAGTTGTAACGACAAACTTGGATAACACATTGGAAGTGCACGTTCATTGAGTCAGGGAATTTGAAAGCTTGGAAGTATGCGAAACTAACGACAGATGCTGAAGGTCCAAAGTTTTTAATCTTCTGGAATTTACTCATAATCTTTGGTCTCACGACACATCCATGCTGATCAACAAGTTGAATTGGAGCTCGTTTTCCATCATGTGCAACACAATTTCTCACCAACATGTCGAACTTATTTTCATCGTCTTTAATTGCCAACACCATTGTCATGGTTTGTCCAATCTTAACAATTCCACTGACTTCCGAGGCCCATGGACCTTTTCCAACTTGAATTTGCATCCAACACTGAAGATTGTCACCCAAGAAGTTTGCAGTAACAGCATGAAGCATATCAACTTGGAATGGTCGGAATGTTACAGCTTTTTCATAGAAATCATACCAAGTACAACGAAGTTTCCTTGCCTGTGAATTAGATTAAAAAAATTAATTAAAATTATTTTCAACATTCTTTTATTGTGACACTCACCTGATCCCACACTTCTTGAACATATGGATCGTATTGAATGATGATTGTATTCTCAACATAACTTCCAGATGGTGTTGGTGCACCATATTGATTAGCATTGTGATTAGCAGAACTTGACATGCCACAACTGTTAAGGAAGATTTCAAAAGTGGCACTCAAATGACCTGCACCAGGTTTCATATGCACACAATGTGAGTCACTGTAGAAGCCTTTCGAGAAGATCATTCCATAGAAGGGACGATCGAATTCGATGTTGACGCGCATGTGAGTTTTCTCACATTGCACTTGAAGATGTTTGATTTGAGGATTGTCAGATGTCGCTGCTAATGGCCATGGCTCGTCACCACCTCCACCACTGCTACCACCGCCATGAGACCCTCCTGCTGAACCACTGCCAGGCGATCCATACACAGGTGCTGGTGGACCATATACACTTCTATGTTCTAATGGCAGAGCTGCTGAATCAACTAATGGTGCATCACAATGTACTTTCTGTAAAGACAAAAATTTTTAAAATAAATAAAAATATGTTAATTTTTTTGTTTTTGCATGAATTGGCAAAGCGACTAGTCACATTATAGCCAGACAGTTAGTCTGCCCCATATCCAACGCTCTATTCAGTTTTAAACTCATTAAAAACATAAAATTTAGCTTTTATAATTGTTTCAATTTTTGTTTCTTTTTCTGTAAAGAGATCTTCGCCCCAACATGTGCTGTCAGTTTCATTCTTTCACACACACTCAATTTTATAAAGTTTAATTAATCATTGGGAGATTTTTCTTTTATTGTTTTCTGAAATTAGCGCATACACTCAAAACCCATTGCCTTATCAATGGCTAAATCGGGAATGAAAAGCGAAATGTTTAAGATTTTTTTTCTCTTCTTTTCAAGTGCTTATTTTTTTTAAGTCAGTAAGAAACAAGTCTCAAGACCAGAAGAGAAATAAAGCTGAAAAAAACTTTCTTCTTTCGCTTAACTGTGGCGCTACTTTTATTTCTGTTTTTGTTGCTTCTTTTCATCTCTTCCAAGCAGCGCATTATAAATATGTATGAAATATTTTTATGGAAAGAGAGATTTCTTTTCCATTGATTCTGGTTGAGCGAGAAGTGAATAAACGATTCCATACTAATTAAATATCTTTGAAATACTAGCTTCAATACTCGATTTTTGAAATAAGTTTTACTTATGAATGAAGGGTTTGAATGTAGCCTACAATCGTCATTGATTGGAGGTTTAGCATAGTGAAGGGATTTTCTTATTTCACATCTTGGGAATCTTATCAAATCTCTTATTAACACAACATAAATAAAAAGTAATAAAAAAATTAAACATTAGTTAAAGAAGCATAAATCTCACATTTCCTTTCAACACCGCTATGATTTTGTGAAAATATTAAATTCTGTATTATTAAATTTTATGTTAAGATGTTTAACTATGAGTTAAGTTTCGAATTGCACAACTTCAGGTCAAGAAAACATGAAACAACAGAACTTTTATTTGGTTAAGAAATAAGTAGATATGTAAGAAACTTGATTTCCATTTTTATAGATGTTGACTGAGTCAGTCGGCATTAAAGACCGTCAATTACTTGACTTGATGAATTTTCCGCAATCACATTTTATTATTGATCTGGTTTAACAACACGACATCGATGACAATATAACGACAATCTTCTACCGTACCGATTTTCTTTTCATTATAAAAATTGTTTGCGTTCAAATGATCAGCATGAAAGCAGTTGAAATGTGTAACAACTTTTCTAGGCCAATAATTATTCTGTATTGAATTGGAGAGGAAAATTCAGAAGCATGAGGCGTGGAAATTATTAATTTTAATAGTAGTTTTGTTACACCACCACCACCCGCCAAAACATTGATCAAACAATTTCTTGAAATAATCTAATTTAATGATTGCAATAATTGAGACAATTTCTATCATCATCATGATGATCACAAAGCAGCGCCATGAATAATGAAGTGCACGCCACAATATTTATGATGAGGGAAAAGTGAAAAATCTGGAATGGAAAGTAGGCGTCTAAGCGTTAAACGGTGGTGCACTTGTTACAGTTTCAATTTTCCTGCCCTCTCCAATTCGCCATTTCAAGCCACATCAATCAATCAATCAATCTTTTCGCTCTATGGTTACAATTTTCTCGTTTTGATTTATGATGATGGATTTTGTAAATGAGATGAATAATCTGAAACTCGTTTTCTGATTCGTTTGTCGTTTGTATTTAAAGTTGTTGCAAGAGAAAGAAAAGTTTTACACGCTGATTTCAATGGTTTCTCTCTTAAAATGTTAATAAATTTTGATCGTTATTCAAAAAGTGTGTCAATTAGCTGGAGGGAGTTTGTCACAACTAAAACGAATCTACATCGCCCTTGAACTTCAAATTTTCGACAATGACTTGTGAAGATTCAGACAAGATAAAAGAAATAATTTAAACATCTCTTTGAGTGATAGATAGAAGGGGAAGTGAAGGAGCAGGCAGCACTTAATTAAACTGTTTTCAAATCAAAAGTCAACCGAAATTAAGTCTTGCTGGTATTATGTGTGTCAGATTTGCGTCTCTCTTTACTTAAACTCCGTGTGGTTTTCATTTAATTCTTTTTTTTAGAGGGTCTTTTGTTTTATCCGCAACAATCAATAGTAAGCGTTCGCGTAAAGCGATAACTATTTGGTTGGAAAAAGTAGGCCACTGGACTTTGAATTTGAAAGAAATTAAAAAGAAAAGAAAATTAATAAACTTAAACTATTCCAATGATCGCTTTAAGGCACATTCTTCTTATCTTATTTCATCATACGGCAACGTATGTTGGCTAGTGATACTCAATTGTTGTTTGAAACACGTTAAGTCGAAGAATATGTGAGAAAATGTGAACATTAAGCGTTGATGATCAGCTGAGTTTGGCAGTAACGTATGATTGGATTTGTGAATTAATGAATTTTTGAATTAAAATATTTAACGAGTTAATTTAATAGAATTGAATACTTTCACACTTTTAATCAAAATCAAGTGAATCTGCAATCGACGGGTTTTAATAACAGCCATTTATGGAAATAATGATTTTAATATAATGTTGTAAGTATGCAGAATGAATATTGAAAAGAGAAAATAGATTAATGATTTCGAAGATACTGTTGATGTTAGTCATCTTTCAATACTTACATTTAAACTTAAAAATACTAGAAAAGTTATCGCGACTATTGATCGCGATCTGTCGCCCATCTTCTGTGTGTTTGTGTTTGTTGTGCTCTCAGCCTTAATGATGATGAAAAATTAAATATCCTAAGTTTATCGATGATGTCGAGTGCGAAGTTTTTATATGCTACGTCGATGCATTCATGTAACCTAAGAAAAGATAATTAATGAAACTAATTAATTTCGTGACGCGGATATTTTTTTATTCGGCAAAACTTTCTTTAGAAATTTTATTTTTGAGTGGAAAAAAATCTTTTTTCATTGAAAAGTTTCTCTCGTGAATTTAAGTTTTCACATAAAAGCGCTTAATGGAAAATTCATTTTTCTCAACACTTCACTACGATTTTGCTTTCGAACATTTCATTTTACGCTAATTTTTGTATATTTTTTTGTAGATCAGTTTTCTTTGTTAATTACTTTTTAGTTTTCGGTGAAAGTTTAACTTTAATTTGTTTCACTTTTTAATGCAATTTTATTGTCGTTGAAGTTCACTTTGAAAAACTTTTTCGCTTTCTTACCAATGAAAATTTTTTTTGTGTTTTATTTTGTTGAGATTTGAATTCACTTTTTCATATTTTTATTGCTCATAAAATTCATTCAAATTGTTGATGGAATTTCGATCATGTCACGATAAATAATTCTCATTAAAGACACTAAAATATTGCACTTCTTTACAGCGGACACGAATTCAACGCAATTCAGTCTTTCAAGAGTCAGCTCATAACTGAATTAAGATTATTTTTCTTCAGCTCAACACTACGGGGGAAAGAGGGAGTCGGTCGGAGCTTTCAATGTTACCGTACAGTTGGAAGAGAAATTGATGTTATAGCACAAACACACATGTTATTGCTGCTACTTCTCCTCCCCATGCTGAAGCATTGTAAATACTTTCTGCGGTACGTTTCTTTACCATGCTTACAAGATTTTTGAGACCATTTCTTTCATTTCTTTTACGCCTTTTCATTCAAATAAATCAATATGTGTAGCAGCAGAAAAGAAGAAAGAAAGATATTGGATAAAGGAGAATGAAACAAAAAATGAAATATCATAAGAGAAGCATCGCGTTATGCTCAGCCAGAAAGTGATTAATGCATGGCTGTGTGCATGAATGTGGCTGTAGCCGGAATATGTTCCATTAACCTACTGATATAGAACAATCTTCTTAATACACTTTAGCTTTTAAATAAATAACATGAAAGCCAGTAGTTGTGATGTTTCCATTTCATCTCGCATCAGGTTTTTTCTCTTTTGATTGTAAATAAGGAATTTGCTGTTTCCGATGGCTGGCATTTGCTATGTTATTGATACATTTGCTATTTCCTGAATCATCTCGAAGATTAATTAATTTCTTGCATACCACAGTCAAACACATCTTTAAATAGATAATGACGGAACTAAATTAAAACCAGGATTTAAGTTGTGGTGACAACTACGACATCTCAATTTCAACAATTGGAATGCAAATTTTCCAATTCGCAACAATCATCATTGGATTCAAAATGGAAAGTTTTTCTCTTTGACTTTTTTTATCTCGCAATAAATCTTTCTTTATTTTCGACGGAATATGATGAATATTTGCATAAGCTTTTGTTTTCCCAAAAAAAATATTCATATTTATCTTGTCGATATCCCATAAGTCAAAATTGTATGCTAATCACGTATGGGAATTTATTTAAATATAAGTAGGAACGTGCACAAAATTCCACCAAACCTTTAAATCAATTTGCAAACTCTTTCCTCGAGGCAACTCACAAATCTTTCAACATCATTCAATGTGGTCGCCTTCACTTCACGTTCTCGCTGCTGATTCGAAAAGAAAGTTTTTTTTTCTCATATTTTTCTCCTTTGCTTTATTTCATGTGCTGCAATCGTTCATTCTTCACTCATCATGGGACAGGTGCATGCTCGCATGTTTACCTTCTGTACTTAAGATTTCTTTCAATGGGAATCGGGAAATATTTCTCTTTTATTTAATGATGCTTTTAAATCAACACAAAACATTTTTTTTTGTTTAATTTTTTTTGAAAATCTCGGGAATTATCAACAACCTGAACGGAATTGTTTTATTTGTTATCGATGATGAAGTTTCCAATCTTTACTCAACCGACTTTTTTACTGTTATCTCTTTGAATAGGAAACTAATTTGGCTTGTTGGCTTTAGCACATTTTTATTCACTTTCTGTGGTTTGTTTATCTTCTGACGTCAGTTGTTATTTTGGACCACACGAAAGCTGTTCATTTGGTGCAAAAGGAGAGAAATTAGCAACAACTCTTGTGGCATGTCGATTTGAAACAATGAAGATGATGAAATCTTTCGGAAGTCTCGGACATGTTTCAAAATATTTCTCTCAATTCTTCATGTTGTGACGTATCAACCGAAAAATGCATTATTGAGATGATTATTAGAAAGACATAAATATGAACAGGATATTAAAACGCAATCAACGAAAATTATGGTCTCGTATCTGAAACTTAAAATTGTTTTCTGATTTCTCGATGAATTCTTCTTCGCTTCAAACATTCTAATGGCATAGCAATGATGAATTGTAAACAGACCACTATGCGTGATTCATTCCAAAATGAAAACGATTAAAATTAATAAAATCACGAAGGAAGATTCTTCTATTCATCAAGACCTTGAAGTTCATCTTCCTGTCTCTTCCTTTTCTAACCACGTCACTGCTACCATCAATCCCAAGATCTCAACTAATCAAGCACCGACTACGATCATCTAATGATTAGTTTTCTCTCAACTCGACAAATAATCATTTTACTTACAGATATAAATATCGAGACGATGCTTTTAAAACTTTTCTCACACCCCTTTCACCTTTAATGATATTCTGACGAAATTAATTCTTCAAAAGGCAACAGAAGACGACGAAGACGAAGAAATGGAATCTTGTAATCAAAAGCATGATGATGATTTATGTTCTGCCTGGGGTCTCTAACCGAAAATTATTTCATCTTCAATTTTATGTTGCCTTTCGTGTCTGATGAACTCTTTCACCTTCTCCGCGTCTCCAATACAACATCCTTGAAGGAAGCGACCACGTCAAATCAATTTCTGGATTATCATCGTAATCAAAGGAGCGATTTGAAATATGCGTCGGGTCGTCGCAAGTGAGTCTTAATGTAATTCGTTCTACATATAATTAAAATTAAGCGGTTGAATGCATTTTATCTACACAAACATAACCCCTGGGAGTCCACTAAGCAAACCACAACAATAAAATGTGCAACATCATCAAAAGTATTTCATTTCGATTACTTAGATGATTTGTAACAACAGTTGTTACAATTTATTGGACTTTCGGTGAGTGAGAAGTAAAGAAGAGAACAACAACAAACAACAATCCAGTCGTTATTTGGAGTAGAAACATTTAATAAGCGCGGAAAAATGTGCAACTAGAGAGAGCTTAAAGAGGATGGAAGTAAAGTATGTTAAAGTATGAATTGGTCGTTTTTCCTTGCACTGAATATTTTGCACAAGAATGGAGAAAGACGGATAAGGTATGTGAATGTTTTCTTCATTCTTTAATGCATTAATTCTTAGTTATTCAATCATCGACCGTAAAAATATAAACAAAAGGTAGAGGGAAAAGAATCGTGATGAACAAACGTGTAGGCGATCAGCTTTTTGACTTTCCATTTTTTTATTTTTTTTTTTCATTTGCTTTGCCAATTCCGTTTGTTTTTTATTTCTACAGCCGTGACTTGTTTTCACTTTCTTTTGTGCTGGTTTCTTCTTTGCTAGGTAGTTCAAGAACCTTTTCAATGTTTTGCTTTATTATGTATGCATGAATATCTTTTTAAGCAGCCCAGAGAGGTTCACCATTTCAACTTCTTCCGTTATCTTAAACTACTTGCATCGGACTTGAAGAATTAAGATTGAAGTAATTAGGAATGTTAATAAATATCTAACGTAACAAAGTCTGATGAAATCGCCAGGTAATTAATGGATTTTAACGCTTTAATATGATATGAGAGCTTTTTGAATCTCAATTCGACCTCGAAACTATCGCAAATAGAATTTTTCTCGCCTCTGATTTCGGTGGAGTTTTGAGTTGATTAACAAGTTAATGGATATGTTTGTTCGATTTCCATTTGCGCTACTTATCATCTTTGCTGTTAAAGCGAGCATATCCGAAAGTGCTATGCACGTGAGATTCATGGAAATTGAGACATCAGACGGTATTTTGGTCTTTGAATAATGAGATGGAGAGCGAGATAAAATGACAACAACAAAATTCGATGCGTGCCAAGGCGGACATAAGTCAAAAGATGGAAACAATGTATCAATAAGTAGGTGCACTTATCTACGTTCATAATTATTTCACTTCGGCAACACGTCTTCGAGCATAAGTAACTTTTTTTTTTTCATTCTTCCCCGAAGCGTCGTCATGTTTGCTAAGAGACTTACAACGACGCGTTGTTCCTGTTTCTCATGAAAGAAAAAGAAACGGCACATATCAATTTCGGCGTTGTTGAATGAAGACAAAAGTAAATATTCATGATCGACAATGAAGGTTTTCAGTCAAAGAAAGAAGGAAAAAAAAGTATGTAAAAACGAAACTGGATTTTTTTTTTGACAGAAAGAAAAGCTCACGAGAGTGGTTTCTAATTTTGGAATCTAAAGCTTGAGCCTGCGACATAGAGCCACAAATCAGTCTGGTTGGTTTGCTTGTCATCTAAGTTAAGAAAAAATAAAGCAAAATGAAGAAAAGAAAAATCAAATCTAGGTGAACTAGTTGAAAATTTCTATTTTTCCATCGCACAATGCTACTAAACATAACGACGAGATCGTCTCTTTCAGCGCACAGCGGTTGCTTTTCAATATATGTAAAAAAAATTATTTATAATCAGATAAGAGAAGAAAACGAAGAAATTAATTGACAGAAATATGTTTATGAGCTTCGATGCATAAATAATAATAAAGTTGAATGGGAAGCAGTTGACTGAAATGATCTGAAGAATGTTGAATGAATTTATTACAATTCGTTTAAAAGATAAAAGCGATCCGTTGATGCGATGTAATTTGAGATAGATGAACGTTGGTTTATTTTTGGATATTCCCAATTTTTCTTGTTTTTTGGGACATATTATTAGAGAAAATCTTCACTCCATATTTTTTTATTATTTCCATTTAGTTCATCGCAACTGAAAATCCCCAAAAATTGATCTCATTTCGCGTTAATTCAAGCATCTTCCTCTACTTACAAACAATTGCAATAATTAGCTATGATACTTTTTTAATGGATCATTTGAAAATTATTCAATTTCTTTTTCTTGTTTTCATGCTGAAATATCTGCTTATGAAATTTAACATGTTGAGAGAATGAGGAAAATTAAGAACTAATGTCGTGTCACTGTCAATTTCAATTGGAAAGCTTTGATTTTGTATTGTGAAAAACTTTCGCTGTGATCCTGTTCAACGATTTCCATGGTTAATTAATGCACTTGATTTGTATCGTTTAAGAAATCTCACAAAGTAAAAGACTAATCTATTCAGCATCGAATCTGCGCTAAACCGAATCGGAATATATTTGCCTGCTTAGCCACAATAATTGCATGCGTGTGCAAACAATTTTCCATACACGATTTGTTGCTGTTGTTTTTCTTTTATTTCTTATTTATGTTCCAAACGAAACAAGTCACATAAAGTGTAATTCAAATTCTTTTAACAATTTTCTTCTCAATCTTCTCGCATTGTCTACCAAACAAAGATTACGATCGCATACGAAAAAAAAGAAAGTTTTTCATTTTTCTGTGTTGTTCACATCGCGAACCATTGTCTTAGCTCCGGGCTGATGGAAGAATTTATGACGATGTTCATAATGCAATTTTTGTGTTGCTTAACTTTATTATTTTTATTGAAAGAAGTCATATTTCGAAGCACATTTTTACGACATTCCACAATTGTTTTGTGTGTGATTGCGACAATGAAAGATTTGAACGAGTAGGAAGTTTTTTTTTTCTTTCGAGACGCTCATAATTGAAGAGTTTCGTTAAATTAATTACAATCGTAGAAGATTCTTTTGAAGACATAACAATAGGTTAATGGATTTCAAAACACTTTTGCTTACTAGAAGACTGGAAGATAAAGTCAAACGACGTGTAATTAGAGTCTGACCTTCACCTACAATAGACTTTCTACTTCTTCTTCTTCGTCTTCTCCGTTTTCATTCGATAATTCTCATCTAACTATGACGTTAATGTTCCATTAAGGAATTATGACTATTAGACAGAACGAATCTTCTTTTCAATACTCATAAAAATGAAAAATGCTTCGCCCACTAAATAATCTGAGAAACGATGATGAAAATAGATTGAATCGAATGCAAGAAAATAATGAAACATGAAAGCTTTATTTCTTCATGAAAAGTTATCATGCTCGATGAGAGAGAATTATTAATTAGACTTTCTATTTTCACTGGATTCTGCTTTCAAAGGCACAGAGAGATTATTGCCCTTGCTCGTTTATTCGTGCAACGTTGCATGGCGATGTTGTAAGATCCGCTTCTTAAGAATTCTTCATCTCAATAGGTTATTTAATGTCTGCGAGAAAAATGTTTGGAAAGGTCAGTTTTGTGGCTACCTAATTGACTTTAGAACTCAACGTAACTCAGACGATCAATCATCGTCACAATAATAAGAATTGTTATCGCCGTTGGACTCATTCCAACCTTTTGTTTTCGTTTCGTAAACCTCAATAAATAAAAGCCGCTGGAGTTAGAAAAATCGACATTTGCATTCGATTGTTCTATGACTCTTTATTATGTCTTGTGTTTGTGTTGTTTGTCGCTATTTACATTATCTTTAATTTAGCAAGCTAACATTTTCCAACAGTTTTAAATCGTCATGAAGGTGACAACATTTTTCCTGTCATTTCACGATGTAAATTTTTATTTTAAAAAGAATCTTTAAAAGTTTTGTTAAAGTGAAAGTTTTAACTAGTTGTTGCAGACACTTTCAAAGAATATTTATTTGACATTTTTTTTCTGAAGATTTCGTGATTAAAATGAAGATTTAGTTAAATGTTATTTTCAATTTCAACTTTCATTTCATTATCTTCTGATCGAGAAAAAGTGTATCAAGTGTCGTTTTAATAATTATGATTATAATTACGATGTGAGACATAAAACAATTTACATTTATTTAAAATTCAAACACGTTTTGCAACTTTTTTTGAACTAATTTAAATCTAGTCAGATATGATCGTAATGAATGCAGATTTTCTAATTTGTAATTAAATTTTTACAAATGTTGACTCTTTTAAAAAAAGCTTTTATTGAACCTTGAAATGAACTTTTTTACTTCTTACTTTCAACATGAAGTTCACTGATAAACAAGTAAACCACGAAACTCGTTTTAATTCCCATAGATTTGAGACATGCAAAAGCAGCAAACAATAAATTTATTAAGCATTGTTACATTCTACAAGAGTCGATGGCCAGCCATGGTAATTTTCTCTCCCTTTAAACGAAAGCAGAAGAGAAGGAAAAAAAACCTGCACAAGTTTTGCAAGAAGTGAAAATATGCCAAAGTGAAAGTAAAGATTGACTCTGACTGTGTAGCACAATAAACTTCGCCGAAAGCGGTTCTAAAAGAAATATTTTTTTTTATCTTGTTCCGGTTGGTGAATATATTTTCTTTTCCTTCTCGCTTCAATCAACAACTTGTTCTTATTAATCGCCATGTGTACGTCATAAAAAAAGCTTTTTTTCTTTTGCAAATGAGTAAAAGTTTGTTCATCGATATACAAAGTAGATTTTATGCATTCACAATGTTCCACTTTGATAATGTAAGCTAAGCAATGGCAATAAAGAAAAACCGATTTATCTACGATTTTTCTTTTTTTTTAACTTCTTCATGTTCATGAATCAATTATGATTGCTACTTGCTCAATCACACTTTTGTGTCATCAAATTTTATTTCATTTCGTACTGTTTCATGTTCAGCCGATACCAAATGTCTTTTGTTTTCCAATTGTCTTAATAACGTGAAACATTTTTCGCAAAACTTTTTTTCCACTCAATGAAGTTATTAATTTCTTAGATTGCACTAAATCATTTCTTCACTCACCTCAATGCCACAAGTGATTTTTTTCTTTCTTTATCCTTTTAAATTATCCTTGAAAATTTTTCACTTTTTCTTTACCGGTTTTCTTTAACAAATTTTCTTTTCCTGATTTCCTTTTTTAAAAAGTTATGTAATTTTTTAATTTCTTTTTAGTTTGGTTTCCTTATTTCACATTCAGAACAATTATAAGAAGGAAGAGATAATTTAATTGATTTTCCTGATTTTTAATCACACAATTGGTGAAGGTATTCACTCGACAACGATTCGAACAGCAATATCAAAATTTCACTCGTGTTTGAACGTTTTATACGTCGAGAAAGTTTGACCTCCTTCTTGCAACTATTTTACGTTGGATCCACGGTGGTGTTGGTGATGAATAAGATGAGGGGACAAGTCGAAATGATGTCGGAACTTATATGAAAATGTTTCACATTTTAGAATATCAAATTAAACTTTTGCATAACAATTTAAAAAAGTTCTTTTAAATTACTAAAAGTCTGACATTACTTTCGAAGTTTCCCTCTAGTTCAAAGAAAGCAAATTTAACACTTTTTAACGTATTTTCTTTAAGCTTGCCGAAGAAAACAACACGCACACATTTCGCGCTCATCAAACCAGACCAGACGCGTCTCAAGAATGCTTTCCTGATATTTTTTTTTCTACTTCTCGTAGTTTTTGCCTCGCGCGCAATTTTCTCTTTCATTGGATCTCAATCAATACAACACCATGGGCACATGTCATCATCGAGGTGGTAAAAGATACAAAACGAGAAAAGAATGAAAATGCAAATTTGATGAATTCATTCACGTTGACCCAGAGGCGAATATTCAATTAATTGAATGCTTAATCGACATTAATGTGATAAATTAAAATGATGGATTTGAAGAAGGTTTTAAATATCTATATAGGAAAATTATTATTTTATTCTTCAATCTTTATCAAAGGCTAAAGCTTCAAAATAATTAAAAATGTTGCAAAAAGAGTCAAAAATGATAACTTTTTCAATGAATTTGCTTCTGAAACCACTTCTTCAATCCAATCACTGAATTGTCCTGTGCTATGAAAATAAAGAGTGTTATTTGAACCATTTGTTACACAATTAGTGATTGTGACTCCGTTGATAGTTCCTTCGTCACCACATAAAACTGGAGATCCAGGAACAAATCTTAAACAAGAATCTAAATGTAAGACTCCAGAACAAAACAGTTGATTGTTATCAGAAGAGCAGTTTGCATGTCCACGTATATTCACAGCCAATATACCTCGAGCAGTAGGAGAAATCAATGTGTGAACAAAGCAAGGATCACCATCTTGCATTGCCCCAATAGTTTGTCTTGTAAAAATATTTGTATCAAGACTTTGCCCAATCTGAAAAGAACAAAAATTAAAGTTGAATGAAGTCGTTGATGGAATCGTGACAATTTTGTTCTGCCTTACTTCCAAAATAGCAAGATTATTTCGCAACAAATCACTTTCAACGAATTGTGGATGTTTCGACACTCTTACAGCGGGATCTAATTAAAACCGAATTTATTTCTGTTGAATAAATATTTTTATTACTTACGAATTGTTGTTTGTGCTATTCCATGACTGGCTGAAATTGCCAATATTCGATCTGCACTGATATCTTCTAGACACCTAGCAGCTGTTAGAAAATGACGATCTGACAATACAGTTGCAATACAACGATTATGAGCTTGATTTAAACTTTCTCTGTTTACATCCACAACATGTACCAAAAACATATTTTGAGCGCTAGAATTACGGATTAACAAAAATGTTGATAAAAACAAAACGAAAATTTTTGATTTCATTTTAACTGTCTTCATCAAGAACTAAATTGAAAATGTTTCAAAGTCACAACAATGAAATGTTATCAATGACATTGAATTTTGATACCACGATAATTTCTCATTATCTTATCTGCATTTTTTTACTTAGAAAGATTAGAAACGAATTAAGAGAAATTAGTCAACGATAATAAAAAAATATTTTAATTAAAATGCGGGATTGCGAGAATCAACCTGAATAATGATCATACTTGAGCAATATTGTGCAATGAATAAAAAAGCCTCGTGACTAACATCAGTAATTGCGGATCTTGAGACGGAATTTCAAATATTCTCGTGCCACAGAAAACAACACAAATTGCGCAAAACTACGAGACGATTTTTATGAGTCAATTGGAAAAAATCACTTTCTCTGTGAAATGAAAATTCGTAGGTGTCTCGATTTCTACATAGCAAAACAATTTACTCACTCATCAGCCTCAAGGCCCAACCTGATTTCTTTAATACCGATCATCATCTGCTGTTTTCACTTTCATGCGAAATTAAAGAATTTTAATCTCAAATGATGACTTTGAATCATTTCTTGTGATTGATTTGAGAAGATGAAATTGAAGTGGTTAATAAGGAAAAACCAATTAGCCTAACAAGCGTTTAGCTTTGTCGGCATTTTCTTCTTCTGTTTTTTAATATCTCATCAAGATGTATTAAATCAATTTAAATCCGATAAATCTCTTCATATAGTGTCGTCAGCAATTGTTTGCGTAGTTGAACACGAAACATGTTTGTTAATCGACGAAAGCTGTTTCCATTATCAACAACAAACCTCAACATACATACTTAACTTATGTTAATCAGTTATCAAGTGTTGTATGCAAATTTTGTTTTAATTTTTTTAACAGAAAAGAAAGAAAAAATAATTAAAAATTGTTGCTTAAGAAAACTTTCATCGATGTCCTGAACGTATTTGGGCCAATATTTAATTGTTTAGCTAACTACATAGTATGTACATGAAAGTTATGTTTACAACATTTTATTCTTTTGATTTCTTTTCTTTTTTTTGCTAGTGTTAAATTAAACATGATTGATGCGTTAAATATTTTTATACGATCTTAACCACCAGGAGAAGCTTTAAATATTCACTTATTTGTTTTCAGAAGTAATCGTTGTCGTGTAATTAGCCAACTGAAGTACCTTGACGGACTTTGAAATCGTTAGTCTACATTCATTTGAGAAACTTAACTTCCTATTTTACATTTAATGCCTTAAAAATTTTATTTTTGTTTATTTTCATCAATCATAACAGAAAACCTTTCACTGTCCCGAATCATTGGATCATAGAAAAGTTTATTTTATAAATGATCGGATAATAATAACACCGATGATGAAATTTGCCCATGTTTGCATAAATTTAAATATTTTGGAAGCTTTACAGCAGACGATAAATCAAGGTTTGTTGGTCAAGTTTGATTAAAAGAAAGAAGAAAGTCTCGTAGAGTATTTTGTTAAGTGGCATGAGAAAATCACGTCCTTATTGTAACAAGTAAGCTTTAACATCCAAACAAATACTAATTCTGTGTACACGCCTTTATGTCATGTTCCGTTTGAATGCCAAACTTACTGACATAACGCATTCAAGAGGAGAAAACTCGTTGACAGTGTCAATGCGATGTATGCTACTGAATGAATCATGCAACACAAAGTCGTCGTTACAAAGTGTGTGGATAGAATTAACGATATATTTTGATGTTGTCAAAGCCTGAAATTCATTGTTCAACACTATACACAATCATGTAACATTACAGCATAAAAAGTCCAAAAGTATGAACGTTTATAAAACATAAGAAACTAAATTCCGTGCTATTGTCTCCAACAATTCATCAAAAAGCGTAAACATTAAATTTACATGATCTTCAGTTCCATTTGAGTTGGAATTTCTTAGCTAATCAGCTTAAAATACTTGCAGAATTTGTCTCAAATTCAAATGTGTAATAAAAGCAAAAATAAAATTACGCAAGGCTTTGTGTGTCTTGAAAATTGTCGCTCAATTAAGATGGTTCGTGTATATTTTCTTTAATTAATTTCGCTATGACAACACTCGTCGTAACACGCAGGTGACGACTTAATTTTAAAATGCATGCCGAAACGATTAAATGAAAGTGCTGACCTACTTCTTTGTCACTCACTTAAGGCGCTTGCTTTTCTTCCGCCTACAAAAAAGGGCTTGAAGACTACAAAGTGGACGTCATATCTTATGTGTAATGTAAGTGAGAAACGAAACATGAAACATTGAATCTTAAAGTAATTAAAGTTTTCATTCAGAAAGTTTTGAGAGTTGCCAATATTATTGTAAATTGAAGTCCGAGGAAGCATTCATTTCGAAAATGAAATTGAAAACCTAAAAAATCCATTTGCGCTACGCTACAATTAACAGCAATGATATGAAAAGAAAGTGCCTACACCGCTTGCCTAAAATCAAATCATGTTTCTCTCTCATACAATCTTGTTTGAACGATCAATTAAGTCATTGGAGCGCGAGTGGCACATTCCTTAAGAATTTGAATGTTGCATACTTAAGTTGTTTAGCTATCAAGGCGTGTTTAATATGAAAGAAAAAGAAATTACAAGTTTTTGAGCTTCTCTATATGTTTAGATCGAAAAGTTTTAATTTAATTCTCCATCATTGCGTATTGCTATAAGTTATGATATTTAATTAAGTACATAAAGTCAACACCATTTGTACTTTCCATTTTAATGCGGTTCTTGTTGCCACAATCTTCATACGGGTTAATTTCATTCGATGACAGAAAATGAAAATCGCGGCTGTAGTGCGAAATATCAGCATGTGATACAATAACCCGGGAATTTTAAACAAAGCAAAAATGAGAGAAAGTTTGTTTAACGTTCATTGGGCGGGCGATATGGTAATCGGGGTTTTTTCACTTAATATTTATACAAAACAATCGAACCAAGTGACGTAATTTTTTATAAAAAAATACTCACGGAGATCCTATTTCGTGATCATCATACTTAACAAGCGAGTCTGAGTCATGATCAATGCTTACCGTTGCCAACAGGATGTTTTGCTTTATTTACATCATAATACAACGCGAGGTCGAATGAAAAGTGAAAACATTTTTTTATTACTCGATCTTATTTCTACCATTAACAATAACAAAAATAGATTTTAACATTAGTTAAGAAATAAAATTTCTTTAATCGCTTGATACATATGACTTGCTTTATTGCTTTAAAATAAACAAAATGCTTCTTTTACTCACAATTTCAGTGCATAATTTTTGATTTTCACTCATTTGTCTTCATTAAATTTGATAGAAAAAGAAGTAGAAAGAAAAGAAAAAAGTCTTGTTCCGCTTATTATTATTGTGATATTTTTCAATATTTTTTATGAGAAAAATTCAAAAGGCATGCAAGCAATGAATGAATCGAGCAAAACCAACAGTTGTGGGTTTTCGTAAGTGACCACAACTTCCATGTTTGATGAACAGAGTTATTTAAGGCTGACAAGAAAATAATGGCAATTTGTTTTTAACAGAATCATTCATCATCTTTTGAAAGCATAAATCTTCAAGTTAGCCAGCCAATGTACGATCAATATTAAGAAAATAAAAATTTAAAGGTAAAAACCTTCAATGACTGTAAGCTAATAATCGGTCAAGAAAAATCACAAACTTTCTCTTGGTCAAGGTCGTAGTGTTCCGAAATCATATTTATTCGTGAAGGTTTCATAAATTTGTCAAATATAATTTAATGATCGTCTTACATTTGTCGCTTTCCGGAATTTAATTGATTTCAATAATGAGACAGACGACAATTTTTTCTTCATGGACAGTAATTTTAACGATCATCAATTATTTTTTTATAATAATAAAGGAAAAATTGGAATATAAAAGAAGTTGTCATTTTCACTCAGTCGTTCATGCTCGCATGTCATTTATGTTTGATGATCTTTATGTGAACCTCAGCACGTTACTGGAGTTAGATTAAATATTGGCGTTAGATTAAAAAGCATTCAACAAGTAAATTTTGTTCTGATACGAATTGCACTTTTCTGCTTAAATTTCCAAATTTTATGCTTTTGTTAAAAACTTCAATTGAACAAAAAAGTTTCGACATTTTAAAAAACAACAATTTTATTTAGATTTATTTTTCTTCTCGTGCTTTTTCTTTAAATTCGTTATACAAAAAGTTCAAGATGCCTTGTAAGATGCTCTAAAATCATTTTTCTGATTAAAATTGAATATTATGGAATAGGGAAACAAAATTATTTTCTAATAATTTGAATATCTACTTTCTTATTAAAGATCATTTCTATGATCTTGCGTCATTGACCGTAGCTGGGACCTGGAAACGAATATTTTAAAATAAATTTAAATGATCAAATTTTCTCAAAATTAGCATTATTACCTTGACTTCCAATCCATTCAGATCTTTCGAAAGAGTGATCTGACATCCAAGACGTGACGTATCTGTTAAATCATAGGCAAGATCCAACATGTCTAATTCTTCATCCGAAGGTTTTTCCGGTAATTTATCAAAATCAGGCTTGGAGAAGATTAAATGACAAGTCGAACATGTTAGAGTTCCTTCACAAGCACCAAATCCATCAAGGTCAATGTTATTGTTCACTACAACATCTAATAAAGTATCACCAACTTTTCCTTTTGCTTTAATTCTCTCGCCACTGGCACGAACAAAAGTGACCTCAACTCTATAAGTAGAATTTAAATTTCAATTAATAAATAAATTTCAATCAAATTTTCTTCAATTTTTTTATCAGCCAGCTGATTAAGAAACACTTGATCAAGTGATAAATTTTCAATGTCACGCGAATCATATCGCCAAATATGGATTGAATGAGATTACAAATGATAAGAATTGTGACCCTCTTACTTTCACTTCAAATATTCCACATCACAACATTAAAATAGTTGTACATAAAATTATGTTTGCGCTTAAATATAAAAGTAGGTAAATATGAACTTACTCTTCTTTTTGAAGTTTCGGAAGACTTGTGCACAATGTTCTGATGTCTAAGCCCTTCCTCCTACTTTGAAGTGATGTATTATTTACAAATTGTTTTGCCAAATTTGTTACAACTCGTGAATTAATTAATCTAATCATTTTATTTAAAAAAATTTACTATTTTTGATCGAGTGTTGATTAAAAAATCATTCGTTCAATTTCACCTCGAATTACACTCTCCACCTGAAACTCGTCTCCCCAAAGTTAGTTCCAGGTGGAGAGTGTAATTATCAGCAACGGAGAAAAACAAGGGGTACGAAGATTCAGTTTGGTTGTGTTCTGCGAATGAAGAGAATTCTTCAATTTTATTATGTGATAATTAGACACATTTCTGGAGGAATTATGTGGTTACTTACACAAGCTGAAACTGGTAACGCTCAAATCAACAAATAAAGCACAACATTTTGTTGAATTAAAAATTTGTACAAGAAAAAAAATTGAATTCTTTTTGTGTTGTTTACAGATACGGTTTATTACATCAAAAAGCCAAAAACTTCATTAGGACGGAAGAATTGTGACATTGAGATTACAGATGATGAGTCCTTGAGCAGAATTCATGCTTACTTTATTCTAACTAACGACGAACTTCATCTTCAGGATGCAAAATCAAAATATGGAACATTTTTGAATAGCTCATGGGAGGATGACAAGAACAGACTTTCACATGACAGATCCTTTAAATTAAAAGATGGAGATTCCGTTCACTTGGGAAAGAGACAAAGTGGTTGGATAATTCATCATATAAAATATAAGACAGGATTCTCGATGCTTGATCAAGGGAAAAAGAATAAACTTGTCGGCATTTTGAAGGAGCTGGACGTATATATCGATGAGAATATCAACGAGACTTGTACTCACCTCACGATGCCTATACAAACAGATGTTTCGCATAAACTTTTACAAGCTCTCACACACTGTATTCCCGTTGTTTCTCCTAAATATTGGGTAACTCTTCGAGATTGTGTCAATAATAACCGTCCGCTCCCAAAAGCTTTAGATTATGTTCCAAAAATTAAAGAAACAACTTTTGTTACACCAGAAACTGTGTCATTAGCCATCAATGAATCTCGCAAGAAGCTTTTTTTTGGTAAAACTTTCATCTTCATTTCGAGAAGTCAAGTGAAGAATTTCGAGGGAATTATTAAAGCAGGCGGAGGAAAAGTTATGTCGTTATCTCAAAATAAAATGACAGCTACTCAATGCTGCGCTAAGAATGCTATTGTGATCAGTGCTAAAGATGAAGACACGCAGTCTGTCAACGGCACTGTAATCACAAAAATTAGTGGTAAGTTTGATAACATAAAATTCATTCAACATTTCCAAAAATATTTTTTTGTTTTAGATGCTCTCAGAGAAAAAAAGCGTCGAATGATTATTGAAGCTGAAATAGGATTTGCATTAATGCATGCAAGCACTGAACGTTGGTGCAATCCTAGTTACCACGTTGCTTCATTATTTGAACCTTGCAAGTCAGGAGAATTGAAAATAACAAAATCTAAAGTTTTAGCACTTGGAACAGAATCTGTAAATACTTCAGAGCCTCGTCGTGGTCGTCCAAAAAAAGAAATTCTACCAAAAATCACCGAATGTATCGAATTAGGCAGCTCCAGTGGCAGTGATGATGAAGTTGAATTTGTGTTTAATAAAGAAAATCTTCCATCAAGCACTCAAGCTTCTGTGATTGCGGACTTATCATCTATTCCAACAAAATCCAACCTCACGGCATTTCCACATACTTCTGAAAGTTCTAAAATAGCTTTACCAGAGACTGAAGAAAGTGTTGCACCACAAATAGCAACAGCTGATGCTTCAAAAATTAATCTCCCAGAAACACAAGAAAGCAACGCTATTCAAGATGAGGAAATTTATATTTCCATCACAAACAATCAAAATTCAACAAAAACAGACAATGTTCCATCGCCACCATTACAAATTGAAAATAAATCATCGAATCCCGTGAATTCGTCTCTCTTTAATTTCGTGAATTCAAGAGTTGACACAAATTCAGAGAAAAACAATAAAATAAAACGAAAACATCAGCAAGAGGAAAATTCAGAAGTCAAAAGCAAACGTCGAAAGAAGCAAATCAGCAGTGATGAGTCGGACGAAGATAAAGTTCAACAACCAACTTCAAGATTGACTCGAAAGCGAAAGGCAGAGTCACCAAAGAAAGGAAGTTTGTTTAATTTCAACACGGCATTTGCTAAGAAACGTAAATCAAGTGAAGATGAGGATTTTGATAATCCAAAGATAACGGCGAGTGAAATTGTTAGTAACCCGGTGCCAGTTGCTCGACCGCCTTCACCGTTAAAAAAGCCTTTATGGAATGGATCTTACGATACAACTGACTCAGGAGTTTGGTTGTGTAAGAAAATGCTTTCAGTTAACTTAGACAACAACAAAGAAATTGAAATTAAAAAGGAAAAAGAATCTTTTCAACCAACTTATGATTCAACAATTAACACTGATGATATCAAACAAGAGCAGTATGAAAATCTCTTCGAAATTCAACAAACAATCGCAACCAACGTAACGTTAACAGCGACAAAACGGAAGAGTTTTATTAAAAAAATGAATTTCAAGCCTCAGAAAAACATCGTCAAAACGAAAGCGATTAATATTGAAAATACTTATGAAACACTTGATAACTTTTGAAGAACAATGAAAATTATCGTTGCCTTCGTTATTGATTCTTTTGTTATTTTCTACCACATGTTGACTGACATTATTGGAAAATGTATGATTTTTTGTAGAAAATTTTGTGACAGATGTTAAGCGATAAATGAAAAATAAAGAGACGCGATTTAATTACCATATGAAACGAATGTTCAAACTTTTCCAAATTTTTATTTAAATTTTCAGTTCAAACTGAATTGAGTAGATTTTCGAGTAGAAAAATTTCCCTTTCATCCCCTAACACAACACAACACATTTGCACAATTTATCACGCTTTCGTAAGTGTTAGTAAAAATGTCCTTTTCTTATTGCATTCTAATTGCTCCGCGTTAATTTTAGTATTTTTAATAGAAAAACATCACATTTCGAGTTAGTTTTATCATTAATTAGTGCATAAAGTCATCGGTTTCAAGGATAAGTTGAAAGCAATTCAAGGTTTATCGATTTTAATTCAAATTTCATCAAAAACTGTGAAGAAGTAAGAAAGAAAAGAATAAAAATGAAAATTATTGATTTTTCCATTTTCACTTTTTCTCTGCAAAAAGAGGAAGAAAAGAAAATTTTGTTGTTGTGGTCGATTCACCCCCGCAAAACAATAATATTTATTGTACGGAAGTTAGTTTGCAAACGGCGATAACGGCAAATGTTAAGAGTTTAAATAGTGCATAGAAGGAAAATTCATTTAGCGATTTACGAAGGAAAGAAAATTGTGTAATGCATAATTATTTTTTGAGGGCGCGCAAAATATAAATGAGATCCTCGTCTTCTTCCCCTACGAGTAATCTGATAAGTGGATATTTTAATTTATTTTCTTATTTGAAGGGTCTCAGGTAGAAATAAAATCTTTTCGTCAGCAATATGTTCCCTTTTATTTTTAAAAAGAAAGAAAACATTTCTGCCTTCATTAACATCGCATTATTTCTTATTGGTCTCCTTTTTACGCTTTTTATTCTGGCCTTTTGTGTGCTCACATATAAGAAGCTAGTAGATATGTAATAAGAACCTCACGATATTCACGTTCATGCACACACGAGTACATAATTCTTCTACCTTGTTCTTTGTTGATTATTTTGGCTAACACCTGCCTTTGTAGCAGCTCTCATCTCATCCCGCAAATACGAGTTTTGTTTTCTTTTTGTTTCCTTCATAAGCGATACGTTTTATGTCCAACATCAAATCTTTTTCTTCTTCGCTCCCTTCTTTCTTTCTTTTTTAAAGTACTTTAGAAAATTCCGTAACAACATTGATGCCGTTTACGATGTTTCGATTCGATGCGCAATTTATTTATGTGAAGCATGTTTCTCATCATTATTGCATTCCCAAGGAAGAAGGGGTCACAGTACTCATAAATCTTTCGTTTCATATAAGACGAGTTTCAGTTTCTTCCTTATGCGACGCAATTTTCTTTCGAATCCCAAATGTGCACAATTTTTTCTTCTTCTTCCTTTACGTGCNGGTCTTGGATAGAGTTGAGACTTTGTGTCTCGGGTAGAGTTGAGACTTTGGTTCTTGGATAGAGTTGGGACTTTGGGTCTTGGATAGAGTGGAGACTTGGCGTCTCGGATAGAGTGGAGACTTTGGGTCTCTGGTAAAGTTGATACTTTGGGTCTTGGATAGAGTTGAGACTTTGTGTCTTGGATAGACTTTGTGTCTTGAATAGAGTTGAGACTTTGTGTTTTGGGTAGAGTTAGATTTTGGGTCTTGGAGAGATGAGACTTTGTGTCTAGAATAGAGTTGAGACTTTGTGTCTCGAGTAGAGTTAGACTTTGGGTCTTGGATAGAGTGGAGACTTGGCGTCTCGGATAGAGTGGAGACTTTGGGTCTCTGGTAGAGTTGAGACTTTGGGTCTTGGATAGAGTTGAGACTTTGTGTCTTGGATAGACTTGGTGTCTTGGATAGAGCGACGATAAGTAAGAGTGGGATCGGCGGACTGGATTTCGCCATTGGTGGTAGCACCAAAGGGAACGGCGGATGTTCGAATCTGTGTGGATATGCGAAAACCAAACAAGGCGGTCATGAGAGAATATTATCCTATGCCTGTGATTGAGACATTTCTGGCAAAGCTCAAGGGAGCAAGATGGTTCTCACGGTTAGACATGAAGAATGCATTTCACCATATTGTGTTAGACAAGAAGTCTAGACAGCTGACTACGTTTATGACTGGTGAAGGTCTAATGAGGTACAAGAGACTACCATTTGGTCTGAATGCGGCACCTGAGTTGTTCCAAAAGACAATGGATAAGTTCATAAAAGATATCGGAAACATGGTGGTGCGAGATTATAGAGTGGTTATGCCGGTAAGAAGAAGGAAAGGCTCGTACAAAGCCCTGATGGTGTGGAATATCGTCGATGTGTTACGCATTTAAAGAAGTGGCGTGGTGTCGGAATGAGAAATGACGATGAGAGTGATAGAGGGCAGACCAGTGACCACGATGACATGGAACAGGGTCGACCAAAGAGACTGTGCAGGCGACCAGCAAGATATAATTAAATGGTTCGATTTTTTTATGAAATGTAGAGATTACTGACAGAATTGAGGAATAAGAAATATTAATAAATAAATTTGTCAGGTGATTTATTAAATAATTTAACTTGGGTCAGAAGAAGGGAGGTCGAAAGCTTTCGGCAGGGTAAGGGATGTAGGATACAAGAGAATGAGAGTGAATTGACTCTCTCATATTTATGCGTTGTCATGGCAACGCGAAGCGAAAGTCGCGAGAGAGTTTCTTATCTCGAACGAACGGTGAGAGAAAACTGTTCATTCGAGTATTAGCCTTCGACGACGAACAACGTGAGCTCCGTTATACGACGATAAGTGAAGTTGATTATTAACTCCGAGGACGAAAGGCGATAGCCAGAACACTACCAATTACCAGCTACTTTACACATATAAGACGAGTTTCAGTTTCTTCCTTATGCGACGCAATTTTCTTTCGAATCCCAAATGTGCACAATTTTTTTCTTCTTCCTTTACGTGCGATAAAAGCAAATGAAAAATTTAACAAACTTCGATCGATTTTTCGTTTCACTTCAATGCGAACAAATGGTGGCCAATATCCAATTATCTGCTTCTCGAATTTCTTCTTTCAAATCTTTTAAACTTCTCAAAATGACAAGAAAAATCATCATAAACATGCCATGTGATATATTAAGGAGATGAAGTAAATATTTACTAAAAAAAGCACCATCATGGATTGAATTGTGTTGGATTAGAAACCACTTCTTCATCTTCCCCAAATTTATATAATTTTCTTCTTTTTTCCCCTTCGTAATCTTTCGAAGCAACATCAAAAATTCTTTCTCTTTTCTTTCCTTTCGTTTCATTCTTCATTTTGACATTCTAGGTTGAAGAAGTCTCTTCCATCCGCATTGCTGAAGTGAAGGAATGAATATTCATATCATTTAAATGATAAAAATGTGAAAACAGTCACGTGTAAAGTGTCGTTTATAACATTGTGAGAAACAAAGACAAGTCAAATTGAAAGAAAGCAAAGATTAATTATTCAGTGATTAAATATGTCGCTCAATGACTCTCACTCACTTGAAAGGACTTTGGAATATTGTGACAAGGGTAATGAGTCGTTTCTAAACACCACTGACTGTTCAATTCCAAGTGTAAGCATAACAACCGTCACCACAGGTCGTCCATCAAACTTAAAAGCAAACTCAAATCAAAATAGTAACGAAAGAAAAAAATCCCGCATTCATTTCAATCGTTTATGGTCAGTTTGGTATGGGATTCTTGTGACACTATTTCAAGGATATTTGATCATCTTGGGACTTCAAAAGTATGTTGGTAAGTTTATTGAGGGCAACTTTGATTTATTGAATTTATGAGTGACATTAATTCAACATTCCCAACAGGCTGTTCTTTATTAACATGGAAAGACGGCTTACCCGTGATAGAACTTAACATGCAGCTCATTTTTTGTGGCTTAACGCTGTTATTTCTACCGCTTTTCTTATTGTCGGCACTTTTCAAAGTTGGTAATTTGGCAAATGACGGCGTGAAGTTGAGTTCACGTAAAGGCACGTGCTCATCTGAACCGTTTATATTTGAAGACGATAGCAACAATAGCACAATGAAAGCGTTATGGATGCACGGTGTGCCAATTTCAGTTTTTATTCACATCATAACAGCACTTTGTTTGCTTCTCCCACATCTGCTTTTGGAAGCGAAATTGATTCAAAATCAACATCTGCCTAAAGGTGAGATACACAATAGAAGAAAAAGAAAAGTTTTTTGATCAAATTTCAACGATGATAACATTGCGTCTCATTTATAGATAACATCTGGAAGAGTGAAATTGACTTCATTTTGAATCGTAGCGATCGATTAGTGATTCTTTCGTTCATCAATACTTCACCTTATCAGAATGACACAATTTCAATTGAAAATCGATATGATGACGATTTAATTGAATCATTGGATTATGACTTGAATCCATTTGAGACGCATGAAAGTTTACAATCATTTAGTGCGCCAACGGAAGGATTTCAATCAACATTGACTGGTTCATCATCGTCAATCCAAATAAGCACATTTGGCGAAGAAGATGAAGATTATGACATGCTGGAAACGACAACTTTGAGAACGACAACACAAAGAAGAACGACGTTACCAACAACAACAACATCGACAACTCAATTTACGACCACAACACCAAGAACAACGTCGACGACAGTTCGGAAAACCTTCCCAGTAAAAACTACTTTACCGACCATTCGAACTACTTTACCGACTACATCATTTGCTTACACAAACTCACCGATTATAACAGAAAGATCACATCATAGCAACAAGGGACAGAAGAATCATAATAAACACAGAAAACATAACAATAGAAAGCATCAGAAACATCATCAACCTGTCACTGAACTTGATGATATTGACGAAGTTAATCAAGAATTTAAACTTGAAGATTTCGATTCATTTGATGAAGAATTATTGAAGCAAATGGAAGGGAGGAACAATAATCGAAGAAAGAATAAAAATAGTTCAAGATCATCATCGTCATCATCATCCGAGCAAGGACGATTAACAACAATGATTGAACGACCAAAAACAACACAAAAGATTTTTGCTGAACAAGCGAGAACGACAAATGGAAGAACAACATCAACAACAATGAAATCAAGAGACAGTGACATTCATATTGTAAAGAACACAATAAGCCCCGAGTTTATCACTCCATTTACAACAGCAACAACAAACTCGAAAATAATTGAAATCAAGTCAAAGACGAGTGAAGTTAAGAAGAAAGACATAAAACGACGACGATCTGTTGACGATAATCGTGATGAGTCTTCGTATGAAGACACCGACGAAGTGATGCTGCTTGATAGTGCACTGCCAAGTATCAACGAAGATGTTTATATTATTAAAGAAGAACAAAACGGTAATGTGATAAGTTCAGCAGCTTTAATTGGAGCTGTTCCGAATTTCACACAATCGATTGAGCTTAAAGGAATTGGAAAATTTCTGCAATCAATGTTTGATGTTGACGAGAAGTTTGAACCCAAGAAATGGTTTCAAAAATCACCCAGCTTAGAGTTTTTGAATCTTGCATTGGCACTCTTTGTCTGGTCTGTGAGATATCCTTCAGTATTCTGGGAATCATCAAAAGCTTTTTCATTTATTTTCTCGCTTCAAATGGTCGCGAACAGCATTGACATTCTTATGCTGCATGTTGGCACAAGCATTCTCTTCAAACTACAAATTGTTGGTCAGTTTATGACAATTCAGAATCAACAATCCCCATTATTATTAAATGGAATTGTGACATTGGCTTTAACACTTCTTGCTTATGTTCTCATCATTTCATCATCGATGATTCTTTATCTCTACGGACATTCACGATTAACAGCAAAGATTCGTGATTGTCAAATGATCACGCTTAAAGATGGCGATATTTGGTCGTATTTCTCTCATTGTGCTTCACTTTGCTTCATTTTGGCGTTGTCAGTCGTGAAAGCTCCAATAATTCACGACTTAACAATCACATATCGAATCAGTTTGGATGGAACAATTTTTGCTTCAAGTAAGTAAACTTTAAAGAATTTTTTTGTTTTGATAAAAGTTTGATAATTTAAAACTTTCACAGCTATGACTTCAATCGTACATATCTTCTTATGGATTGTTGTTTGGCTTGGACTTACAGCAAAACGTCGTTGGGCTTTTAAGTTGCCTTTCATCGAGTCAATTTATCAGACACGTGTTGAAGCTATACAACCGTTAATGACACAAAACGGACGACAAATTAACTTCATGGGACCTAAAAAAAGTGAAGAAGAGACGATTTATTGGCCAAGCTCGCCAAAACTTAAAGTAACATTTAATGATGAAGTTCCCAGTACGTTATCCGACCACAATCTTATTGATCATGACGGCAAGCGGTAAAAATCCTTAGAAAACTTCTTTTTGTTCATTCAAAATCACCTTTTCGTGTGTTTATTTTGTTTGTATTTTTGTATATTAGTTTCTAATTTCTCATTCATGTTGCATTCACTTCTGTTAAATATTTTTAGAAGTCTTTAATGTGATTTCGAAAGTGACGATTTGCGTAACTATTTTGTTTTCTTTTTCATTTATTGTTATCGTGTTTAGCATGCCAAATTGGATGTTAATTGAATTATTCTTTCGTTAACTTCTTCACCTTACAGGAATTTCTGATTTTTTGCGCTTGTCTTAATGAGTTTTTATTTTTATTTCTTTTTTTGAACATTCATTCATTGCATAATTGCTTTCTATTTGTGAAAGATTTACGATAATAATTCGGGGTTGTTGTGAAGTTTCGTAACAAGATTTTTAAAATCATTGAAATTGAAAAAATTTTCTGCGACGGATTTTTTTTAAATTCACCGTCAAAAGAAAAATTAATGTCAAAGCTTTTGGGGAAAATCTTTCACGATTAGAAATTTTTTATGGGCGAAATTTATTTTATACAGAAGAAGATGAAGAAGAGCATGTTGAAGAGACCTTTTAATAACATTTTCTTGTAAATATAAAATTTCATTAGGCCAATCTTATCAACGTTATGCGCCAATGCGGGGGAGTGTGATGAAGGCGAATACGCTACTTTAAAAACAACCACACAATTACAAATAAGTGAATATGATGAGGTTGTGAATATTCAACGGATGCAAAAAGACAATGGATATGACGATACATCAGAGGAAGGCAAATTGTTGGCATGCGTGCAAGACGAATCAGTGACTTACGCTTCGGCAAGAGATTTAGAGCCACCACAAACCACAACATCGTCAATTTATTCGCATGAACGCTTCATTGTGACTTCGGAACATCACATGATAAGCCCCATGGCACCAGTCACTGTTCAAGTTCATTCTGAACACCACGTAAGTGTCGAATGATGCAATAAGTGTTAAAGTGCTAATTTAATTTCATCTTCTTCTTTTTCTATTCACAGACTTCAACGCCACGCTTCATCCGACGTGCTGACTCGGGAATGCCAACCAATGAAGCACTGACACCAAAGTCCGATACAAATTCAACAGAGAGTTCTACGTCACCACCCGAAAGAGCTTTATCGGAGTCGTCAAGTGGCGTTCATTCAGGTGAAGAGAATAAAGAAGAAGTTGTCATTCGACCGCGACCTGCTACAGGCATTCAAAAGACGGTGAAAACGCCGGCAGTTATTCAAGAAGAACCTTATGGTCGAATTACAAATATGAAGTTTTCAACATTTAAAGATGCGCCAGGTTCAGCTAGTAACACTTTGCCATTGAGTCGTGGACCGACAATGGAGCCGCCGTCAATCGACTATTCACAATGTAATACGATGCCGTTAATGCCAGGCGCACACCAAATGAATCGCATGTCGGTTAATGAATCATCACCAAAACAACGTACAACGTTACCAAGCAACATTCGTTATTCGGCAGGAGGTGCTGGTCATTTTCTTCGTCAAATGCCACAGTTGAAGAACGCCGAGTCACCTTACGCGACGGGCTTGCAAAGTGGACATCACACATTCTCATCAAAGTTCATTCAGAATGAACCGCTTCCACCACCACCACCCCATTCCACAATGAATTCATCATCCATTCATCAAATGCATCCATTCAACACATCAACAACTTCATCACCCTTCACAGGAATGAATCAACATTCATATCAAATGGTTGTCAATGAATTGTGTGCGAATAATCAATCTGTTGCTCAATTCCCCCCACCACCTCCACCAATCACTCACAATTCACTACAAATGCATTAAACTTAATTAAATTTACATTTTAATTTACTCGAATGCATATCTCGCACAAAATTCATAACACAAAAAAATGGTGAAAAACTTTATTGGAAAAGATAAAAATGGCTGAGATTCATTGAGTCAACATCGTCGAGTTCAATCTTTTTTTATTTGCAATCTCGATGATATTGAATCTTTGATATTTAGTTGAAAAGATAATAAATATTTTCTTATGTTAAATAACCAAATATTATTGATAGAAGATACACATCGTAGTGATAAGAGAAGAAAGGAAAAGTATTTCAATGTCGGTGATGAAATGGGGTCAGAGATGTTTCTTTAAAAAAAACAATAAACTTTTAATAGAGCTTACAAAACTTTTAGTTCTAAGCTAGTCGAAATCAGAATGTAGAGGCTAAATAAGAGATCTAGTCGAAAGTGAAACAAACAAAGGGAAGAAAACTTTATCCATCCCAATTTCTTTTTCATTTCGTAAAGTTTATCGACATTGAAATGCACGCTTAATTAAATTTATAAACCTGACAATGCCCCCTTGTAAGAAAGTTTATATTCTGCTTCAATCATATCACGTATAATTAGATATATCTTTAATCACACAACAACAATACTACATTGTAATCAAAATAAAAACAAAAACCTTTTTAATCCCTATGGAGAATCTCTGCAAATGAAAAGCAAGCAAATAGTTAAGTGAAAATGGAAAGTTGAATCCCTTTTCCAACATATCGTTTTAAATATTTGTAATTTACATAAATGTAATATTTTTCTACTGCTGATAAGATTAGATTGTTCAACTCTTTAGAATCCTTTTTAATAATGTAGTTGATAACGACAAGATGTATGTTGTATGAATGTGTCTGCATGTATGTAATAACATTAATCAAAAAATGTTTTGAGTACTAAGTAAATAAGTTAATGATTTGAAGAACAAGTTACTTAAGTACTTAATGAGAATAATAATAAACATTATGCATTGCTGTAATTTGTAAAGAGAAACCATATATGGGATCGTGAGCATGTTATGTCGTGGTCGTGGTTAGAAAGAGTTAAAGGTTGAAGAAATTGAAAATTATGAAGCAGCAAAACAATGCAATTGATAATTTAATGAGATTTTCATTTGCGGTTGCTGGTTTTATGGTTTTTTCTTTCTTCCATTCTTAACTTGATTCTGGGAAGAAAAAGTAAAAGTGTTTGAGAGTCTCAATACATTCAGTATTCACCTTTATTGTGGTGACATATTCGCTTGATTAAAATAATCTGAAAAAGTGACTCAACAATTTATACTACATTCAATATGTATGAGAATACAATTAACAATGGACAATATTGACATATACACCCTCTTTAATCGTACATACATATTATGAACTCTTATCAATGCGACATTACTCTTTAATCACTTTCTGTATCATTAAATCAAACTTAGTAATGTTGAATACTTAAAATAATGAAATGAATGGACCGAAAACACAAAAATGATGAAGGAAAATTGGTTTTCACAGACTGCATTTGAAAGCATGAATAGCACTTAAGTTTACCTTTTGACATTTTTCATATGGTGGCAAAATTTATCATTGGCAAAGATTAAATGATTCAATTGAAGACTGATTAGATGGAAAAATCTTTCATTTTGGTTTTTATTTTTCGATTGTCACTCGACTTTCTCATATCACTTTGTGTTCATAACTTATCATCATCGTTTATAATGTGTCCATTATGCATAAATTATCAAGCTTATCTCACTGTTTTTCAATTAGTGCTGTAATGTTTCTGTTGATAAAATATAAATATTCATACTTAACACATTATCTAATTTTTATACACTTAATTATTGTCATATCAAATCAAATTTCTCTTACCAAAGCAAATGAAATTTAAAACTATTTTCACCAATTATTAATTTTAATTGATTATTGCTTATAATTGAATATTTTAATAATGTAATAATATCATGTTATGATGGATAAATGTCATTGAAAAATCCTTGGCTTGAAATTGTGAAAAAGAAACATTAAAAATTCAACATAATGAATTATTAAACATAAATACGTTCTATTGTATTAGTCTGGAAGTAAGTAAGTATTACTAGATTTTACAGCTGACAACTAAATAAGTGAATCATAAATAAAAAGAACAAAAAATAAAACCACCGCTTTCTATCAATAATGACTTTGTTTTACTAAGTTTAATTAACTTCCAGAAGGATTAAGAATGTGAAACATGAACTTTAATGGTAAACAGATACATATCTGACTAAGTATTACAGCAGATCACTATTAATCATACATATATGCTAAATGTCTTTGCTTCTAAACTGTCAGAATATCATATAATAATGTAACTCCTTCAGGAAATAATGTTTTTCAACAACAATTATGTGTCATGAAAGTTGATACACAGAAAAGCGCGCCTTAGGAGCTAAGCACACGTCGAAACTGTTTTGAATGAATAAATGAACGAAACCAAAAACGTGTTCTGGGTATTAAACTCTTGCAAAAAATACTTTCAGGAATTTCATTCATAGGTTTACACTAAGGATGTGAATGACATGAGAAGTACGCAATTATTTCTCTCCTTTATCCATTAGCAACATCAAAAGTGCTTGATTTTAATTCGTGTCTTGCGTGTTCTACATATAAATACAATACAGTAAACTTTTTATGCCATGTGTCGATCGTGAGTATCAACAAAAAAATAAAATTAAAAACATAGGAAAAAAATTCAATTTTGAGTGTGTGTGTGTGTGTGGTTGCGATAACGTTGTTTGAATGTAGAATGCGATTACTTGTTGCGCTCTCAATTTAAATATTGCAAGTTATGTTGGGCTGTCAAAATATGTTTTTTTATTTATTTCATTTTGAAACTTTGTAAATTTGTATAAATTTTTCGTGGCGATGAATTTTGTGTGTTTATGAGTTTGTAAATTTTTCTCAATTTGAAATTCATGACAGACACACTGGTGCTGAAACATAACTTAGCTTCTCGCAATGTATTTTTGTATTTTCTCTCAGCAGTGAGAATATCCACTTTAAAGATGTAAAGCAAACCTTCGAGCACATGTTTTATCAATACATTCGCATAAGCCGCACGGCGCTTAGTTTGATTTTCGCGCGACTCTTTTTTTCTTCCATTTCTCGCTCAATTCTTTAGTGTGTTCGTAATTACTCGATCATACATTAAAGACTAACTTTTTCCTCGTTCTATAAAGACGTTGGTTTCAGTTCTCCCGAGCTCAGTTCAGACTCGACTCTCAAATCGTGAATTTTCCTCCTAATCGCGCTTAATAGTGACAAAAAAGGTGATTGATTTCTTGTTTTAAGAGAAGAAGAAAAAAGAAATATTTCATTTACATGAGTTGAATGAAATCAGTCAATGCTCGTTGTGATTAATAACCGGAACATTTGCTGACTCTTTGTAGCACCCAAAAAGCAAGACAGAATCGAAAAAAATAGAAAAAGAAATCAAATTATGCCATTTTGAAAGTAACTTCTGCGATCGTTCTAGTTCAAGCTGCTTAGCCTCACATAAATCCCAATTTAAATTTATTTCACTTCCAAATAAACTGCCTGTGCCTTCAATTACACCAACTCTCGGCAATGTTTTTATATTTTAATGCCATGTCAGCTAAACACAAATTATTGTTCGATTGTTTTCTAAGACAAACATTTGTTTTTGAAAGAAATAAAAAATATATCGAAATGATAACGCGACAAAAAGAAATAATATTTAAATCTGAAGCAAACGATATGTAAATTACAATGCAAGGCGAAAACAATAAAAACAGATTCGAGTTTTACAAGTGAAATTGAAGAAATTTTGCTTCTGAAAAGCTTAAAGAGGTTCTTTTTAAAAATGTGTTGAATACATGGCTAAGCTAATGATGAATCATATAAAAGAAACGTATTCTTATAGAATTTCGCTTTACAATGCGAAAATAATTAGCCAATTATTTGGAACGTTTGAGTCATAATCTCAGTAATTCCACAACTTGTTGCTTTCTTTCCACATTTATATTTTTGGGTGTTTAAGTGTGTTATTCAAACTGAAATTATTCACATACGTGTTTTCCATTGAAATTTGATGGGTTGAACAGACCGGTTAACGCACTCCGTCTCCGTGTACCGTGTAAATACAAGAAGAAAATGCTTTACACCTTAAAAATGTTCCAGTCATGACGAGCGAATAATGCAGGAAAGAAATCAACCACAAAGACATAAAAAATTAATGGTCAAAAACAGTAAAATGGAGATTTAAATTGAATTTAAGATCTTCTCATAACCAAAAGGGAATTTAAGAAAGAGAAAAGTTCTTCTTCATACTTGCCTATACATTTGTCCACTTGTGAGTAGAGTTGTTGGTAGAATCGAATAGGATCAAAGAAAGAAGTGACTTTAAAAAGGAAAGAGAATCATAAACAGTTACACAAAATGATACACCAACCCGTTTCCATATTCGACAAATGTTGAATGCATATATTGCAAATAAATAAAGTGGAGTGGTATGTCGAAATAGATTATCATAAATTTCTTTTTATTCAACTTCAGTTTTCTGGTTTTTGTTTTGTTTTATGAAAAACATTTTTTTGGGCTAAGAAGATGAGTCGAATGAAGAAGTTGATTGGGAAGGTTAAAGATTTTTACATAAAAATGTTTACGAAAAGTTTTGTTGACCTTGAAAAGGTACTTTCTTGATAGTTCATCGAATTTTTATAACACTATAAAGGTAATTTAATATCGCATTCGAAGATTCCAAAATATCTTTAAAGTGATGTTCAGTTTGATGTTCCATCATAAAAATAAATTCTGGAGATTTCTTTTCGGAAAGCTCTTTCGTAATAATAAAAAGAAATGATTCTTGAGAAAGGAAATATTTTAGGAACGATTATTACCATATGCTTCAGTGAACTCCAAATGTTTCTTGTATATTTTAGTCTACAACATTTTTGTGATTCCCGGAAACCCAAATTCGTTTTATGTTCGTTATGTATTAATTGAGAATCAAATACAACTTCTCAAAATATGAATAAGATTGAAAATGTTCTTTAAATTATCACCAATAACTGTCACTTACTTATCTATTTACTCCACTTGCGCAATTTCCATTCACATCTTTCAACCAACACGTTGCACACAACACATAAATATTTAAATTTGAAGTATATATGAAAATCTTTCTTCTCCATTAAGTTCTATTTTTAAATGTCTTTGCATATGAGTCTCCGCTTAATAATTTGTTTATTTTAGATATTTATTGCTTCGAGTAGCTTTTTCATTTATTTTCTCTCGAAAATAAAGGAAATTGGAATGTGGAACAAAACAAATATCTTTGCTAACTATCAGTATTCTTCCGCTCAGATAATCTAGTCGTCGGCGCGGATTTGCTTTACCTAAGTCAATATTTTAGAATCTTATTAGACGAAGCACTTGTGATATGGTCTAGCAATTTGCGCAAAATGTTTATGTAAAGAATTAGATCGCTTCGCTAGTGATTCACTTGTAATATTACTTTACAAACTTTTGAAGATATCCGAACAAAAATTCGTATGACGCTTGAAAGTTTTATCATTTAGCGATATGAAAATTGAATATATATTTATAAAATTTGTGACTCGTGATTTTTTCACAATAAGAATGCTTTTAACTTAACTCCACTTGAGTTATCACGGTGATAGCTTTTCACATGCTTCTTCATCACATTACATTACATGTTGAGTCAGATGTTGAGTTTATTATTATGAAATTTTGAAAATCAAACAAAAAGCTTTTCCATTCTTCCAGTAGAAGTGATAAAAATGAATATTTTAATGTGGTCAGTTGTTTTCGAAAAAAATATCAACTTTTTTATACATTGTAATGTTATTAGCAGTGTTAAAATTATAAATTTATTGTGTATAAATGCTTGAAATAACAGCAGATAATTTCAGCTATCATAATCATCTTTCAGAAGACTTGGCAACTTTGCATATTGATAATTTAATTTTTAATAATTGAATTAAATTTAGAGAATTTTCATTTTGACAGTCTTAAGATGACAACTGACAAGTTTTAAAATGTTTTAATATTTAACTTTTCAATGTCTGTAAAATTGTTGAATTGAATTAAATAAACAGAAGAGAGCGAAAGGAGAAGCTTTGATATTAAATCACTCAATTAATTATCTTTAAATTGGTGTTATAATTGAATCATTGACTTTTCCGATATAAATTATTAACTAATGGAGCATGCCTGAAATGTTTCGATAATGATTAATAATCATCATGAGAAATCTTTGTTGAAATGCCTAAAGTTATTGTCAGATCACGCATCGAAATTGATTTTTCCTTCTAATTGTGTCTAACTTTTGCAACATCGCTTCTCACAAAAAAAATCCCTCTAAGCCTCACATCATGATTGTTGACAATTATCGATTTGCTTTCAATATTTGTTGATCATGAAAAAGTCACGATTGACAAACCGAGAAAAATATCTCAAAAATGATAGCAAACGTTATTCAAATTTGAGTGTCTATTTTGACAAGTTCTAATGATTAAATAGAAACAGAACTAAACATTTATTTAGCACAACTAGGAGAACCTTTAACAAGCTTGATTATTTGTTATTTATGTCTCAATTTTCCCCTTTAGGCAGTTTACAAGCTCTTCAATCAAAAGGGTTTATGTTTGTTAATCGATACTTGATAGGATTTGGGAGTAATTAAAAAGTATTTGTGTTTGATAAGCAAATTTATTTGTTACAAATTTAATGAAAGTCAATAAGATTAAGGGATCGTTTATCGCTCAATTGCCACAACAAGTAGTTAAATAGCTTCATTGGATGAAATAAATTATGATTTACCTATCTTTAATTTTATTTAAACAACTGTTTAGTTTCGTGTTAAGTGCAAACTCTAATTAGAAAATAAATCTTTCAATCATTTTCGAAATTCTCATTACAATTTGTTCAAAACTATCATCGTGTGAGTTTTAAATTTAATTTCGAACATAAACAACTCGGTTTAATATTTCGTTTTTATCAAAAGAAAGCATTATGAATTTTTTATTTAAATGTGTAAATTATAAAGGTAACTGTTTCAAAAAGTAAAATTGATTAAACTATAATTTATTCCGTCAATTGTGCAATATTTCTACCCGATAAGAATGTTTCTTTATTCAATGAATGAGCGAGATAGAAGACTCAAAATAAAAGAATGAAAGTGATAAGAAACGCGTACACAGCTGTTAATGTGATCGACTGTGACCTAGACTACGACATATTTAAAGTGATGACTGTTTTACAAATTTTATCAAATATTTGAATAGGTACACTTAATTCAACTTGAAACAATATTACAAGCCTTACAAAGAATTCTTTGAAAGTTACACAAATTATAAAACCTGGTTTTAACTTATTCTAGTCAACGGAAATGAATCTAATTAAGATTCACACAAGAATAAAAAGGATTTAACTGCTATCCTGTGTTGATTAAATTAAAATAAATTATTCTCGTGTAAGAAAACAGTAAATATCCCAAACAAACTGAATGTGGAAGGATGTATTAACATATTCAGTCAAATATTTTATCAGCTGCTTAATTTCATTGTATGATGGAACATTCTTCACACATATGCAAGGTGAAAACACAAAAAACTGAAGAATGTTCCCCAAGCGTTTAAAGGTGAAACAAAAATTAACCAGAAAACTTTTTCTTCTCTGAATTCTCGTTTATCGCTTTTCCCTCTTCTTATTTTTCTCCCGCAAAATTTGCATCTCCGATTATGTTAAACGAACTTGTTTCAAACAGTTTACAAGCTTAATCATTGAACAATTTATAATTAAAGGTAACAAATATATGTTTTGCACGAGATGATGGCCTTGATGAAGGTCTGTGTCATGTGTCTATTTATAATAAATTTAAAGCTGCCTAACATGGCTTCCCTGAAGACATAATTTCATCATCTAATTGCTTCTTCTATTCTCTATCACACCAACATTCTTATCATGAGAATCAACAACAGACTCCTAATACAAGAATATGAGTTTTTCTCTTCTTCTTCTTCTTATATTACCTACATGTTCATAGCCTTGCTCTCCATGATTATCGTTTACAATATTCACGTTTGTGGCGATATCGGGTGGAAACATTTAAAGAATTTATTGTGAATCGAATCAGTTTATTGCGTCGGATATAACGACAACGTTCAGATCTCAAGGCTTGTTTGAGTTATGTTAAGAAGAAAGGAATGTTGTGAAGCATGAAAAAATATGTTGGATTTTATGCTTCTATAAGAACACGAGTAATATCTTGCAACACACATGAAAGATCGATGAACGTAAAGATTCTATAGCGAAAGATTAAAAGTGTTTTTGAGAATTATCGATGCGACATTTGAAAGCTTGTAATAAGGGTAAGGAAAAGCTTATGAGCTTACACATGTGTTTATCAGTAAATTACTAAATATCTAAATATCCCAACGAAATCTTTGGGTTTAAACATTAATTAATGCTTCAGAGTATTGCGACTCTTAACAAAAAGTGTTATTCGAGTTTGTGCTCGTTTAAAGCTTTGATCACTCATTAAAAAATGTTTGCTCGTGTTACATCTTTCAAAAAGAATTTTCGTGCTTTTCTGTCTTCACACTCAGATTTGTACAATTTTCAATGTTTTTAGTGCATCGTCGCGTGATGAAATAAAATTTAAAGTTAATTAGTGTAAATTTTCCACGCTCAACCTCAACCTCAGAATTCGTCAAGAAAAATTTCGACGTGCTTTTTGCAAAGTGCAAAAACAATCGTTAACCCTTTTTTTGCTACTGTCACGTTATCAACATGAACCTAGAGAAAAGCTGTCTCATAAATTTCTATTTTATTTACTTCGTTTTATTTTTTTAGCTTCTTTTTATTTTTTGTTGCTGCTGTACAGAAGCAAAATTCATTACACGTCAACTGCACGAATTCATTTAATGTTGTTGACACACTGGAACGATTGTTTCAATAGTAATAAAATGGCGATTTTAGTATCATTTCTTTAGGAATTGTTTAATGTTTTCCATATAACTTGATTTTATCCTAAATATAATGTCCCAAACATTTACACTTCCCTTCAAATAAACACAATTTTCTCAGAAAAATATCCCCACAAGAGCTCATTCATTCCACTGCATACTTAATTCGATTGCCATGTAAAAAACTATCAAATTCTCTGCAGATTCGTTTGCTTGGAAAATTCTGCAAACTATCTGCAAACGTTCGAAAAATTCAACATGACAATCGACAAATTGAAGTTCTTTCCTTCAAATTTATCAAGCAGCAGCATCGTAAAATTTGTAGAGCTCTACATGTTCCATTCTAGACCAAAATAAATCTCTGTCTGTCGTTTCTTTTCACGAGTTGAGATGTGTGTAGAGCAAACACATAAACTTCCATCTCACAAAATACAATTTTCTCTATTGTCATATGAAACCATTGAATTAGGCTGAACATAAAGTCACATCTTTAGAAGCTAATGATGTGATATAAATTTGAAGAAATGTTTTTCCAGATTTATCACTGAATTCAACGTGACGATTGAGAGATATTTTAGGACGGCATATCTTTCTTTAAAATTCAACGAGCATTGATTTATTTCTTATTAATTGCGTAATTTTATCTGAATAAATTTACATAAAAATCCTTAAAGGTTTCAGCGCAACTCTTATCATGTCTAAAGACGTATCCAATTCATTGGAACTTGGATCAATACCAAGATCCGCTTCTGCTAATCGATTTCAAGTTAATCCTGTAAATGGTGAAGCAGCACCTGAGACACCAGAGGACGACGACCAATTCAATGAGGAAGCTGAGATTCATCGAAGGACGTCAAGAATTCAATCCATCAAAAGTAGCTTAAGAGACTCTAAAACTGATCGAAAGAACAGCACAACTCGCTTTAAAGTAAGCGATGATAATTCTGATGAAGATGAGAATTTACTAGACGGTAATGAATATGATGAGAAATATGGCAGAAGTTTTCGGTAAGAATTCCTATCATTATTAAAATCTACGATAAATTATTTCTTTACATCTTTTAATTGAATCTTTAATCAGACATTTTACTCGTGAAGCACTCCCACGTTTGGATAACTACCGCAACATTCTATCTTTACAAGCAGGCACAAGACCAACGCTTGAGGAACTCCACAATGCTTCCATTGTGAACAAGGTAAGAAAGAATGTTTCAAAGCGATTCGCGAGTTAAAGTTTGCACTATTTCAAAACTATTTGTTCATCTCGTTTGCTTATGGTGGTGACTGATGCGTAGAAAGACTTTTAGAAAACAAGATATGTACGAAATGTTACGCAAGCAATGTTGTTGTCGATTATAATTGTGAACTTTTCGCGTATAAATTGATCTTAGCTAATTGATGAATCACTTGTTGTGCGAGTCATCCTCAATCTTCCATTTAATTGTCGGTTGTCAACCACAGGCCAAAGCATTTCATTGACGAAATTTCATTAATTTATCTTACACACTGAATGGAAGCATAAAGTGAGAAGAAAAGATCAATTGAGTGATGACGAATAATTTTTTTCTGTTGAGTTTGCTCAAAGTCAAGAAGGCTTAGGGTTAATTAAATGTAGCATTTCATGTTTCTAATTAAGAAAAATTACATTTGCAGTCAGATAGTAAATAAGGCTGTAGCTGTAAAGAGAAGATAGCCATTGTGTTTATGGCCTTCGTTTTATCGTGTGTGCATCCTTGACTTGCTGTTTTATTGTATCTCGATTACAAATTGTTCATCAATTGTTAATATTCGTTGTCATTCGTTTAATACTTTTAAAGGCAATTTGTATGAATTCATGTGACGTAGAAATTGAGTTTCTTCTTCACTTGATTAATTCTACGCATCATTTCATTAATCAATAATTCCCAAACTATGTTACAACACACACTGAAAAGACTGAAATAAAATGTCGTTGAGAAATCTTGAACTGTTCACAAATGTACCATGAAATCAAAAAGTTTACCAGCACTGAACGAGACTTTGCATAAATATATTTAGATTCGCAGACGCTAATTTTATTTTTACATTTCATTAAACCTTTAATACAACTAAATTTAGTGAAACATGAATTCTAACGTAGATACAAATTACTGTCAACGTTCATCGAAAAATTCTTTTTATCTCAAAAGTTGCTCGAGCATGAATTTCAGTTCATTATACTAAATATCATATATACATTATTTTATTCTCAGAATTTTAATCTAAAAAAAAGTTATTTACATAAAAAAAGAGGGAATTGTTTAAAAAGTAAACTTTATTTAAGCTTTTTTTATGGCTGTTGCTACTGTAAACATGACTGAATGACACAATGCAGTTTGTCACATAAAAATCTTTTGTAAAAGAAGAATTAATAACTTCCACGTAGTTTTACTTGCTATTAGGTTAATGATGTTCCACTTTGAAGCTTCGGAAGTGGCAGTGAAGTTTTATAAGCTTTTGTTCTTTTTTTTTAATACTATTTAATAGAATGGATGGAAGTGCAGAAGCGAAACTTTTCACAAGCAATTCTTAGTTTGAATTCCACTCGATAATGATGTGAACTTTATTAAGTTTTCTATTTTATAAAAATGAAAATTTGTTTAGAAAATAATTTAAAATTTTTCTTCATTTGAACAGTCATGCCTTGGTTCTAAATCGTTTATAACTCACAAACGAGGATGTCGAGATTGATTAATTGTTTTGAGAAGAACAACATTTATTTATTCAAAGCTACTCGGATTTCGGAAGTTCCGTCAGAAAAATTCTCGTCTCATTTCTGAGTTTCTATTTCTTCAATGGAGGCTTTACGACCTATCACAATAAATATAATGTTGTGATTTTTTTTGTATATTATTTCATGTGAATAGACTTTTTGTTATCTTATCAAAGAAATGATTTCTTTTCATACATGAATTAAGTTAATCAAAACTTCAATTTTATACGGTAACTTATCCCAATTTGGGTTTAATTGAGAAGCGTTTTATCAAATCAATTCGACTCAACTAAGCATTTCAATTATCTATGAAAATCACTAAACGTCATACTTGGAAATGTTATTAATTGTCCATCAAAATTGTTTCACATGTCATTCATGATTGAAGCATTTAAAGGATTTTTCAAGAGTCATCTGTAATTGATATGCTGACAAACTTGACAATTTTCTAAAAATATCCCAAATTGCAATTAATTTAACTCTGTTCAGTAAAGACCTTTTCTTCCTTTGTGTTCTTTTAAAGTGAAGTTGAGTTTTTGTGGGCCCTTAAGTGCTATAAAATGAACACTCAACAGTCTGAAGAGTCTTCTGTCATATTATTTACGCAACTTTTCACTCTCAAAGAAAAGGTACTTATGCAAGGGTTGCGTTCTTAATTATAACTTAAATTTCTTTTTTTAAATTATGATTTTTTTTTTCATCCAAAATTTGTTGATCTTCAAGAGTATTTGAAATTATTTTTTCATCAAAAGTATTCAAGTTCGCTTAAATTATCTCGTTCATTGAATGAAACTGGGGAGCAACTAACTCAGTTATTGTTTGAAAAATAAATAAAGAATTATAAAATATTTATTGTTTGATAAATTCTGAAATTTGAGACTTATTTAGTTCCAAAGTTTGCTTTAAGCTGATGACAGCATCATCAAGAAAACAAATATTGGTCAAATTTCTGTGAAAGTGTTTTAAGTATTTTATTCTTGTAAATATTTCACTGAACATTCATTTTCATGCATTTCATTTCATTGATCATGAACATCTATCCATCAAGTTGAATCTTATGCATGATTGCGTCTACAGAAAAGCTCATTTCAATGGAAACCTTGTCAAGAAACCCTTCAGGAAATTCCAACTTCCTGTTCGAAAAGAATTTTGTCAAAATTAAAGTGAAAATTGTTTGCTGAATTTTACATATTTTAATGTTAAAGTTCAATGATAAAGATTTCTGATACTTTACATAAAAACAAATGTTGATGTTTCTTGTTTAAAACAGGCACAAACATTGCCAGCCAATGTCGATCCCGAAGCCCTTCAAGCTGGTCTTATAAAGTTTGGCTGGATGAAAGGGGTGCTAATGAGATGTCTACTGAATATTTGGGGTGTCATGTTGTTTTTGCGGTTGAGTTGGGTCGTCGGACAAGCCGGTAAATATAAAAACAGAAACACAATCAAATTTTTTATGTTTAAATTCAATTTTTCTTTTACCTTTTGCGGTTTTTGCTTTTGATATTCTAAAGGAATTTTCCAAGGATTGGTCATCATCTCACTCACAAGTGTTGTCACGACTATCACCGCGCTTTCAATGAGTGCAATCAGCACAAATGGAATTATCAAAGGTGAGTGTTCAATTTATGATCCTATTAGAGATGATTCAAGAAGTTTCAATTTATCCAACAGGTGGTGGAACATATTACATGATATCGAGAAGTCTTGGCCCAGAATTCGGTGGTTCCATTGGGTTGATCTTTTCATTAGCCAATGCTGTAGCTTTAGCTATGTATGTTGTTGGCTTTTGTGAATCGTTACTCGATGCTTTTAAAACCGTGGGATGGAAAATTATCGATGCAGGCATTCAAGACACTCGCATCATTGGAAGTATTACAGTGGTTATACTGCTATTTATCGTTGTTATCGGAATGGAGTGGGAAGCAAAAGTAAGTCAGAAAGTTCTTGTTTTGAAGCTTCTTAAATGAATATTGTTTCAGGCTCAAATTGTTCTTCTTATTATTTTGTTGGCGGCTATTGTCGACTTTTGTATTGGAGTCGTTTGGGGACCGAAATCAGATTCCGATATCTCAAAAGGCTTTGTTGGCTTCAAGCGTAAATATTTTGACACATAATCAGAAAGTTTTAAGGTTTGTTAATAACTTTTGTTTGTCTTTCAGTTGAATTGGCAAAAGAAAATTTCTTTCCTGATTATCGCTTCGACAAATCAATTGAAAGGGTGCATGACTTCTTTTCAGTCTTTTCCATATTCTTCCCTGCTGCAACAGGCATTCTTGCTGGTGCAAATATTTCCGGTGATTTGAAAGATCCTCAAAAAGCAATTCCTAAAGGAACTTTGCTTGCTATTTTCATCACAACATTATCATATCTCGGAATGGCAGTTTTGATTGGTTTTGTGATGGTTCGTGATGCATCTGGTAATGTTGACGAAGTTGTTGGAAATGTTTTCTTAAATTGCACAACTCGAGCATGCCCCTATGGATTACAAAATTCTGTGCAGGCTATGGAATTAGTTTCAGTATTCGGTCCCTTAATTTATGCTGGTTGCTTTGCTGCCACTTTATCATCAGCATTAGCATCCCTTGTGTCAGCTCCGAAAGTTTTTCAAGCACTCGGAGCAGACAAACTATACCCTAAAATTGGTTGGTTTGCAAAAGGATTCGGAGGAAATAACGAACCCGTTCGAGGCTATGTGTTGACATTCGTTATTGGAATTGCGTAAGCATTAATTCTATTTTTAGTGTCATGATGTCGATTCAGATTTTTTGATTATTTACGTCTTCTCTTTCAGTTGCATCTTGATTGGGGAATTGAACGCCATCGCTCCTCTTATTTCCAATTTCTTCCTTGCTGCCTACGCTCTCATCAACTTTAGCACATTCCATGCAAGCTTAGCAAAGCCTGTAGGCTGGCGACCGAAATTTCAGTATTATAACATGTGGGCAAGTCTTCTTGGTGCAATTCTTTGTGTTGCTGTCATGTTCTTAATCTCTTGGATCATGGCTTTGTTGACAATGGCATGTGTTTTGGCACTTTATCTTGTTGTTGCTTATCGTAAGCCCGATGTCAACTGGGGATCTACACAACAAGCGCAAACATATAAGAATGCTTTGATGAGTGTACAACAGTTAAACAATGTTGAAGAGCATGTAAAGAATTATCGACCACAAATATTAGTGCTCTCCGGAGCGCCAAGTTCACGACCACAATTGATCTCTTTCGGTCATTTGATAACGAAGAAGTTATCTTTGCTTGTTTGTGGTCACGTAGTGAAGCAACAAATGACTCAAAAGTATCGCAACTACATGATGAGAAAGTCAAACGAATTCTTCCGCAGACATAAATTGAAAGCTTTTTATTGTCTTGTTGATGATGATGATTTTGAGACCGGCAGTCGTGCTTTGATGCAAGCTTCGGGAATTGGAAAACTTCGTCCAAATATTGTTTTGATGGGATACAAAAGTGATTGGCAAACGTGTGAATATTCAGAGCTTGAGAAATATTTTAATGTTTTGCATAAAGGTAAAGTTTTATCATAACTGTGAAGCTCATCTTGAATTATCAAAAAACTATTTTTCTTTTTGTCATTCGGACTTATAGCTTTCGATTTACACTTGGCTGTCGCAATCTTACGAGTTCCAAAAGGATTAGATTACTCTCACGTTCTCGGCGATGAAGCACCGAAACATATTTTGGAAGCTCAGAAATCTCTCACATCGAATGATAGTTCAGCTGATTTATTGGGACAAGATAAAAATGGTTCAGCACATGGAAGTTGTGATTCATTGAGTAGAAACATTTCTCAAGGTAATATTAATGAACATTGATGACCTAGCATGACTTCAATGCTTCAAACATTTATAAAGTGAACAATGGTAAAAAAGTTAAACTTCTCAATTATAAAAATGTTTTAATGAGAGTTTTAGATGACACGTGGAATGAAACTTTCTCCATTGAATTAGAATTAATTGGAAGCAATTTCAAGCACCGCCAACTTTTTAGATTTATAAATGATTTTACGTTCATTAATTCTGCTTGTCAAATGTCTGTCACATGCACAGCTGTTAGAAGATAAATTTGCATGTTAACACTATAATATTTTTCTATTCTCTCTTTCTTTTGCATCCTTCTATTGCGATGTTTTAGATGACTCGAGAAAAGATTCTGAGTTGAAACGAAAAGGTAAGTTTCGTCTCTTATTTTACGTACATACAATAAAAAGAAAGAGGAAATAAATTGATGAAGTTATTATTTTCTTCTTCCTTCTTCCTTACCTTATTTCTACTTTCCCTGAATGAGATGAAAAGCATGCCACAGTTCAACACTAGGCAGTTAAATTGAATAAATTACCCGACATAACGATTCATTTCTAGTACAATTGAATTAATTGTGTTAATCTCTACCAGAACCTACTAATAGAATTTTTATTAAAATTTCAGCCAGCAGCACGAGCGATTTGGCCATGACCAACAATGTTTCCGACGCCCCAGATCCTATTGATATTAAACGAAAGCTCCTAAACGTGAGTATCTTGTGCAAGAATAAGAAGAATGGAAATTGTTCACTTTAGTTTGTTTAAACATTTTTCTTCCTTACTTAAAGTCACCATCTGGAAAATCTTCTTCGAAAAAGGTTGAGAACGACCCATCATTGCTTTATCGAGGACCGGGTGGTGCAGAATTGCCAAAAGAAATAATTGATGAATTGAATCGTTTCACGCAAAAACAACGTAAAGATGCTGTTATTGATGTTTGGTGGCTGTATGATGACGGGGGTTTGACATTGCTTCTCCCATATATTATCAGCACCAGAAGGAATTGGAACACATGTCGTCTTCGAGTTTTTGCTTTAGCTAACAAGCATTCAGAACTTGAATTTGAACAAAGGTCAATGGCGAGCTTATTATCAAAGTTTCGTATCGATTTCTCAGATCTGATTCTTCTTCCTGACATCATTAAGAAGCCTGAAGAGAAGACAGTAAATTTCTTTAATGGCTTAATTAAAGAATTTTTGGCAACAACAGACGACGATGAAGAAAGTAAATCATAATTAGATTTAATTTTTAGCTTTTGAAAGAATACTAACGTTGTCTTCTTTCCCTTTTGTTTCATTTTTATAGCTAAAATAACAGAATCCGAAATTCTCGCTGTTCAAGACAAGACAAATCGTCATTTAAGATTGCGGGAATATCTTTTGGAACATTCAGTTAAATCAGATCTGGTTGTTATGACACTTCCAATGCCTAGGAAAAACATTGTTAAAGCAACACACTATATGGCTTGGCTTGAGGCTCTGAGTCGAGGGCTGCCCCCATTCTTGTTCGTGCGTGGTAATCAACAATCCGTCTTGACTTTCTATTCTTAGACACTTACATACATATTTAAACCTTCTCATAAGAGATATTAGAATATTGTTGACATGAATGTCATAGAATGTCAACAAGTACATCACTGGTGCATTAAGTAATCTAAAATATTTAATATTTAGCAAAGATTCTGATTCGTATAAATCATTCCTTTTTAAAATTTTGATGTATTTAATATTAGCCACTTTCTTTTAAATAGTATTAAATAAAAATTTCCAGAGTGTTTTTAAATAGGGTACTTGACATGTTTCATTTCCATTTAAATCTTTGACTAACCCTCTAAATCCTCATACATATTTTATGAGTGTTAGATGAAATTTAGTAGGGGATTTTGGATTATGTAAGTTTGATTGCGTGCCCTTATTATCCCTAGGTAGCCTTAAACAATGTCAAGTATTGTCAGAATAATTTTTTCTTACGAGTTTCTAAAAGTTGCTCAGTTAAATTTAAAATTTTTGTGTCACAATAGGAAGCCAGACAAACAAATAAATATTTACGATTAAATCTGCACAGACCGCTTACGAATTGTAATGGTAGAGAAATTATAAGTAGCAAAAGTCAAATAAAAATTGAAAATAAAAGAAAATTTGAACAGTAAATGGTGAAAAAATGTTTTGATATTCAGCTTTGTTCATTTTAATTTTCATAAAATATCGTCAACGTGACTTGTTGCTGTGAAATAACAAATCTTTGAAACAATTTCGTTCATAAAATGAAAAAAGAATTTTCATTCAACTTCTTACTTTTCCCCTTTATTAAAATCTCATGTAAAAAAGAAACACTTAAACCGCAATTGTTGCCAATAGCAATGAAAACGAAACGAACCTAATTTTGAAGAAATTTTAATTATAGATAAGTCGAAAGATTATTTTCTAGGATACGTATAATGTTTGAGTATTCAATCCTTTCAAAGTTTCACTAATGAAAATAAATTTGACTACTTCACTCTACCGATTATCAAATTCTTTGCCTTAAGAGCTTTAAACTTACATCAAAACATTATTAAATATCCATTTAAATGTAAAGTTCTTCTTCGTTCTTGTTTATAATTATAATTTCTTATTCATAAATATGAGACACGTGAATGAGTTTCTAGGAAAAGCATTTGAAAGAAAACATGTTTACTTATGTACATTTATTCAAGTTCAACCCCCGAAAATTTACTACCGCGGAATTTATTTTTCTCATGAAGCAAAGATACATTTAAGACAGAAGTCTTTCAATTGAAAATATGTACAGAAAACCTTAAAATAACTGAAGAGTATCAAAACAAGTCAAATATAGCATTTGTTCTTAATGAAATTCTATATCTCTGACATGTAAATGTTTTTACCTCCAAAGGTGTTTATAAAATTTAAACAAATGAAGCTTATTTAGAAGTCAACGTCATCATTTTAAAATATCATAAGAGCTTTTGCATAAAATTAAAATATGTAATGGAAGCATTACATCAACTTGATAAAAGCGACAGCTTGTTAGGCCATCATCATTATGGCGCTCAAACTCTAAACTTCCAAAAGTTCTTTCAATTCATCTTCATAAAATTTTAAAGAAGAATTTCAATTCTTTATTGTTTTATAAATATCAAGAAATGAAAGAATTTAAATTTCTGCCATTAAAATTTCTTTTTGGAAGACTTTTTAGAAACAATTGATGTTGAGTGTTTCGAATTCAGGAGTGCAACCCATTCATATCAAACTTGTTGCAGCAGAAAATACATTTCAGAATTACATGGTGAAGTTATCTCTTCAATTTTGACAGAACGTGAAATTAAAGTTAACAAACTGTGAAATTCAACATAATGGAAAGTGTTGACATGGAACAAACATGTGAAGGTGACTTTATGCGTCTGATATTTGATATGTTGATCTGATGTTACTTTAAACAACCTCCACAATAAAACATTTTCCGGTTCCTCCGTAGGATGTTTTATTTTCATTCAATTTTCTTCACCTTTTCCCTTTGATTCGAGTTTAAAATATCAAATGGAAATTTATAAAGCTGATAACACGCTTCGTAATTAGATTCATTCATGATCTTTCACTGTTCAAAATAAATGTTCAACTTGCGTCAAAATGCTTCTATTCACTTTTTGTCCAATAAAGATGAAGAAAAAGTAAAGGAAACATAAATTGATTTGCATTATTCGCATATCTATTCATGTGAAAGCTTTTGTTCTATTTCAGATCTCACGAACGATTCAAGATTTCTAGGAATCTAAATATTTCATTATTAGATGTTCACTTGTGTTTGCCAAACCTCGTTTGAAAGGGAAAGAAGAATTGCTCGTGGGTAGACAAAAAAAATGTCTCGTACGCAAAGAATATCAAACCATTTGGAAAATGTAGCGTCCCTTGACTCATACTATGTAAACTAAAAACCAGAAAATAAAGTGTTATGTCCTTCAAGGTGACGATAAAGAAGCAAGCAATTTATAACACAACACAAAGAGGGTATCAAGCTTTCTATAATAAAGTGAAGCATATTTTTCATGAATGCTTTTTAAAAGTTTATAAATTTCTCAGTGAACAAACTTGAAAATGACTTGAAATTGTTAATTGTTCTATGGTTTCATATTTTCGCGTCTCGATAATTTCTCTTTATAAGTAAATTTTCTTGATGCACAGCATGTCGAAAGCTTAAGGGAATATTTATTCTAACGAATATTTTACATTCTCAACGGTTTTATGAACTTTTCTGTTATGAAGATTTTTGCTGTTTTCATTACACGATAGGGAATCGTGAAATATTTTAAAACTTAATGTTGAAAAGCACTTAAAATGTAAAATCAACAATATTGTTAAGCGTTGCTGTTCTCATGTTTTCAAGAAGGAAAAGATGCCACTTAGGCATTTACCTTTCATTTCTAAAGGATTGGATTGCTTTTTAAAAAATTTAAATGAGAAAAGTGAAATTCTTACGCTGATAAGAGTCAAATCTACCCTTTTTCGATAGAAAGTTCCAAATTACAGCATTTTTAATTAAACATTCTAGATTCGGTTTTTTTGTCTGAAAACTCTTGAGACAAAAAGATCTGATTACAATCAAATATTCTCTGCATGACAATTTAATATCAAGTTTCCTTCTGTTCTTTTCATCAATATAAATAAGTTCTGATCCGATATCGTTGAATGTGTTTGACATCTTTTTATTGATTAGAAATGAGGTGTGTGAATTATCATGACAAAATATGCAATTCTAAGCATAAATACAAAACAATCTTTAAGTCGCTTGATAATTTTAAAACCTATTTGCTTTATGAATCTGAAAATTTCAAAACATTCAACTCATAACGAAAATGATTCTTGACTAAGGTTAAAAAATTTATCTTTAATGTGGTTTATCAAAATTGTTTTACTTTTTCATCAAAACATGATATTAAAGCTCTTTGACGAAAAAGCTTTACAAAATTTAACTTTAGTGGTGTTTCGCAGTGCTTCGCTTCTCACACACATCTTCCAGATATCATTTCACATCTTTTCTCAAGCTGCCCGCGTAAATGTTTGCCTTTGTGCGCACACGCTGAAAGAATGTAGCAAATCATTTTTTGGTAAGAATATTAGCACACAGCTCCAGTCGTTAGTCGATCGCGGAGTAGTGAACATGTTCGCGTGTTGTAGAAGCTAGATAAGTCGTTAAAGCTAACCGATTAAAAAGCAACAGGATAAAAATTAAAGCCAGTTTCGAAATTTATTTCTTAGAAGTGGTATTCAAAAATATTTAATTCACAAACTGTTTTTAAATTTAAAAAATAATAGTCGTGCTAAGTGTTAAGTAAAACAATTGGTAACAATAAAAAAAATCTAATTTATTCTCATAAAATATCAATCAATATAAAAAGAAGAAAATTAGTGAAATAATAAATCTTCATTCAACTTTCAATGCATGGATAGGATTTTTCACATCACTTCATCTTGTGTAAGCATTTGGATATGAAACATAATGAATCAAACAAGTGAACGAAATGTGCTTTGAAATAAATAAAAGAAGCATTTAATTTAATAAATATCAATTTCATTTATAACATTTTGTGCTTCATATAATTGAACATTTGAAATGAACCAGTTGGACGTGTGACTTCTGGACTGGAAAAAAGAAATATTACGAAAGGATGTTAGAGATGAGATAAAATATTGATTAGTAATCAATCATTTTCGAAATAAGAAACAACAGCATAAAAATATAATTTGTGAAGTTGATTAATAACTTACAAATTTCCAAGCTTTTCCTCTGGTCATAAGAAAATTACATGGACGTGAAAATCTTTTAACACTGTTTTCCAATGTAATAATTAAAATGGCTTTGACAGGCATTTGCAACGCAATAAATAAATAAAATTATTGAACTACATTCCAAGGGAACAAAGGGATGTTGTATAACTCAATAAAAATGATCGCATTTGAATATGTTTTCATTTCTAAACCCTCATTTATTTACATAAATGTAAAATTTTAAAATCTCTATGGGATTATTGGGTTCATCTTATTCAGTCATTTGAATGCATACCACTATCATTACATTGCAAATGTTAACATATTGGATAATGTAATGATCATGAACTGTATCTCGTAAAGGCCTTTGTGCTACTCTTTTTCACTTCTCAATATTGCTTCATAGTTCATTTTATTTGTTGGAATAAATAATGAAATCAAAAAATATTCAAAACTTCAATCTTCCAGTAAATTCGATGAAATAAATTTATTTTAATTTTATGCGTACGAGCGCTAACTTTAGATTTTAGTTGGGTCAATTTGAAGTCTAATTTTTATTTTTGAAAGAATGTTTCGTGTTATTTACGGTTTAAGACGAATTCTTTATCAAGGATCATTTTTCTTTCGCTTCTTACATAAAGTAAAATAAAACGTTCGAATTTATTTTTTCGTGTTCTTCAGAAAGTGAAAGCAAATGGACAACACAAATATTTGACCTCTAAAGATCGAAATACTTACACATTAAATTTGAACTTGAAACTTTCAATGTGTTTTTGAAATGTCACAATAATGATCCCCAATCAACGGTATGAGTTGTGCTAATTTTATTTTTCGGAACTTGTTAACATGATACTTTAAGACAATTTTGTGTACGTATAAAACAATTATACGTAATTTAATGTCATTCGTCTCATGTATTTTTATATTTAATTTGATGTTCGTTCTTTAAAATGTCTCATCGATTTCGAAACAAACAACTATTAAATAATTAAAGAATTTTATAGTCACAGCTTAAAGCGTTCCGAATGATGTTGCTTGTTTGTCTTTAATTTTCTCGTTTAGGAATATTTAAAACATATTTTGATATGGTTTTCTTATTACATTAAACCAGTTTGACATCTTCATATAAAAGAAATATTTGAAGCATCTTTTATGACAAGGAAGAGAGCTCAGAGGAATTTGTGCTTCTAAGAACTGCTAAATAATAACAAAAAATTACAACAATGTTGATAACGAAAACATTTTTCTATAACAATCAAGGTCTGAGGAAATGTTATGAAAGTGACCAAGCTACCTATCTCGATATATCTTTAAAAATTTTATAAAAGAAACGCATAATTAAATCTCTAAAAATGCGAAGGTTTTAAACATTAGGCAACAAATAAAAAATGTTGCTTGCTTCCTAATTAAGTGCAGAGAAGCAAATTAAATGAAATTCTCATTACTCTCCATTTCGCTAAAGATAATGAACATGCTTTGTAAGCTTTAAAGAGGCTTCCCTAACTGTAAGATGCTTTCATCTGAATTTCGTCATGTCAACATCTAAAGAGACAAAATCAAAGAGACAAAATCAATTAATTCTATATAATCATATTAATTTGAGCACCATTTAATATTCACAAAAATGTTTTTACAACTTTGTAGATAAAACAAGCGGTTAGAGACAGTTGCTTACAAAACACAAGATATAAGAAGAAATAATTATACAAAATTTCAATGCATAATGATGATCCAATGGTTAACAAATTTGCATTGATATAAAAATTATCGAGGAAATTTAAAATTCAATTACGGCACAAGGGTGAAAGGCTCAAATAAATAAGAAACCTAATTGGTTTATTCTCAAATCGATGTTTTTTTTTCACTTTTAAGAAATAAAATAACTCATTTATCAAAACAGTGACCATAAACGTTGTTTTCAACACTCTGAATGATAATCCAATTTATGGAATTCGTGGTATTCTGAATTTTTAAAGGATGAATTTATTTCAAATCTTCTAACAACAGCCGCGGTTGTTCAACATATTTTTGCATTAAGTTTTAAAGTAATATTTGAACATAGAATATACAAATTGTGTTGAAGCTTTCCCAAGTTTTTATGGACATTCTGAATAAAAGATAATTTCATGCTCATTATTAAAGACATTATTTCTGTTTGCTTCTGGAAAAGAAGTAAACAGCAAAAATATGAAGAAATGAAATAAAGACTTTTGATTTTGTGTTTTAGAAGAATACTAATTTTTATTTATAATTTGGTAATTTTTGTAGTACAATTTTGATTATCTTGCAATTACATAAATGAAGATAATTATTTTGTTTTGAACGCTAGTGAATTGAAATTGGGTATTTGTAGGCGTTTATTTTTAAGGCTTATTTCTTGAAATTGTCTGAACAATTTCTATGTAATTAAACTTTCATAATTTTGTTATTTTTCCTTCTGAGAATAATTTATTAAGCTTTCAAACTAAGTAGCAATGATAATTCAGCCAGTTGAAATGAAAATTATGTTAAGCTTTTCAGCTTAGAATTCCATTACTTCAAACTTTCCGTCACTTCGTTACTTAATACTTTTTCTTAATTATTCTTAGAATGTTTACGTTTTGTCTTGGCGAAACTCTAATTCTTAATTTTTTTTTCAAATAAAATTTTTAAGAATTCATTTTGCTAATCAATTTTATTAGTAAGCAATCTTATTATTTTATCGAAAGTTTGTCCATTTTAAATATGTATTTGTTTGAAGAAAATAATTAATCTTTATTTGTTAAAAAAGTTAAATATCATTAGTAAAATGAGCGTCATTGCGGTTCCAGACTATTTTTAATTTTATTTTAAAATAAATTTTACTAAAAATTGTGCAGAAAACATTAAAAAATTTATTCCCAGACACAGCAATGCTTCAAATAATTACATAAGAGAATAAAATTAACGAAAAATAATTGCATGCTTTGCTGATTCGGACTTCTTTCCATAAATCTTCTTTTTGATATTTTAAAGAAAAGACGTCACTACATTTCCTTGCGTCTTTCATGCTTAATAGGATTTGAAAAAGAAAACTTTTAAACTTTTCAAAACAGAAAAGTTTCTGTTGAAATTGAGGAATGTTTTGAATAACTAAAATTGTTTAATTTTTTACTGTCAATTTATTTTAATGACCTTCAAAGTCTTCAAATTTTTGTTTGTTTAATAATTTATTGAACATCTCGCATTATTTATAATAATTCCTCTACCTCAATGTTATTGTTAAAAAATTTTTATAGCACATATTTTTTATTTGTTTTAATTCCATTCAACGCTTAAGAAGTCGAAGAGTTAAAGACTATTTAACACGTTGTCTGTGTAGCTTTTAAAGCTGTTTATATTAAAATATTCGGTTAGGTATTTCATTATTAGTATAAAATTTTTTAACAACACTTGTTTCTCAACAAAACTTGTTTCTGATTCAATTTATCATTAAATTGTTCTTCGTGTCTTGTGTTTCACCATGTAAAAGTTTTCAAAAGCTTAAATGAATTTATCGAGAGAAAAAAAGCAATTTCTTTCAGACTTGCAAAGATGACTACCAAATGACTGCTTCAAAGGTCATTGGTTTTAAACACGTTCTATTTAAGAAGTATTGGCAAGTGAAGCTAAGCAAATGTTTTATTATTTTTATGTCGTCGATAACCTCAATAGTCAGGTAAAATACGCGACCGGAAGAAGAACGACAATTTCAAAGAAGGTTTTCTGAGTTCACTGTTTGAAATCCATTTTATTTATTGCTGATGGATAGTTCAACATTTCTTTTTAACGGAAGTTGGATAAAATTTAACATGGCTTCTTACCTTCTTTATATGATTTTCTATGATGTGGACGTGACCTCAACTTCTTCATTAATTTTTGGAATATTTTCATAAATATTTTTAAAAACTAGTTTAGTGATAAGAGTTGAATTTCCTGTTTCTCAGATTTATTTAAGAGTATGAAGTAAGTCATTATGAATAAATCTCACCACACAAATAGACGATTTTTTGTCTGAATGAAAAAATGTTATTGAAACATATTTGCTGATGTTTTCATTGTTCATTGTCAATTAGAAGCTATAAAAAGCTTGTTAACAGCGAATAATAAATCTAAACAGTTTAAAAATTTTAATAGCTTTTCCACCATTAAGCACTTCTAATTTGTCTTTCTTCTTAGTTTTATTAATTAATCTTAATAATCAAGTTTAATTAGGCAGCTACGTTTGAAAAACATAAAACACAAGATTTAAGAAGAACAAAGAGATTATTGAACAATCTTTTAATTTTTATAAATGATTGTCGTTATGGCATTTTGCAAGATTTAGAATTTTTCAAAAGAACTTTTGAACGATCTTTTCACCACTAGATACATACTCNAAAATTTGTGTCCGCTTTCGGGTCTGTGGGGATGGATGGATGGATGGATGGATGGATGGATGGATGGATGGATGTAGACACTCCCATTTCCACATTTCTTAACCGATTTGAAAAATTTCTTTACCAAAGTGTTTTAAATACAAATAGAAAGTTTCTATCAAATTATGGGGTGTGTACCTTTATTACTTCGGGTACCTGCCATACAAAGTTGCCCTTTTCCTAGCGAAAAAAAAAAAACATTGCTAGCGAAAAAAAAAAAACATTCCTAGCGAAAAAAAAAAAACATTCCTAGCGAAAAAAAAAAAACATTCACAGCGAAAAAAAAAAAACATCGCGAAGATGAAATTGCGTAATGTTGTCATTTTCACGTGCCACTTATGACCATTGCCCTCAAAACGCTTATGGCTTTTGATGGTGGTTCCTATATGGCCAGGATTGGCCTATAGGTGCCTGTCCTTGATCTGATGATGATGATGATGACATCGCGAAGAAAAAAAAACTTCGTATAGAATTCAGACGAGTGTCTCATTTCAAAGCGTCAGAGCGTGTTTTTTTTAAGGGAAAAAAGTCTGTTACCGAAAGTCGGCCCCAACAATAAATATCGTGCAAAAGCCCGATATTTAAAACTCCGGCAGTTATAGAATTTCTAGACGAACAGTATTAGTAAAAATCTAACTCCAATAAGGGGCCACTTTGTGTGAAAAGTTTCTGGAATATCGAAGGTGGAAACATTATACAAAGTGGCCCCTTATTGGAGTTAGATTTTTACTAATACTGTTCGTCTAGAAATTCTATAACTGCCGGAGTTTTAAATATCGGGCTTTTGCACGATATTTATTGTTGGGGCCGACTTTTTTATAAATGATTGTCGTTATGGTATTTTCCAAGATTTAGAATTTTTCAAAAGAACTTTTGAACGATCTTTTCACCACTAGATACATACTCAAATCTAAACAAATAGAACCTAATAAAAAAAACGTAACTCATAAATTTTCAATTTGTTTTTTAAATATAAAATTCAAACGAACGTTAAGCACGACTTACTGCAGATGTCAGAATTAATTTCAAACACAAAACAGCCCAAGTTATCAAGCCTCATCTTGTATTCTGTAGTCATTGCTATCTTCATCCATTATTCAGTAATGAATCATAAACAGAAGCATTAATTAAGTCAGCAGTTTAGCATTCTGAATTAAGTAATTAGATGGTAAAGCGTTTGTTGAATTGATTTAAGAAATTTTCAACTTGAAGACAGATTAAAAACAAAACCAGTAGCAACAGTTCAAGTTCACAGGTCATTAGTTCACTGCAAAAAATTAATCTTATCAAACGAGACTTGATGAAAACAACTTATAAATAATAAAATTTTTTATAATTGCAGTTTAAAAATGTGATGGATGAAAACTTCAACATGAAAGGAAATTTTTCATCTAAACTATGATAAATCTAAAAAGAAATATAAATGTGAGAGCGAAATCTACGTAAACAACATTAATAAGTTTAAACCAATCCTCCAGTAGGAATCATGATTGTGCCAATCGAAGGATCATACTTTTCAAATGCAGTTAATTATGGTTCAACAACTGTCGGCGCTAGTGAAACAACCACCATCATCCCCAACATGAACTTTACAAATGATGAACTTTGTTCGATTCTTAACTCTAATATCAGTGATTTAAATTCAGCCGGCATTGATGTAGAAGCGTTAAATTGTACCACACTTAAACATGCACCACAATTGACTGACAAAATACTCGCAAAAGTGATAATACTTATGGTTATGGGTCTGATATCGTTGATAGGAAACATCGCCACTATTTGGAATATTCAAAAGAATCGAGCATCACGTAGAGCATTGAGACATAGTTGTAGTGCAATCTACATTCTAATTCTCCACTTGTCAGTTGCTGATATCCTTGTAACGTTCTTTTGCATTATTGGAGATGCTTTGTGGAGTTATACAGTGCAATGGATAGCAGGAGACGTCGCGTGTAAACTTGTGAAGATATTCCAAATGTTTGCGCTATATCTTTCAACAAATGTCTTGGTGCTGATTGGAATCGATCGTTGGGTAGCTGTGAAATATCCAATGAAAGCAAAGTTTTTTAACACTTCGAGATTCTTGGTGAGAGATTGAAAAGCTTTTTTCTCGTCTTAAGTATTTATTCACTTAACACTGTTTGAATTTTCCAGTTTCTCGTATATGTAATTTCATTCGTGTTAAGTTTACCTCAGGTGAGTGTTGAAGCATAAAACGATTTCATGGAAGATTTAATAACTTTGAGAAGAGGCAAAGTTTTGTGTAAATAAATTTAGGATCTGTTCAAACTTTTACTTATTTCGCAGCATTTCTTAAGTACAATTTTGAACTTTGTGTGTCAACAACTCGACAAGAAAATTTGAATAAACTTCGTTGCTAAGTTATGTACATTTAGTACAGTAAATTGTGCCCGCGCGTGACGTCCCAATAATTAAAATATGTAACTACCCTTCATTAGAATCAAAAGTTAAATTAATTCAAAGTCCCTTTATGTAAATATTTTGGTTTCTCCTTTGTGATTGTCAAGAGGCAAGCTTAAGCATCATGAATTTTTATTCTTATCTGTATGTTAACATTTATGAGCCAAAGCATAAACATTTTTGACACTAAAATTTATGCTCCACTAAAAAACCATTTCAAGTTATTTCCGTATAATTTGGAATATTTCTTCAGGGTGTTTACTTGAATTTTCAATTTGAGTTATCGATTTAAGCTGTGACTGCTCCACGTCAATTTACATAAATTCACCTGTAAAATATATTCAGAAAGTATTTTCGCGAAATTCTTTCTGAAATGAAAAAATGAAATGTAATTTTAAAATGTCTCGTAATGGTTATAAATGGAGTTGAAAATGTTACAATGATGCTAAATTATCAATAATTGATATAAGTCAATGATCCTGAATGTAACAAAATGTCACAATTTCCACATCGATGACCATAATATTGAATTAAATTCCACAATTCAAGTTACTTGTAGATGATTTCTTCAGTTGATTTTCGAAATTAAATTCCATGGCTTCCCTCATTTATTGATGACAAAATAGGTCAAGTGGAAAATGTTTAGAAATGCTTATCTAAGAGTTCAGAAAAGAAATGAAATTTAGATTATCAAATGTTGAAGTGAAACGCTAATTAATACTACATCTGCTGTTTAAAAGATCAAGAAACAATACGTTTGCCATTTAACTACTTAATACTTTTGTATTATCCATGAATTGAAACAACGTTAATTTCAATCAAAAACTTTGTTGTTCAATGTTTGAAACTTCACTAACTCGTGTTAAAATTAAGTTCGTATCGTTTTCAATTGAAAACCAAGTAGATTCAGCAGAATCCTTTATAAGTACAATCCTTTTCTAATATATAACAATAAATCATCAGATTTGCTGTGGGTGAAGATTGTTGACCTTTTTATGGTCTGGAAAATGAGCTCGAATAAAAAGAAATCTTTCAAGTTGAAATCTTTTGGTCATATTAAGGTTATTCAACAATTTTTCTTCCACTCCAACAGTTTTCAATATTATTTTGTAAGTTTTTCAAAACGGATTTCCCACAAACATTCTGCGGATCAGACTTGAAATTAAGAAAAACTTCAAGGGATTCTTTCATCTGTGTTTCTTTTGAAATATTTATCCAACCGTGATATTGAATGTTAATTCGCAAATTTTCATCATTTCAGGACAACAAGCAAAGAGATTAAGCTTTTTATTCTTAAAAGTTATTTCTTAATTTTCAAGTTAGGTATACAAAATCATTTTGACAAATATTACAAAGGTGAGAAGTTCAAAATGTGTAGTAATGTTATTTACTTCCACAAATAAACTCTTAAAAGATTATTTGAAATGTAAGCAACACTCAACTTTTTTGTTTTCGATCGTTAAAAAAATCCAGAATCGATTTAATGTTTGAACAATTTCTAAGCTTTTTCTGCCTTAAAAATTTTTCCCATTTGTTGATTTTCATTGTTTGCTTTTATCTTTGGCAAAACTTTCTTGACACGTCATTGGTGAAAAGTTTTCATATTAACCACGATTAATGTCGAGAAAATTTAAACAGACCATAAAACTTCTTAATGACCTTTAAGTAAAATAAAGAGAAAAAGTTGTACATGCAAAACATTTCATTTCGAAACAATTCTCATTTTTAATGGTCAATTATTATCAATCTAATAAAAAAAATGAGGGATATTAACGTTATTAAGTGTAGATGATGTTTTAAAATGCTTAAAGTTGATAAAGTCAATTTCACGGTTGCTTTTTAAATCAACAAAAATCAAATTACAAATGAAATAATTTCAGATGCTGTCGCACTAAGTAAATACTATGTTGTCTTCGTCCCTCAGTTAATTTGATTAATGTTCTTTTCTTTGCAAATTATTTAAATCAAGACTTTAGCCACAAATGAACCCAACAGTGAACCCATGTTTTGCATAAAAGTCCTTCAATAATTTTATTGAAAATCTAGACGACGTAAAACTTAAGTAAACGAAACTTGAAAAAGTCTATTGTATGACTTTACGATGCTGATTTGTTTGTTCCGTCTTCTTTTTGCGTAAAACGGAATTTAGACAATTTTTTCATTTTCAACATTTCACAAACACTTTGAAAAGTTCGAAGAAGAAAAAAAGCGGAAGAAATTTCCGATTTTGTTCGATCAATAAAACGGGAGTTTTTTACACAAAGCGACAATGAAGATCCCTAAAACATTTCTAAATTTTCGTGGATCTGCGATTAATATATTCCTTCGTCAATCATCCTAATTCTAAATCTACGACGACATAATAGGATGCTTTATGGTGACTGATTTCAAATAGACCTTAACGCGCATTTAATGAATATTTGTAAAGAGCTTATAGCTTTATCTTTAAAAATCCTAAAAATTATAATTTAAAGATGACAAAGGCACATGCTTCGAAGCCTCGAGAGTGAAAATAAATAAATAGCCGCAATCTTTAGGGACTTCTTCATTTTATTTTCACGTGTTTCAACGTAATCTGATTTAGATTTCTTGTTTTGCTTTCATGTCATGATAAAGATAATTTGATTTTCATGTAACTTATTGTTAAAGCGGATCTTTCACAAACTCATCCTGACTTGTTATGAAACAAGTCTACCTCGCTCTCAATGCTCAATTGAATAAAAACAAGAACTTCATGTATTTATGTTCACAATTTCGTATGAAAAAAAGAGAATCCTTTTCAATTGTTTCATCCTTCATCACTTCGATTTAAAAACTTGACTTATGTCATATTTTGGACATAGAATCCGGAAATTGGAAAGTTTAAAAAAAGATTTAACTCCTTCAGTGGAATGTATTGAAAGATAAAATTTTAGCATTCAATCCACATTAGTGACCCTTTCTTAATTGTTTGAAATTTTCGAAAAAGAAAAGTGACAGACAGAATTTAAAAAAAGATTTTTCTGTTCTATCTAAGATTGTAGAATTCATCCACCCACATAAGAAAAATATTTTCTGTGAAATTCTGGAGAACTATTATGAATTCATATTTCTTTTCTATAAAGAAACATTTTGTTTGTAAGAAAAATTTAGGAAAGGTGATCATCATAGCTATTTCAGTGATGAAAGCTCTCATAAAATTCTTGAAAGGATTTTTTAGATTTGAGTTTCGACTTGAAGTGTCCTCAAAGTCGTAATAAAAAATTGAAGTAAGCAAACTTGACTTTTTGGTTCTTTTATAAAAATAGAAGGTTGTGACGACAATGCCATTGTTTGCTACTTACTTATGCATAATAATAGTCACATGATTGCAATACAAAGGATTTAAAACCATTCATCTTGTTTCCCAACCAATATATCACTGAAAATCAAATGATAAAATCTAAAAGTTGCTGATTATTTAATAGTTAATCTTACAATTGTTACCAAAAACAAGGCATTTGACAAATTAAGCTTAATTAAGAAGAAGAAAGAAACAGGATGAAACGAGTGGCGTTCTTTGTTCAGTAATCAACAACGATTAAATATCGTTACAAATCTTTAAAATTCTCCTGGAATGACTTAAATTATTGTTCTGTAAATCCGCTTAAAGTCATTGAGAGAGTAAGTTTTGTTTTACTTTGTTTTCATTGCTTCCTTTTATAACGATTGTTGAACAAGTGTAATTGTGAAATAAATCTTACAAATAACTTCTTGTGACATTCATTAGGGTGAGATAATTTAAAGCTTCCTTTTGAAAGTCTTAATTAAAGAGACATTTAAGTCTTGGGGAAATCTCCTTGAAGTTTCGTGGAATTAAAAATCACAATTAAATGAGAAAAAAATGTCAAGTGTCGCAGCTGTTGTCATGAAAAAGTAATAAAAGGACATTGTTCAAGATGGTTTTTAAACGAATCTGATTTTAAGTGACGTACTTGGCTTCATCATTGTGTCAGAATCAAATGTCGACTAAAATCAAATTATGACTGGGGGTTCAAAAGTGGTATCTGTGCTAAATTTTCCGCCTGCTGACTCATAAGACAGACAGCAGACGAGACGAATAATAGAAAAAAAGAAGAACTGTCATATTTATTTATCATCATTCAATGAATCGATGACTCGTTGAATTTTGATTTCCCCCACGAGGCAAATCCATCCGAATATATGTATGAAAGCCTATTTATTCGAATAAAATTTCTTTAGCTAATCATTTGAGCCATTTTCTCATAGATAAACATCTTATGTTCCATTAAAAACCTTTTAAATGTATGTAATCAAAAGGATAGTTTATATTACAATAAATTCCTTTAAATAAAATACAATTTTCGACTCATTCTGACCCTTTTCGGTTTCAATCAAAATATAATAAATTTAAATATATCCTATGATAAACCCAAATAATTATGTATAAGAATCTGAGATCACACTGAAATCCCTGAATGAAATGATATCCAATGCCTACTGAAAATGTATGTGTAGCATCTCTAAAAATAAAAAGTATCAAAAGTATTAAGAGAAATTTATTAGTCATACGCCTTCATTTTATTCTCTTTAAGAACGAATATTTGAGAAAGCTTTGAAATTTATTTATTCAAGTCAAGTGGGTTTTCTTCATGTAATAGAACTTATGCTTCATTTGCTACATATAAAGGTTTTACATAAATTTTTATTTTGACTTACGACTACATAAAGTTTAAATGACACTTTTCTGTTGACCCGTCTTATAAAAATTTATGATTTTTTCTGTCGAAAGAAAAATATAAAGACGGACGACAATTACAAACGATTATAAATAGATAACTGTTGAGTGGATGTGTTCAAGTACCACAATGATATTAATTATATTTATGTTGAATGTTGAAAAGCTTATTTTTAGCACGGCGGGGTGTCAAAAATTTCAACAACGATGAATTATTTTCTATTTCCAAAAATTCTTTCTTATTTTTACTCCTAATTTATGTCGCTATGTAAAATTGCGTAAACAAAATTAACCCTCATCGAGTTCTATCTTGATAAGTGCTTATTAAAAGGTTTTCTAAATAGTATATCGATCACAGGCCTGAATTGGTTCATAACATGTTTTGTTATGAAAATCCAAGTGGAAACTTATATTTAAAAGGTTCAATAAGTGAAAAGGTTTTATATATGTAAATCAAGATTTGATATCAATAATCAATAACAAGATTCGTTTATTTATCAGAAAATATTCTTCAGTTTAAAATCATTGAGTGGCTGTATGAAAAATCAAAAAGTTGAATAGGGTTTAGGAAGGCTTATGACTGAAGAAATATTTATTCAATGAAGTGTCTAGAAGAAGTGACGAGCCGAATAAAGTCTTAGTCTTCTTCAATTTCAATTCTAATAACAAATGAATTTCCTAGTTTTTGTTTTAATAAGACGATATTAAAGTTGAAAGGTGACCTTATGAAAGAAGAAGAAGAAAAAAATGTTTAAGACGATATTATAAATTTATAATTCTTTTGTTAATGTTTTAAAACAATTCGAAGTATATCCATCATCATTTTTAATTGTATTTTAAACGTCAAATTATGAAGACGATTTAAAATTCAATAGAGATGAGATAAATGTAAGAAACATTAATTTTTTGAAAGGACAAGCTTCACACACTCCTCCTGAGCAGAGCTGTGATGTTTTTTGATTTTTAATTTTAATCTTTTTTTCCTGGATGTTCAAACATATAATCTCCAATTGTTCATTAATTATTTCTTTAATCTTCGCAGTTAGATTTCTGATTACCCTTGAAATAAAAATATAATATCCAAAGTTTCCTCGTGTTGATGTTAAAATCATAGAAACAAAATAAATCTGTAGGCGTAGCGATTTCCATCGAAAATGAAAGTAATCTTAATTATCTCAACCGTTGAGCACACAAAAATTGATTACACTTTTTTAAACCAATCAATCAGCTGAAAAATCGTAGAAAAACATAAATAAAAATTTTTGTTGACTGTTTTGCAACAAACGAAGCGAGATGAAATGTTCATGACCGAGTTATCTAATCATTACTTTATAAAGATAAGAACATCATGAAATTGCGGCATCAAAAAGCTATAAGTTATCCTTTTGCTTATTATTTTCATCAAATTACTTGCTAAATATTCAATGTCAAGTGGCAAAAGATTCCATTTCGTCACTTAAATAAAATAACTCGAAAAGCTAGAAGCGTGTAAATAAGGCAATGAAAGAACAACAAACGAAACAATAAAAATTGACAACAAAACTTCCTTAAGCAACTCGGAAAAAGCTAAAACAGTAGCAAAATAAAACATTTTCCCATTCATTTTTAAATTCTTTCTTGTCATGATCATCGTGGAATCAAAATTCTTAACTGAAATAATTATTATTCATGACTTGTGCAAATGAAGTTTTAAACATTTCGTCAACCCACTAATAACAGCTTCAGTTTCAGTTTTAAAAAGATAACTTTAACATTCAAAAGAAGCCAAGAATAAAAATATCTTTAAGGAATTTGTGTTTGAAGAAATTATTTAAGAGCTTCCTGAAACTTTGCCAAACTTATTGAAGCATCAAGTTAATTTGAGCTAATGCCAAGAGATCAACAATTATTCTAAGCATGGTGTTAGAAATTTTATTTACGCTTACTCACAAAAAACTTTTTGTTACACTGTTTGTTATGTTTTAAATTTAATGTTAAATAATTAAGGAAGACACATTTTAACGAGATCTGTTGAAGTATAAAATCATTCACAAAGTTTAAGGTTGTTATTGAAAGGTTCTTTCAGAATGAATACTATTAAAGAATTTCTTCTTGTTTAACTCATTAAGAAATCTCCATCTCATTGATTTTTAAAACAAGCTTGTGAAAAAGTGAAAGTTTGAAGAACTTTGAACCACCTGAAAAGGATTTATAAAAACATTAAAAAGAAACTTTAATTGAGTGTCTTTTTTACCTTTTCTTGTTTCTAACAGGGAATAATTTTCCGTGTTGCTCGTGGACCTTTCATCGAAGAATTTTATCAATGTGTAACCTTTGGATTTTACACGGCTTTATGGCAGGTAAATAATCTGTAATGATTGAAGCTATGAAAACCTTGATTAACTTTTTCTCATTTCGTCATCTTCGTTAAGAAGCTACTCATGTTACATTTGCTATTAAAAGATTCTTCCACACTTAATATATCTATTTTAATTCTTGAGTGTGTATCTCGAGCGTTTTGAATCATCTTTCTGAAGTATTTTATTTGTGTAATGTTATCCTAGACAATCAAGAACGTCAGAAATATTTCTTCTCATGTCAATTTATTTCCTTTTTTAAACCACATATAAACTTATATGAAATCTCACTAATGAACAATAAAATTCTACATTTTTCTCTTCATTTAAACAGGAGCAACTATACACAAGCTTCACGTTAGTCTTCATGTTCATCATTCCACTTTTAATCTTAGTATCGAGTTACTTATCAACATTCCGTACAATTTCAAGTAATTTATTAACATGCTTCATCAATTAATTTTTTACTGGCTCAACAAATCAATAGATTAAAATAGAATTGTACACTTCTTATCAATTAGGTAGTGAACGAATATTCAAGCTTGAAGCTACGATGAATTCGGATCATATTAGGCGTAGTGACTCGAACAGACAGAAACTTATACACAAAGCTAAGATGAAATCATTAAGAATTTCTGTTGTAATTGTCGCAGCTTTCATTATATGTTGGACACCGTACTATGCTATGATGTTAATATTTATGTTCATGAATCCAGACGAAAGGCTTAGCGAAGATTTACAGTCGGGAATATTTTTCTTTGGCATGTCAAACTCTCTTATAAATCCTTTAATTTATGGCGCCTTTCAATATCAGCCGATAAAAAAACGAAGACAATACTTAAAAAAGAGGTAACATTCAATTTGAATTTCTTTAATTGATAGAATGTTCATCATTTCACAGATTATTACAGAACCTATTTTTTCTATTCCTTTGATATGTAGAGATGGTTCAACTTTACATCGAAGTCTATCAACAAATGCAACAACATGTCGAAATTTGAACAACTGGAACATGGTGCACAAGAATTCAATTCCTTCCCATCACGAGTCGTTAGAAAGCCCTAAAGTTCAAAATATGGAAGAAATCTCACTGATGTCACTAGAAAAAGATCTCAAAACATTAGAAGAACAGAACAATAATTATTTGAGAAGAAAAAGTTCACCTCTTGGCGAACAGTTCACGAGATTTTTTCAAAAACGTCCAACATACTTTAGAAAATAAGAGAGCCTAGATATATATTTTTTTACTGCAAGAAAACGATCTGAAACTTTTATTTAAGCTTTCATAAGGTTGATTCTTATTTTAACAATAATTTCTATAATTTAATATAATATATATTTTAAAAGGCATGTTGTGAATAGGTAATAAAAAGAAAATCAAAGAAAATTATGTTTGTTTTTCTCGTTCACAAAATTCACCAATCAAATGTTGCTTTCGAAAGAAGTTTCGTTGTAATGACATATTTTTTAAGAAACAAAATTTTTAATTTAAAAAATTATTCGACTTATGGTGTTTTTTCTCCCCTTGGTATCCCCCAAATGGTATTTTTCAAATTTCCCCTTGTATTCCCCAAATTTCAACAATTTTTGTTTTTCTACATGTTTGATAAGGTTAGTGTCTCACACATCTTTACTCAAACAGATGATTACCAATCCATAAGCAGATTTTACACACGTTAATAAATAAACTTCAACAGTGTTAGAAAGTTGTGTACACAAAATTTCGCGCGAAGGTACTTACAGTAGTGTTAGTCATCAGTGATCAACCTTTCATTAGTTTACTTGGTACTTCTAAAGAAAAATCAAAACAAACAATTAAAATTGTTATTACATAAAATATAGACCAACTTTAATCTTAAAAATGGCTTCACCAGTAGAAATTCCACTTCGTGAAGGCGATGAGGTATAAGTTTGAAACCGAATTGCCATTGCAAGCTTAAAATATTACTTTCAAGAGCAATTTTTAAGAAATAAATTTATGTTGTAAAATAAATTTGATTTA